GCTTGAATCTGTAAGGTATCGCGAGTATAACTGGCAGTTGATGGTGGGATTATTAACGAGATTACGGAGCGGATATACAAAATATCCGTGTTATCTATGCTTATGGGAGAGCAAAGCGGATGCTAGTTATTATATTCAACGGTCATAGCGTGTAAAACCAGAACTATATGTTGTAAAACTAAACGTAAAATTTGAACCCATTGTTGAAGCGGAAAATGTGTTAATGCAAAAAATTTGTTAAGAAATTGCATGAAACTTCAGAAGCTTTTGAGTACATACTTGTTTTTTACTAAGTTATCAGAAGCACACGTTAAAACTGCAATTTTTGCTGGTCCGCATATGAAAAATTATCAACCATGCCGAATTGTATTCAAAACGCAGGTTCAAAGCAGCCCTTTCTTGATTTTTAGAAAATGACGAAGCTGAAAACTACGTTCGTTAAGAATATGCTAAAGAAATTAAGGCTGCAGCATGTCATTAAAAGCACTTATGTTGTATTCTCATCTAGATAAATTTTAAAGCAACATGGGAGCGTATTCTGAAGAGCAAGGAGAACGTTTTCACCAGGACGTTATCAATTTATTATTATTATTTAATTAGTTATTGAGAAAAAAGTACTTATACATACATAAACAAATGTAGCAATGTCTGCAACTAATATATACTAATAAATCTTATTGCGACTCAGATCTTTGATCTCCAGAGAACTAACAAGGAGCTCTACAGTGTTTTCTAACATTCCCCATATTCTGTCGTATATTTCCATGACATGTTCGACGAACTTACCATATTTTCCCCAATCGCGAGAGGGTTTCAGCGTCCCTCATTTTAAGATTGGTGCCTTGCTTAATTCACATTGATACGAAGAAAGTTCCAATTTACAATGTCCAGTGGCTCCTTTTCAGCATATCTTTCTGAAATCGCTTCTTGTTTAAAGGAGAGTTAATAAGATCTAACATTTGCTGGAAGTATGGGATTAATTATTAGTATTTTACCTTTTTCCGAGAGTTTTCATTGAATGTTTTACCGATTACCATTTTTCTACCATTAAATGTGATTTTCTGTTTTGAACGACAATTAATTTCCTTCGAAGTTTTCCAAAATTTACTACAGTTTGTTTTTTTCTTTGGTGACCTCATGAGACCGTGTCTATGCTTATGCACAAATCGGTATATGTGCTGTCCAACTCAAGTTGGAAGGTTGAGGTTTGATAACAAAGAGCCGGTTTCCTTCCTCATATGGAAATTTTAATTCTGGTATCCTCAAAAAATGTCCAAATCGCTTAACACCCTTGATAGAAATTATATATAACTTCTGCACTGCAATATCAACATATGTACGGTGAATCCAATGTCGGCCAGCAAGGCTAATATGTTTCCATATGCGTATATTTTCAATGAAGTTCCTATTTAAGTCCGTAATTTTTCTTTTTTTTGTAATTTATTTTTGTATGAGCTTGAGATTTCAATGAGAGTTTCAATACCTACCAATTTATAATCTGGTATGTGGTCGCTGTTGTACGGATTGTCCTAAATAAGGTTCCCTACCATTTTAAGCAAAAAATTTCCTATATATAGAATCTTCCGTTCATCTGGAGTAAACGCCAGCTGCCTTATTTTAAAAGAGAGAATTATTTCATTTTTCATTGAAGTTTGAATGTATTTTTTCCCAAACGTTTTGTTGACGACTGTTATACCGGAAAATCACGTAAATGCTTTTAATAATTTTCTTTCTAATTTACAATTTACTATTTAAATGGAAAAAAAATAAATTTTAGGCGCTTTGCGTAGTAGATGGCTGTGGTAGCTTGGATTATCCATGACAATAACAATTACACGATTATTCAACCAACTGGTCAACACTGCCTTGTCACTCGAGAAAGAATAATTTTATTGTAAACGGCTTCACCCAATAACAATAGGTAAAAACATCGTTGACGTTTTATTGGGGAGGGTCCATCGAAAGTCAACACGATGGCGATGGCGACAGACTATACCTATCATGTATTTAGACTAGTTGGAGTGAACACGGTAAAATGATAGAATCTCTGGAGCGAACAGAAATTCCTATGGAAATTCGTCGAGGAGTAAGATCTTCAGGAGAGCGTTGAATGGAATTCGGAGTGGAATATGTAACATCCGTTACGCTGACGACAATGTCTTGATAGCTAAAATTCTGGAGAACCTACAAGAACTAGTGAGGTCTCTTAATATTACCAGCAACGAGTATGATCTAGAACTTAATGCCAGAACGACAAAGTACATGGTAATCAGCAAAACTCCAACACCATCATGATTCTGTGGAAACCAAATATCGACACATTCACTACAATGAAAAACCTACTCACCAACAGAAACCTCTACTACTACATCTATCCGGTGCTTCTGTAGGGAGTGGAGAGTTGGACAATATCGGAGGCTATTGAGAAACGAATTAATGCCTTTGTCCTGAACAGAATACGATGCCAGCCACAGCCCTTACTCACAATTAAAAAACGTAAACTTGAATACTCTGGGCACGCTATGGGAAACAAAAATAAATATCGCCTATTACAGAATATCAAATAGAAGAAAAAAGAGGCCCGGGTAGAAAGAGAATCTCCTGGTTGGCAAACCTTCGCAAATGCTATGGCGCTACCCCCACCGAGCTATTCAGATGTGCTGCATGAGAAGAAGAAGAAGAAGTTGTCTTAGTGGATATAAATATTATTATCATTACTATTATTCCAAAAATTATTACAAATTTGCAAGTGATTATGGTACTTTCCTACGTTTAACCTCCTACTACTTGTCATTTAATTCTTATCTGTGCAACCGAACGGTTTTTTTAGAAAATTCTGATCTCATTGAGGCAATGTGGGTAGTTTCGCTGTTATCTAGGGTCGCGTAAGCTTAAACGTTGTTCAATCGTTCAACTTTCTTTTTCGTTCTGTTTTGAAATGACATATGAAATTGGTAAGTGAAAGCCGATGTTTTGAAGATACGGAATCGATAAAACCTATTCTCAACCTGTATGTTACGGATACTATTTAAGAGTCGATTTCAAATTTGATTAAATTTAATTTAATTGATTACCAAAAAGCTACGAACAAGTCCAGTTCAATGAAGACCTAAGCCAATATAACTATGGCAATATTGTAAATTTTATATACCGCACGAGTCAACTGTACTTAAAGGTATTTATAAGCAAAGTGTAAATAACATTTTTAAAAAAGTGGATGAAAATTATTTATATCTTGTCCTTAATGAAACAAGTAACTCATGTAGGAGATATATTGCACACGCATTGGTTGGAGTATCTGAAGATAGCCCTCACTCTACTCTATTTTCAAAAACAAATTCAGCTTTCTAGAATCAAATTTAGTATTTTTAAAAATTAAAAACGCCTTTAAAGGCAGGGAATATATGAAAATGGGATATATGGATAAATTCTCGAAAATTTATAGATATTATAACTGCATCCGAATAATTGTAAAAAAAAAACAATAATTAACAGACCAGTTTTCCATGGTAAGCAGCTTCACGCGTTCAATTTTATAAGGAAAATTGGAAACTTGAACAAAATTTTCATTTGAAAAATATTTTATACTATTAAAAGAACACTGTTCACCAAAATGCGCTGCCATTGGCTGCGACCGGTTGTGACGTCAATTAGCTCGTCAGACGGTAGCATAGAGGAGCCATGAGACAACGACAACGCGTTACTCTTGGTGGTTTGAATTTTAATTAAATTAAATTAAATATAGTAGCCTTAGGAAATAATATTTATATGTGCCCTTGTTCAGGCAACGCCACACATCTGATGCAGCTCCTAGATATGGCTGCGAAAGCAGAGCAAATATTCCGGAACTTTGCCTAAAGAACACTTCTCGGCCTTAATTTCACTTCTGTGGAACGAAGTTTCAAAGACTATAGAGACAAATTTAAAAGCAGGATTTAGAATGAATGATGAAGTCTTAAGGAAGATTCCCTGAAAACGTGCCAGAAACTGAACGAATTCTTGATTCATCATTGGTAATGTTTTAAAAGAAATGAGGGGAACAAGCGAAGACCAGAATAAAAGAGCAAAGAAGTTTGGATATAGAAGACGGATGATTAATGAAGTGAAAGCGATTGCCAATGGGCAAATCCAAAATCAAGCCCACACAATCCCGGACGACAGCGACGAAGAATTTCATTGTTTCTCTAACAGCGAGCCAGGGCCCTCAGAAATGTCACCAAAAAGGGTCGCAGACTAAGCCAAGAAACCTAAAGTGCGTCTTCCTATTAGCATAACAAAAGCAAATTTGAGAAGGGCGATTTAAATTCAAAATACGCCGCATGCTTTTTAAAAACTTCACGGAGGTGGCCGACTGGAATTGGGATCGAAAATTTAAAAAGTCTAAATTTAAGGTTTTTTTTTGCCAAAAGTTTACTTAGTTTCTAAGTTAAGAAATGCTTTTTTGCCGTATTTGGCGTTCTAGATTTTCTTGTTTAATTTTAAAACTGCAGCTAGTTTAAAAGTTTTATATTTGTAATAACTAATCTAAAGTGCCGTAAATAAAAGTTTTGATACTGCGAAATGAACATTTGTGTCAAGTTAGCCCCGAATGTCGGGTAACTTTGAAAGTCATATAATAATAAACAAAAAAAAATTGTATTCGATGGCACAATTTAGCACTTAGTTTGTTGTTTTTTTTTTTTCGAAATTTTGTATTTGTTTTATATAACATTTTCACGTTTTTAAATTTTAAAAATACTTAGACATATGGCCATTTTTTCTTGACGAAACTTTCCTCTGTTCGGTAGGTTCGATTTTTTAAATATTTTTATTGTGCCATTATTTATATTTCGTTTTGTAGTTGTTGTTTGTCGGGAGGGTGTATTTGCGAATCAAATAGTGCGGATTCCTAAGTAATATCGTATATTTAATTTCATTAAACACCTGTCACCGTTTCACCGAAAACCGTTACCCGCGTTCGACCGTCAGTACTTTAAACTGTCTTCCGCCCGTCGCCTTACCTCCTAGCAAAACAAGTCCCAAAATAACAAAGGGTAAACCGGAAGGGGGCGGCCCGCCCCTGCACTTGCACTGCATCATTATTCGGTGCACCACTCGCGCGCACTTCTTGGTAGGACGGAGCGTACCGACGAACGGTTGGTAGCAGAAAGCTGAACGCTAACTGGCGCTCCAAATAACTGCGGATTGGGTCTTCGCGTTAAACTGAAGACACCGATGACGTAGACGAAGAAGCAAGGTGGAAGGACGGAAGTCGGTCGACTCGACATTTAGGTAGTCCTAGGGTAACATCGCAATGCGGAACGGCTATATGAGAACGCTTACGCACAGTGGGCTAGGATGACACAAAAGTTTGAATAATTCCTTTTCTACTACCATGTTCCTTGCATCTTGGGCCTCATCGGAAAGTAGTCCGATGGGCACTGGACTGGACGTCACGATCTCTTTTCCTGTGTATCAAAATTTTATGAATAGTTACTGGCATTTTGTACCAAGGATGCAGGGAAACAAATAATCGAGCAGTTGCTTTCCAATAGATTTTAAAAAGTGAGGAAATGCCATATACCAGGTATTCCTCATTTATCGGCCTCATCAAAACAAGGCCTAAACACATTTATGTTGAACAGATCATTTATTTATTTATTATAAATTTTGACAATATGGAGAAATCTGTAAATCAAAAACTCGCCATGAAACTCAGAGGAGACGAGGAAAAAATCGAATAGTATATTTTTATAAAATAGGGAGCCAGAGATGCGTAGCATTTTGGTTTTTACGAAGATTTAGGAGACAATGAGCATTCATATAAAAAAAAAATGTGATACCGTTTTGCTCGATCCTTGAGATATCTTTAAGCAAAATTAAAAATTTACTTTAGGTAATAGAAGAACATATCAAAAGTTCTTAAGAAATATAGCGTAGAAACCAGATTTACCAGTTGTCCAAACATCTCTCGACATCTTCGATCCGTCAAAGAGAAAATTCCATTTGACATACCAAGGATTTACAGCATATGCGGTTCTCAGCATTGCTCTTTCCTATTGTCTTTGGATGACTCTGAATTTAAATACGACATTTTTGTTAGAGAGAGTGTTTCTGCTCCCCATGTGATGATCTAACAAGTTCCTGCCGCTGGATATTTATAATCGCCAACTTGCTTCACAACATGATTATCTTGGAGCCTCCAAGCATCAGGTTAGTCATAAAGTTTGCTTTTTATCGGTTTATGTAAAATTGTATGTGATGAACACAATATCGTCGACAAATCGCAGGTTATTTAGCCTTTTTCCATCAATCTTGATGCCAATGTTCCTACAGGTGTTTTAAAGGCATATTTTAAAATGCCGATGAATAGCTTTGGGGCCCTGTCTAACTCCCCTTTCGATGGGTAATTTGTCGCTGTTTTTATGGAGTCTAATAATAGCTTGCACTGTGAATACTGTGGACTAGAGAGTGCATATGACATTCTCTACAAAGTCTACAGTATCCTGTCATTTTTTCTATTAGTAATTTCAGAATAAGTAGGTGAAAGTTTGTTCAGTAGCCTGGCCTAATAGTCCAGTTTGTTTTTCAGACAACTTGTACAAGTGGAAAATCAAGGTTATGGGTGTGTACTTTTCTATATTTGAGTGTGGAAACAGGGTTCAAAACGTTCCTTAATTTTATTTAATAGGACTCTCCCTCCAGGTTTAAATTCTTCGATCATTATCTGGTCTTGTACCGGTGCTTTCCACAGTGATTTCAGTTAGTGCCATTTCTTATTTCCTTCGGTTCTTCTTCCGAAGTAGGTCTTCTCTATTGGTTGTTACCTCTCTTTTGGCTTTTGCATTGTCTCTGGTATTTAGCTTTCTTCTTAAGACTTTCCAGCATTAGTGTTTCTCCTTGGTTTTTGTAAATTTCTTCTGTTAGTCATTTTAATAATCTCGTAAATTCGAAAAGTTTTTTTTCTTCTGTTATGGAAAGAATTTTTTTGTTTCTTCAAGGAAAGAGTTTTTGGTATATTGATTTAATTCTTCTTCGAAATGGACCTCAAGCTGAGTTACAGCATATTATACTTAATTACAAGATTATCAGAAGATTTTTTAAAAATTCAACCAGTCTTGAAGCTTGGAATGCTGCCAGGTTCACGTGAATGTCAAAAATTAACCTTAATTATTAATAGTGATGCCCATGTCTCGGATCACATTGGGAAGAGTACTGTTAATTATTTTGTAGTTTTGTTGTTATTTTCGTCACAGACGGCTTTAGGCAAACAATGAAGGTCCCAGATGGGGCCCTTCGGGAACACCGGTGGAAGTAAAAACCCTGAAAGACAGGTGTAATCATCTTTTTTTATTCACCTCCTTTTCTCAGCTATTACATTTTATGGCAATATCAACCAGACCAAAACATAATATCAATCATCAATAACGTTATCACGAAAAAGACCCATCAGTAAGATCAGTCCATATTACTTACATTTAGCACTTTCTTCTATCCAAGAAACATACGAGAATTGAGTGGTATCATTCCAGCTCGGTTAGCCGTGAAGCACTAGCACAAAGAACAATCATCAATTATAGATAAAATATTTCGTATCTTAACTAACTCCTTCCTTATTAAGCTTTAAGTTTTGGTGTTGCATTAAAGTTAGTATTCAAAAGTTTGTGTTATAATATATTATAGTTACTGTAATGTAACATAATATATAAATAAAGTTTTCTACGACTTAGGTACTACACACATTTATATTATACCAAGCTGAAAATTATATTTATGATTAAATTACGCAAGGGGCATTAAAATGCGCGTTGGTGAAAACCACAGATCAATGATGCTCACAGGAGTTATGCAAACGAATACACATAATAAAGAAATAAAAACCGTAAATAGTAATTATTATTGCTTATAATAATCAGATTAGTTCGAATGATGAGAGGTGAGGTATTTGCAAAACAAGTAGAGCTTCATGAACACTTCCTTGTGTTGTGTGCTCGACCATTAGTATAATTTCCTGCGTTCCGAACACTTAATTAGCAGAAGCAACGCAACAATTTCCCTTCGATTACCCAGTCCAACAAAGATTTATTTATAGAATCGAATAGAATAGAAAAACGATGTTTTTTGTTTTTATCAAGCAAGGAAAAATAGGAACGTATTTTTCAGATTTGCTATGTGTGGTTCTTTTGTGAACAAGATATTTAGACGTATAATGACACCTCTTGCTATACTACGCTTATGTGGAAGCAAAGATTGACAAGCACATATCCGAAACGACGATAACAAATCACTTTGATGACTACTATTTCTGCATGTGCCATATTCGTGGATATAATAATAAAAGTTTGAAAAAACTTGCTTATCCGAACCTCAAATCTGCAACAAGGCCAGTGCCACATAGCTCGGATGTCACACTACCCGTGAATCAATCAAATTTTGACGAAAATACCACCAGTTTTTTGCGAACCTAAACTGGATGAAGATGCCCTTAATGATGTTGGTGGTGTATGGACTGTTTCTCATCAAGCACAGTTATTTTCACAATCAGAACTTAATGACTTAGTGAAAGATTTAGGTTTACCTAAAGATCTTTCCGAAATTTTTGCATCTTGACTTCGAAAAATTTAAAAAAAAATTATAAATTATTTTAAACAATATATCCCTATCTAATAAACAAACTTGGTACAGACTACAATTCTGAGGACGGAAGGCTTTTTATTGACTCATCCAAGAGAAACCATTCTTTGGCACAATGAAAATGTTCTGGCTTCTGCAACTGTTGCTCATTCTGTGCAAATGAAAGAATTTTACGAGAATCCGGAACTACTGCCATACAGGATAATTTATAATGACAGACTACTAGGTCGCCAGTGAGAATATATGAAGTACCTCTGTTTTTCTGTGTGAGTGGGACAGTAGAAACAACAGCGGGTGAAAAAGAACTAGATAAAAAGGGTTAATTTAACTCCAGGATCAAAAAATATTCTTTAAATAAAGCAAAGGATCACTTTTTGTAAAGGTCCTCCAATAGAGCGATTAATGGAGGAACAGGACTTTATAAAAGGTGTCCTAGGAAACAAAAAATATCCAGATTACACGACATTGTAGAAAACCTATTAGAGAAGTTTGGGGCAATTGGATGCAAAATGATTAAAAAAGTACACATTTTACTGCCTGCATTTTGTGTGGATGATTGATGGGCCCAAAATATTTATTCTTCCCATTAAATACACCTACTGTAGTGAACGAAGCCTCATCGTTTAATATTATATTGTTTAGAAAATTTCTATCTTCTTGAGATCATCTATACACTTCAGCGCAAAATTCGATCTTCTGCCTTTTATATTCATTGGTTAAATTTTGCACTGGAATTTGTTGAATTTTAGTATAGGGCTTTCCGGATAATTTTTTAAAGTCAGGTATAGAATATTTAGAATTTTCTAAAAAATATGAAAAATTAAGAAAGTAGAACTCAAAGTCATGATGTCAAGTGTCGTAATAGTACAATAATTTACCTTGGAATTAAAGTAATATATTGAGGTCTTCATCAAAATATTTTTCTATTGTCCTGGTCTTCCGTGTGACACTATTTCTGCCCTCAAATTGGTTAATTACATTTTTAATTGTATTTATTAAAGGAACTCTTCAATATTTGTCGATATTCTCTTTTAACCCTTGCAACATTATGAAATATTTGACAAACGGCCAAAGTGGCAGTCATTTTGACAGCTTGCGATCGTCGTTTGTTTTTTCTGACGTTCGCGTAAGATAATAAATAGAACAAATCTTTCAAAATTAACCCTGTACATAAATAATCGATTGTGGTGAATTATTTAAACAAATGTCGACTATTTGATGTAATTTTTCTAATTGAAAAAATTGCTCTGTAGCTTTTGAGCCTTCTCGCTAGTTTTACACGTCAGTATTATTACGTTTTTGTAACGTTAAATTTTCTTTACTTAAACAATGACGATGCAACCGTCAGCAATGCTACCGCGCAAATGCAGATTTTATCTTCTCAAAGGAGTCGTTAAACACGGGCGCAGGTATTAATGTTTTAATACGATAAATTTTTGATTTATATCATACCTCGGGCATCCTCAATTCGCAACCTTTGTGGACGTTACTAAACACGCAAGCATGTTAATGCGAATTTTTGTAACATCCGTGGGCCAATTATTACATTATCATCAAGAAGGATTCCTTTTCTATGCCGTTATTAATTTCGGATTGCGAAATAACAGTTGCGCGTATGATGCCATCCAGATTGTCTATTTCGATTTGACTTTGAATGTATTAACTTGCAGGCTAAGTACGATAACAGCTTTTAGCGGTAGGACCTAATAAAGCATTTTTGTTGAACTGAGGTGGCTTTTACTTAATGAAAATCCGTTTAAAAGTTCAGATTTTCACGAAATTATATATAATCCAAATATATGGAATTGCGAAAAGTAGTATTTTTTTAGAAAAATTAAAATACATACAATTAATAAAAACATTGAATAATTTTAAAAGGAATTCAAAACAACTTTTGTATATACCATTTTCTCATAACATTCGAAAACAGTGAGATAATGAACTTTACTCTATTGCTGACTCACCCTGTACATAATACTATTATTTATTTTTGTTAAAAATTATACAGAAATTGCATCATACATACATACATAAAAAAATATATATTATTGATTTTTAATAATTATTTTAATTAATTTATGACACAGAAATTAAATTGTAAGAAAATATTTTTCGTCATCTTATGAACTGTCACTTTTTCTTGACGGTTGATAATAACATAATAGTAAATAGGAAATCGCTGCCATCTAGGTAAGGGATACGCTATGTAAATTTAAATATCCATAAACAAAGAGCCATTCAAATTTATCAAAAAAAAAAGCAGCTCTGCAAAGGCGAGACAGCTGCTTTGCGGCGTACATGTTTTAACTGTTTACTTTTATACGCATATGTTTTTTTTGCTCGTACATACGTTTATTTTAACGATTCGGCGCCGTATGAGCCGTATTGTCTCGTATTATACGCAAAGTCTCTACGGTAGATAGATATTAAACGGACGTAACTTTATACAGTAAATCATAAAGAGAGAAAAATTTTAGTAGATATTAAAGTTTCGATAATTGCCACAGGCTGCAAATAGCCGACTATAGCCGCGTTTCATGGAAAAAGTTGATGTTAAGCCGTCAATCAAATGTACATAGTTTCTGTAACCATCATATTCTAAAAAAAACTGCCGCCTCAAAAATGCATAACAAATCGTGCATGTCATACCAAATTTCTTTAATAATAATAAGGGACTTTATTGATAAAAAAAAATAAATATAAAATGCAGTTCCCTAGCTGTCGGTTCATCAACTTAGGAGTTGAGTAAACTAACCAAAACTAGATATCAAAATTATATTATTTATAAAAGAGCAATAAATCATGTGAAATTTATGTATTTATTTAAAATTGTAAATTGTTATAGGGAATTTTTTTTTCTGTTAACGCTATCTTTAGAATAGAAAATCCTATTTTTTAGTTTCAGGCGCATGCAATATTAATGTAACAGGTTTTCTCATTTACAACGCAATACTATCGCTTGGTTTTATAATAAAATTCGTATAAAATGTCAGGTTTCAATCTGACAACGATGTACAACAGGTTGATCTCTGTGTTATTTTATATACAAATGTATTTTATATACAAATGTAGTGTAACACAACACAAAAACTGTCTTAACTGACGTATAATAAAAAAATAACTAAAAAGAAAATTATTTAATTAATTACTTTTTTTTGTATTTCTCTAATGTAAGTTGTAACTTTTGTAGAGAGATACAAAGATTTATGCATTAGGATAACTATATTATGTGTAAACATAGACGCTATTCCTATGGCATTTGTTTTTTTAGAAGCAGGACTTTGTTTTTTTACCAGATATAATGTGCTTCCTAATGAATAGTTTGGGACTAAAACAAACATTATTTATTTTTGAGTGTTTAGTTTCGAGAAAATATTCTTTTTATCTTTTATGAGCTTAAGCCAATATGTTGTAATTTTATATTCTGTTTGGATGGTACAGACAAAAACGTTTATATTTATGAATTGTATTTATAATTTTCTTAGGTTATTTTATTTTTCAATAAATAAATAAAAATGAAGTTCCTTCATGTTCTGATGTGTGTCCTTCATGGTTGAAGATATAGAAGTTGCCTCGCTCGCCATCAGAACTCGCACTCCGAGTTTATTTTATTATTTTTATTATATTATTTCTTATATCTCCGACATATATTCAATAAGAAATCGCAATTTCCTCTTAGTTTCCGCGAATATGACCCGTCCTCACATACATCGGTATAATTTAAAGGGAAATCTCTCCAAAGGTAAATGAACCAGTAAATTTTAACGAGCAGGAAAACCGCTAGAATGTTGAACTTTATTAGCAGCAATTTGAACTAATGAATACGCAAGTGCCTATAATTTATTGCGTAAAAATCACCGCCGTTTCATATCATACGCATCGCGCCAATCTATAGATGCTTCACTGTGTTTCGTTTTAGTTAAAGAACTTTTATTTCCCAGTCGCAACCTGAAACTTTTCACTTATCGCACAATTGTTTCTCTAATACAGATAGATAGTTTTATGATGAATTGATCTTGAATAAACTTTTGGCACTTTATATCTAAAGGTGAATGCAATATCTCAATTAAAATCCATCTCAGACTGATTTTTTTTGTTATTTGGAATGTATATTTTGAACGGACCATTAGACACAGTTTTCTTTTCTACTTTTTTGTTATAGTGGATGTCAATAAAATTACTAGAGAAGCGATTACTCTGTCAAAAAAAAATTAGTAAATTTTAAATTTAGAGATGTTTTAACCCAAAAATTGACACAGGGTATTTAAACAAAAAACATATGATTTTGGAACCCTAACATCTACAAAACTACTAGAGCTATCGAAAAAAGAATTAACCATAGAATATAAAAATGGACGAATATATATATGGTGTTTCATTTAAAATAACGGCACAACCCGAAGTGCAATTCATTTGTTTTGTATGTCAAATTTCAAATTTATTCTTTCTTTTTACAGAGTTTCGCGCTTTGACGTTGGGTATAGAAAACCTTGAATAACCAATCCATTCGCCGAAAAACGTATTCTTGATTTCTTGAGAGCGATCGAAATATAGCGTTGTTTCTCACGCGTTAGAAAACTTTCACATTTCATCTACACACATTAATAAATCTCGAATCTAATAAATATGGTTCCCGCATTCGCGCACTTCTCAAATGGCCGTCAGATCTCTGTAGATAACGCCGAGCAGTCTGAGAACCGTCTGTGGGTAATTGAAAAATCCAGTGATCCGTGTATTGCGAAGCATAGTATAATTTGAGGAGTGAAATTAGTAAGAGCATTTGTTAATTTTTTTTTCTTGGTGTTGTAGTACTTTATTGTAGCTGATTAAAGTAGCTGCAAAGGAAAACAATTAAAAAACAATTAAAAATATTACTTCAGATTTATTTCAGAAAAGTATTCTTGCTCTATCTTACTTTTGTCTACTGTGCTATGAAATTATTATCATTGGAACAGATATTCCTAACCTGAATCCGAGGTTACTAAAGGTATAACTAAAGATAGTTAAAATATCTAACGTTAGAATAAAGAAAAAAAATGGCGTTTTAAGGAAACCAGTTAAAATTAAGTGGTGGTATAGCTCCACGATTATTCTTTCTCTGTAATCTAGTAAATCTACTGTAACGATTATCAGTCATCCTCGAATATTGCGTACTTTGGTCTCTTACTTATAGGAAACGGAGGAAAAGGAAATTCTATTCTATAAGAATAATAACATCCGGATAAAATATCCTGTCATCAAAAAATGCGCGCCAACGCTTTGCCGCAGGTTCGTCGTTTTAATGTAAAAAAAAATACTTAATTTTCAAGATGGCGCTAAATATTAAAAAAAAAAACGACTCCTTAAGTCGAAGGTCGATGCTGATAATTTTCATAATTTTGGTTAGATTTCATTTTTTAGCACTGAGATTATTGGTTTTCGAAGTGCCCAAAAAAGTAAGTATCGAAATATTATAATATGCAACAAGTTGGGAACGGCATTTGAGTCACTGGAGTTTATTTTATTAGATATTATTATTTTAAATTGAGAAAAAATATTGGCAAAAGAAATTACAAGCAAACAAAACGTAGATCCTAGGAAATTGGTCCGTCGATTTTTGCTTTTGTCAGGTACACAGTTTAAAATCGTAACACTAAATGAAAAATATGCCTTCATTCGAAATGGATATTGGGAACATTCTTGAACGTTTTCGTTTGTACCGTAATTCGTACCTCTCTGAAATTCGATTCCTATGTAAGTCACAATTAGGAACGGCTCGCGATCTAGATCGTTGGCATTTAAAACGCAATTAATAAAACAAATCATTATAATTATCAGTGCGATCTATTTTTCGCAGTCGATGATCGCTGACCCGCGTATTTTTGCAGCCACGCAGATCACTTTCCGTAATATCCAATGGTTTTTTCATCGACAAAGTTTGATTTTTATCTGGAATAGTCCTCGTGCTGCCGGAACACAGTGGATCCTACTTTCTATATTAATTAAAAACTAACACACAACTAGGAATCCTTTATTCTTGTTTTCTTGCCCGAGATCTACTCTCTTATTAAAAAAAAACATGCCAACGACCATTCATTCCGCACTTCCAGAGAATGTCAACGTCTGCTACTATCTGGCGTTACACCATAAAATTAACAAAATGCAGGAGTTTCAATTAGTATCCGTTAGATGGCGCAATTCTAGAAATATAAACATTCGGGTGATTGGCGTCGTTTTAAATTCACCTTATAACTCGTTAAACAGTGTATGTCAAATTGATTGTAGGCGGTGCGTGGTGGTAGGTACTTAAAAAATATTTTTTAAATCGTCATTTTGGAATGCCAAACTTTTTCTTCTTACCGTTAGTAAATTATTGTTTTGTGTACACCTGTTAGTAATTTTTACTCTAAAATAAAGAAATACACGTCGGTTTCATTTTGATTATATGAGAAAATTAAATTTTGCCCCATCTATAATCGCTGTTAGACAAACAGATTTTCATACTGCATTTTTTTGAGGCACATACCGTGAGGTGGCACTTGAAGCGACTATAACGATTTGCATTATTTTGAATTTTGTCACAATATCTGTGTGATTCAAATTGCGATTCACTAACACTGGGCGGCTACCTACGTTTGCGTTCAAATTATGATTGTACCCAAACCTGGAGTGGTTTATAGTAGAAGTTGGTAAAATTTCCCATATAAATTGGTAAGCTGTGATTTAGCTTCATTTGAATAATCTAAAAATCTAATCTAAAAAAAAGTAAATACAAGAGGATAGTTCCTGCCCATTATCGCTGTGGTTTATGATCCGGTTGGTGATGTGCTACATACTATACAAAACTATACAAATGAACAAAGTATTGCGTACAATTGTTAGCAAAATTTGTTATGGAAAAAAAAATACATTTTTCATTTAAATACCAACGTACTAACTGTGTGTGTGTTCTGTAAATTCTATCAATAGTTGGAACTTCAACAAAGAACTCAGTAAATGCACGGATACGTAAGTCCATATCTTTGGAAAAATGCAAGCAGAACGGATGCGGTTATTATTTGTAGGTTAGAAAAAAAAATAAGAAAATTTATTAATAAACATGTTGTTGATGAATCTTTAAGGTTTCAGCCAAAATTCGCTAGGAAAAATGAGCTGCAAAAAAATGTCAATATTAAAATAAATTCGAACGTTCGGAATTTTGTAAATCTAGCTTCAGAAAAAAATGCAATAATTTTCTACTCAAGTCTCCAACGACGGATTATTGAAATAGGTCAATAAATAAACTGGATTATATTTGATTATATCATTTATTAATTAATAAGTCCAGAGAAATATTCAAGAAAAAAGTGTATATTCTGTGCTGGGGTTGCGGTCTATTTCTGAACGTACCCATAACGAATTTCAACCAAAAGACGTTGGCAAGCATGTGTGTTCTGACGCCATCTTTAATACCTTAAGCAGTTGTTACGCTATGATGCCTATGAAATTTATTATTTATTCTGTAATTATTTTTTAAAATAATTTTGGGCCTTTAAGAATGGAAAACGGTCCTGACGATAGTGATTCCAAAAATTCGTCAAGTGCACGAGCGTTTGAAGATGATCAGGTAGGAGTGGATTTGTATCCTAGAACATATTCGCGCGTTCTCATCTCTATAAATAGCGTTAATAGTATTTCACCTTATATTTAACATAATTCTGGTTTACTTTTCCTTTATGGCTTAAACAGTATTAAATCACCTTTGAAATACTATTCCTAGAAATTTATTCTATTGTCCAATATTCACAAAATCATAACCGTGTTTTTAGGTTTCACAATAGATTTCAAGTAATGATGAATACTGTACGTTTTGTTTTAGTCGTTTGTTGGAAAATTTAAGAACCATGTGTCTGGAATAATCAGTAATACACCTTTATCGAAATGGTTTCGGAAGCAAAATGTTGGATCGGCGGTCAGAAGGCGCGATGAAGAAGTTGACGAAGAATTTTATGATCTTCAACCTCCCACAAAGAAAACCAAATTACCTGAAACATATTTGAATTTCGAGGAAGCTATAAGTCCAATAAATAACGTCGCTAACCGAATAACATTGAAAACTTTTCCCGAACCTGTTGCAGGTCCCTCGGGTTATAGTGCGCGTAAATTGCTCGGCAATTCGTTGTTGGTGCGGGACACGTACAAAAATGGTGACGTAGTGAAAAGTGGTAGCAAAGATTCAGACAGCGAAGAATCCACCAGTGATTATTCGTCAGCACACATTGGAAGTAAGGACGTTGTCAGTCAGCAAAGTTCCAAGCAGGCTTCCCCATTAGAAAGCAGTCCGGCAAAGCTGAGGTCTCTGTTTCAAAATTCAAGTGAGTGTAATACTCTTACCCCTTTATTATGAAATTGTGATAATGAACGATTTTATTGTTTCATTGGCCAAATTTCCAGTATAACAAAGAAAGGGGCAAGAAATGATACCTTGAATTTTTCATCATTCTCCATCTCGTTTCCGTTTAAAATCTCAATGTGTGGATTGTTTCTGTCTTTCAAGGAAAGAGTAAATCATTATTATTGCATAAGTAATAAAAATACTCATGATTTTCTTTTTTGATGTTAGTTTGCCATTGGTTAGGTTGCATATAAATTACCTGCATTGTGCTTTCGCAATCACGTGATATGTCTGGTCTTTTTTTTTCTGTATGTTTCCAAATTTTGTAAATGTATCTTAAAGTTTTGAGCAGGCCAGAAATAAATATGAAAAGAAATTATTAAACAAAAAGTTTAAGTACACTAGTTAAAAGAAGCACTAATATTAAAGGTTACAAATTATACTTGTCTGGCTCTAAATTTTAATGTTTATAATAGGTTTTTTAAAAATTTATCGTGGACTAATTAATCTTGTCAGAAAATCATTTATGATTTTAATCTAGTGAAAGCTTAAAATAACAGTGAGATTATTTTTAATCTAAGAAACAGAAATATTCTAACCTATAATATAAAATTTTGGTCTTTTTAGCAAAATATGTATAAATTTAATGTTAATATATTTAAAATGTCAATACTCATTTAATAGGTACACAGACAATTAGAAATTTTTTAGATACAAGTGTGCTTTCAAAAAGAAAATAGTAAAAATTATAATGGTGGTGTTTAAGTGTGAATCATATCATAATTTGAAAAATTTCCTAACCATCCTTCTTGTTAAATCGAAAGGTGTTTTTATGGGTTGCGATGGCCCATTTTGCCTTACCGGCTTTAGTCATAAATTTCGAGATAGGGTGGAGCGCCCTTCTTAATTGCTGTTTTTTCAACAATTCAATTTTTTTTGTATAGATTTCATTTTTTTGTCGATCTTCATCGGGCCTATTTTCATTTTAGCGGTAGGAAGAACGTTATTTACCGAGGATAGCGTCAGCCCGCATTCATCGTTAAGTTCCCGCATGCCCTCTTACAAAAGATCGTCAGTTTCCTCAAATATCGCGGATCGAACTATCTCGACAAACAAAATAATCAACTCCCCTTTCTACAGTGGAAAAACGATATACGGAGGCGCCTCCGCATATGGGAGGAGCATAAATAAACTACCTCAAGATTTGAGGAATACCCTAAAAAACAGTATACAGATTAAGCCAGTGAACAGGAGCGCAGTGGATAAGAGTCACTTGCAACTTGGAAAAACGGCCCGAAGGATTCTGGATACCCTCGAGCAGTACAGTACGCCGGTAATGGACGCCAAGAAAATACCCGTCACCCCCAAAAGGTTCAGGGACGGGATTCTCAGCAAGTATACCGGAACGAATCCTTATACTATTAGAGCAACCAAAACGTCGTCCAACAAAGAGCTCCAAGTACCTTCCGTGACCGATCTGTTGAAAATGAAGCAGAGTCAACAGAAGTCGAGACTCCAAGATAGTACGGAAGCGGTGCGCCAGATAGCGACCCGGTCGAAATCGGTTTTGAACGAGACAGCTTACAAAATACTCGACGTTCAAGAGCAGGAAAAACACACCGGGAAAATAAAATCGAAAATTGGTTCGGTGAGACAGAGAGCGGCGGTACACGAAGAACCCGCGCCCGATTTGGCCTTAAACCCCGTGGCGTTGCCCATTAAGGAGATGCCCAAATTCAATTTTACGATACCCCCATCGAATCCGGATACCATAACTTTGAATAAAAAGGATAGCGATAAAACTCGAGAAGGCGGCACCGTTTCCAAGCCGGTTAGTTCGAACAACGGCCAATATAAATTTTCAGCTCCCTTGGTGCTGGGCGAGTACTTGAAACCATTGAACGCGTACAACAATTTCAAATTTAGCGAGCCGCTGTGCAAGAAAAGGAGGAGCATTCGGCCTGAGCTCGATGCCAAACTCGTAGCCGAAAAGAAAAATAATGGAGAGAGCATGTTACTTAAGGAGTCGATAAATGCCACTTCCCTGGAGCAGTTCAAGCCGGCCAAAGACACTTGGGAGTGTTCCGTGTGCCTGATCAGAAACCAAACGGGCAAGGTGAAATGTGTGGCCTGCGAGACTCCCAAACCTGATACCGGTAAAAGTAAAGGTGAGAAGATTATTATATCAAAATTACTTTTGATTACTTAGGGTTAGAGTCTATTTCACCAAGGACTAAAATTTTGAGGATATTTGATACACAAACTTAATAAACTTCAAATATGTTGTGCCAGCTCTGTGAGATTGAAACCAATTTCTAAAATTTTAATAGTTTTTGAGTTGTTTCTAATCATTAAATCAATTTTAATCAACAAAATAATCGAAACTTGTTTAACATTATTTGTAGGTTACATATAATAGCAGTTAGTAACTACGAGGGTTGGTACATACATTTTGATTGATGATTTATGGTACATTTTTTAAGGTTATATGATGAAAGACATAAGTTCGGTTCAGAAGACGTAAATAGTTCTCTCTTTTTTTTTTTTTTAATTGCTGCTGTTTGTCCATTCGGCTTTAATTGTAATATGTTTATTACCTGCATTAATAATTATCGAAATTCCTAACTATGAATCGAATGACTTCATTACAGTTTAAGAGAAAGAAAATAATTTAGAAGCAAAATTTTGAATTAATTATTTGAAAAATATCATGTTATGTCCCACTTTTTGAAAAGAGGTTTGAGGTGTATTGTTTTTACCTTTAATAGTTTTTTTAGTAACTACGGAACACAAACAATTTCCACATAACCTAAAAATTAATTTTCAAAATCGGTCAAATGCGTGAAATCTTATAGTATGATCTGGCGTACGAATTCTGGAGGGTGAATTGCCCCTCGGGTTTAACTTAAAAAAATATTTTTCTAAAATTTTGTGATATCGTTTCCTTTCAAAGGATAGTTCTCTAGTTAATGCCGTTTTATTGTTAGATGGTACAGTAACTAAAGATCTGGGCTTATCTTCGTAGCATGTAGTCGAGATTAATCGGAATTATGGTTCTATTGCCCGCTATTGTAAATCTTTCACTAATATGTCTATGAAATCCGTTGTCATTGTCATTTTGTCGGGGGTTAATGGTGCATAAAAAAATATTTTATTTTTATGTGCGACCAAGAGTATTTTAAATACAGGACTGGCTCAGAGGAAGTTTAAAAATAAACCTTTGCTCTTTATTTTGACAGTTCTGATATAAATAGGCTTGAAGGAAGGTGCAACTGCGCGTCTTCATTTATAATTGTTAAATAAGATTTTAGGGTGTAGCTAGCGTCCTCTATATACTAAGTGAAAAACTATAATTTAATAATAACAAAGCTTTTTTAACCAAAAGTTGATTGGTTTGGTTAACCTAGTTGGTGCGCGGTAATTGTATTTTTTATCTCCATAAACTCCCTTATGTTTTTATGTCAACCTCTCAAATACTGATTGCGAAGTGTCTTAGTTGTATACCAATTGATATGTCGGTGCTAGTGAGTCGGTTTGGTTACTAAATAAAGTAATTTTCAGACGTTAAAGTGTCTTCGCTTCCCGCGGAATTTTCATTCGACGAGACGTTAAAACCGGCGGCGGACACGTGGGAATGTCCCGTCTGTATGATCAGAAACAAGGACGACCTGTCCAAGTGTGCGGCGTGCGAGGCGTCCAAGCCGGGAAGCGTCCCGAAAACTACGACGCCCTCGAAGCTGTTCGCGGTACCGCCGTCGGCAGCGTCGCCGTCAGGGTTCGGGGATAAATTTGCACCGCCTCCTAGCACATGGGAATGTCAGATTTGTATGATCAGGAACAGCGACGAAGTAAGTCAGTGGCACAGCTAATAGTCACGGCTTTGAGGAGAAATGGGGGAAGCTAAAATTTCATACAAAAATTTTTAAAAAGAATATCCATTTTGATGATACCTGAGTTTGTACACTTCTTCCAGAACAAAGTTTCCAAAAAAAAAAAATCTGCGAAAACTGTCAAATCCACAATTGGGACTGGTGATTTTTTTATATTGCAAATGTTTATTAATATTTATAACATTTATAATCTTTTAATCTAGCACCTAAAACTTACTTTTTACAAAACTTCTGGTTTCCTCCTGCGTCTGTTTTTGCTGAGTCGAACTTGCAAAAACCGACGCGGGAGCAATTTTGTAAAAAGTATTACAGTAGCCTGTGGAAGTTTCTTAGAAAAACACCTAAAACTTAGTTGGTTTATAGAGATCATTTTCAATTTTTTTTTTTTTTCAAATTTTCAAATTATGTAAAATGACATCACAAATTTGTTTAAAACAAGTAAAGTGGTAGTTTAGTTATAACGTGTGTGCGAGGGATAATGTAAGAGAAATGAAAACAATTTAACATTCGTACTGAAGTGGCTTTTACTTGATGAAAATCCATTTAACGATAACTAAAGCACAAAACAAATTGGATTTTTCAATATACCACAAACTTTCACACACAGACACTATAATACACAAAATGGCTGCCTTTTATCCTTTTTGCAATAAACCTTGAAAAAGAATTAAATATTATAAAACAAATAGCATTCAACAATGGCTATGACTCATCACTGATAGATAAAATCTTAACTAAGAAACAATTTCAAAAAACTTTGAACTCTGTATATCCCCGTTTCTGTTACTGAATCTCAAATTAACATACATAGGAGAACCTAGTAATAAAGTTTCAGATCATCTCTCGAAATGTGGCCTCAAAATTGCTTCTAAAACTAATAACACTCTAGGAAAATTTGTTAAAAACGATAAATCTAAATCTAATAGATCCCAGAATTCTGGAGTCTATAGATTAAATTGCGGTTCATGTTCTAAGATTTATATTGGACAAACAGGTAGATCTTTCAAAAAACGTATCAACGAACATCGACGATCATTTAAAAACAATAGTTCAGATTCTAATTACGCAATACATTTAAATTTAGAAAAACGCAATTTTGACGACAATTTCGATATTTTACACACCGTTTCAAAAAGTAGAAAATTAAATTTACTAGAAGCTGTGGAGATTAATAAGATGAGAGGTTCGAATGTATTACTTAATGACAAACTGGATTTGAATGGGTCCACCTTGTTAAATCTCAATGTAATACCTCACATTAATTACTACCTGTTTTGTATTTATAAACGTCGGTACCGTTTGATATTCGCATTTGATAAAGGCACGGTGTTGCCGAAACAGCTGTCACAATATATTTATGTGAAAATCTGAACAACGTTGGTTCTTATTTAACTATATTACATGTTATGCAAGTTTTGTCTATCGTATCTTCGTATCGTATGTTAACGTCTTAACTAATAGACAAATTATTTAGAATATAAGCATTGCGCAGTGTAGCCTGGATTTACATATTTTTGATATATAAGAAATATAAGCTAGATGGAATCGAGATTGTGCGATGTTGAAAAATGTCAAAAACAAATCCCGGAGATAATTAAATAGAAACAATAAAATAAAGAAACGTTTTGTGAAGGTTAATGTATTACAATGAAAATATCCCAAGAACGATATATTTACAATTGTCGCTCTATCAAAATGTTAAAAAAAAAACTCAGAAAACTGAACAAAAACAAGTAAGTGTTTTTGTTCGGGTTTAATGGCCGTCGTTGAGTGGAATTTCTTCCTGACGTTTCGCTAGCACGAGCGGCTAGCTTCTTCTGAGGCGCTTCCATCTCCGATGTGGGTTGCAGACTGACGCGCTCCCGGCCGTAAGTTGTATTTATGCCTGTGGAGTCGCGGAGGGGTGGGGGCGGGGCATCTTAACGCATGGGTGGTTGTGACTACCGGGGCTGTCCTTGTGTTCCTTTAGATAGGGTTCCAAATTTGTTTGAGCTGCAGTGTCTCTTCTTTTCTATTGAAATTATTTGTATGTTTATGGATTTATATTGCATTGCATCTGGTACAAGGCGGGCATGATAGCTTGGCTTCCCCAAAAAAATAATGTTTGAATGATTTGTCCGTTTGTCCCAGTCTGCAGTTTCTCCGATGTTCCTTTATCCTGGTTGCGACAGACCTTTTTGTCGTTCCACACGTGCATTGTATGCGGTAGACTGCGGCGGCTGACAGTGGATCTCTCTTGTCATTGGCTGATCTTAGCGTTTGTTGTATTTTCCTTGTTGGTTTAAATATTGTGTTAATATTATGCTTTTTCAATATTTTTCCGATCCTGTCTGTCACTCGAGGAATAAAAGGTAGATACGCGCTCGCAACCGTTAGTTGTTCACCCGGGTCTTGTCGTGAAGCAGTTCTGGGCCTCATAGCTTTATCGATATCAGATATTCTGTATCCGTTTGATTGGAAGGCTTCTTTGAGGTGATCTAGTTCTGCTTCCAGGTGTCGTGGATCACAGATCCTCCGGGCACGTTCTGTTAAGGTTGTAATGATTCCTCTTTTTTGGCTGTGCATCTTTTTATTAGTACATTCAGAAACGCCCCGCCCCCTCTCCTCCACGACTCCCCAGGCATAAATACAACTTACGACCGGGAGCGCGTCAGTCTGCATCCAACATCGGAGGTGGGAGTACCTCAGAAGAAGCTAGCCGCTCGTGCTAGCGAAACGTCAGGAAGAAATTCCAATCAACGATGGCCATTAAGCCCGAACAAAAACACTTACAGTTCAAACGCTGGCCGCGAAAGGTTTAATAATCACTTTATTGAACAAAAACAGTTATGACATAAAGTTACAAGTGAAGTCTAGTTGGTGCGCGGTAATTGTATTTTTTATCTCCATAAACTCCGTAAAGTTTTCATGTCGGTATCTCAAAACATCTTTATCTATAAATTATCCCGCCCTTCTTAGCGCATTTTGGTACAGACTATCCTGTACACGAAATAAGTATTACACATAACAAAAAACAAAAAAACAGTTGCAATGATTTAGGAAAACGGGTTTAAAGGAAATCGTATTTTCTAAAAATATTCTTAATATTAGATGGTTTTAAATAAATTATTGTATTTGACTGGCGAACCGCAAAACTGCACACAAAGTCCGGTTTTTCCAAAATTTACTACGTAAATCCTCAGAGAAATTAAGATACGGGGCATATGTTAGGTGGGCGGATTTTGATTATATCCAACACTTTTGTTTAGATTGATAAATGTGCCGCTTGCGAAACGGCCAGGTCAGGTGGATCGAAGTCGTTGCCGCCGTCGACATTTGGGGGTAGTTTTAAGAAGCAGGACAATGAATGGGAATGCGAGGTAAATAATACAAATTGGCCCACTGTATTGAAACTATTTGTCATAAAAACTTGCATTGCAAAATTTTATTGCCAAAATAGTCAATGGAAGATAAATGCTATTATAGCTATTTACCAAAAAAAAAAAAAAATACGTAGTTGAATTCATTTCATTATGATTAATTGTTATATAAAATTCTCTTCGCATAATAATAAATGTCAATGATATTAGCTACAACTGATTTTTTTGGAATGTTTTGATAAGACAAAAAAAAATATTACGATTTTAATTTTGGCAAATTGGCATAGAGATCAATCAATGATTTTCACTGATTTTTGATTTTTGTCCATTTTGATCCGATTTAGTGATTGAAACCCAAATAAACGACGCGAAAAGAACCTCAACAAACAATGGATTGTGTTTGCCGTTTTCGTCGTCGCTTCGTCTTAGATAACGATAACTATTAATGAGTGCTTACATGCCAATGGCAGCTATCGGAACTGCTTTTAAAAGACAACCAACCAAAACTCCCTAATAACGATTTTTTTTACAGCTTTTTTACTACTACCTATTTTTCTACGATTGGCGGGGATCTATTGTAACAGTCGTTTTGGTCATCGCTGATCATTCATCCTTTCGACGTGACCATACCATTTCAACCTTTTCCATTCTATAGTTTCCAAGGTGTCAATATCTATACCCATTTGCTCTCTGATACCAGTATTTCTCTCCCTTCTGATTAGCTGGCAGCATCTGTGCCAACAATTCATTTCCATAGCTTTTTGTTTTGGAGACTTTTTTTATTTGTTACCCAAAGCTCTGAGGATATATCTGAGGATATTGTAACAATTTCGATGATATTTTCATATATTCTAACTTTGATGTTGGCGTAATGCGGTATTACCTTATGCAATTCTAGTTGCTATTTCTTTTGCATTATGACCATCATTTGTTATTCATACACCTAAGTATTTGTAACTATCACCTTTTTTAATTTGTGTGCCTCTTAATTCTAAATGTCGTCCTCTCCATTTCCCACCACTACATACTCTGTTTTTGATGGGTTAATCGTTAAATCACACTTGCTATATTCTAGCAAATATCTTCATCTTCTGCAAATATTACTTCGTCATCTGCGAAATGAAGCTTGTGTTCTCCAATTGGAATACTCATCGGTTTACATTTTTTTTTGCCAGATTTGCAAGACCCACTCCAAATAGATCTTAATGAGTGTAGGCGCAATGCAACAGTCTTGTCGAAGTCCTTTGGTCACCTTTATCTTTCTGGTTACTTTTTGCCCAATCTTTATTAGCCTCGTCATATCGTCGTATAACTCCTTCACTGCATTAATGTGTATTAGTGGAATTTTCTTGTCTTCTAATACTTGCCACAGCTTAACTAATGGGACGCTACGTACGTACGCTTTTTAAAGATCAATAATTACCCTATGTGCCTCCATATTGTGTTACAAATCGTCCCTAATGTTTGTTTTGGGGTAGACACGTTATCTATACAAGAACGCCCAGCACTAAAAGCCCTTTTGATCTTCAGCGTCTTCCCAACACTCTTCAATTCTAACTTCAATACTAAGTTTTTATAGGGAAGTTTGACATTTGGAGGTTAGGTTTACTCAGTTAGGTTTTGGCGAAATAGTGCTGTTTGTGTTTTTTATGATAAATGGATGTCGGAAAATTGATTTGATGATGGGTCTTATCGAATTCATGTCCACTTCCCCCGGTCCTGAAGCCTGGGTGTGTTTTTTAATCTCTTCTGGTGTTATTTCAGTTTATTCGCAGTAGGAAATATCATGTTTTTCGTGGGTGGATATCTAGAAATTCTGCTCGGTCTTCTGTCAACATAATATTCTACCCGTCTTTCCCGAGCGATCAAGTTTAACCTAGCATATTCTTTGCTGTCTGTTCTGTTGTGAGTGAAATAACGGGTGCAAAAAGCGATAATTGCTTCGCAGGCGTGTATGGTGCGCAACAATTCGTCGACGGACAAGTGCGTCTGTTGCGAGACGCCCAGGCCCGGCGCCGTCCCCGACGACCCCACCAAGGCGCCGACGATTTTCAGTTTCGGCGTCGACAAAACGACGGCTTCCGGTTTCACGTTCGGTGTGCCGCCGCAGACGCAGCTTTCTTCTAACGGCGCAGCTTCCGTTTTCGGGGTTAAACCGCCGCCGACGAGCGGGCCGCCATCTTTCAGCTTCGGCCTTCCAACGCGGGCCACGGGCGAAGCACCACCCAAACCGGATCCTTCGGTAGCGCCCGAGAAGGAAAAAAAGAGCGAGGTATACTTAGACCAGAAATATAGTGCGTTTGCAGGCGATAAATGATTTCGTCTTTTATTACCAAATCATCTCAATCATACGGGGGTGATCTCAAGATTTTTTGTGGTCTTTATTACAATGTTTTATTTTTAATAACCCCAGAAGTTGGTTTTTCATGTAACTCTCTTTAAAAATTTTCTTCTTTATTTGAAGAAGTGTTTGGAATTTTTCTAATTTTGGCTAAATGATATCATGCATCCAATACAATAACAGTATTTGGCTATAGTGTTTTTAACAGTTTATTTTCAAACCATATTTTTATGGTAACGCACACTTGAATCTTTGACGTTTTTGGCAAACAAAAATTAGTCATCTCCCACCCAACCATTTTTGTACCCAGCATGAATAACTACGAAGGCGGCACGTTTACGTGTTACTCTTATCACCTCATCCTTTTTTTTTTATATTGTCGTCAGTGTCGAACCACGTTTCCATTAAATACACTTTAAATAATCCACCCTCCATTGCGAAATTCTTGAGATTGAGATTCCATTAGCAGTTGCAGTTTATTTCTTGAAACTGAAAATCCATTTTCTTCAAAAAAGTACGTAACGACTCTTTGGCACAACTAATGTTTAAATCTGTTAGTACTTTTTTATGCAGTTCTTCTAGGGTTAGAAAAAAAAAATCACTTTATAAGCGTCGTAGATTATACGCCTCATTAAATTTGCGTGTTACTCTTTAATAACTCACTTTCCTCTGGACTATCCCATTTGCAACAATTTTTCTTACAGCTGGCTTCGGAACTTTGGTCTCGTGTCACTCGTTACTTTCGACAAATTTATGAAATCGAAACTGGTAGCCAGAAAAAATAAAATTTCTGGAAAACAATTAATTTGATCGACAAAATTATTTTACCAGGAGACGCGGAAGATTCGGTACTATAACTTTTATTTCAAACATTTTCTCGATTATGTACAGGGTTTTTCAATTATAGACAAAAATCTAAGAGACCCTGAAAATTGTTCTTTTTCAGAGTAAATTATTAGCCGCAAATCAAAATTCGCCAAAAATATGGGCAATTTGTTTAAATGCATCAAGAGCTTGCGGTTTTCGTCTATCACATACACTATTTGAAAAAATCCAAATGAAAATCACCATTTCTGGCCCTCAATCTAAACGCGATGACGTCATTTACAATTACGACGTACTGCATGGTTTCAGAAAACAGGTATTTTTTTAAAAACCATTTGCTCTAAATTCTAAAACTTCATATACCAACAGAAGTGGGAAATCCATTATGGGCAAAAAATCTAAAAGATCCTAAAAATTTCTGTTTTTGTGGGTAAATTATTATTAATAAAATCGCTATTTTTTGTAAAAATTTTAATATTTACCAAACTTTGCCGTAACTTTGAAGTTCGGCGAGACGTGAAAGACAGTTTATACAGAGGGCATGCACAAAAAAATGACATCGATATTGCGAGAGTTCCATAGTGGCCCGCAGGAGCGCGATAAAAAAAAGAATGTTTCCCTGTAGGGCACAAAGACTTAAAAATAAAAGACTGCGTAGTGGCTTCGTTGTAGAGTGTGTAACGCATAGTACGGGGCAGACGATTCGCACTGCCACGATTTTTCGAAATCGATCTTGTTTTTACTGCTGCTCTTACTTTCTTTTCTGAATTTGTTATAAAATTGTAAACATTCAAAACAATTTGTTTAGCAGCCGAAGACATACGGATCCGTTTTTTTTATTTGCTGAGGTAGTTCGTCTTCTAAATTGTCATTCGTCTTCAAATTCTGCGTTGTTTTTTAAAGTGTAAAAAAACAGGAACCTTCAAACAATGTTAATTTGTAAGATTCTAATAAATATTTGTTTTCTTATGACGTACCTTTTTCTACCGCGAACATAATCTATAGTCTTAAAAAAGACTTGTTTTTTATAACTCGAAGAGCTATGTAGCAAACACAAAAATTCAAGAAGAAGAATGTTGTTAATCGACAGGCACACAAGACAAAAATGATTATTTTCAAACTTACCAGTAAGATAAATAGAGTACCCCTTGAACTATCCATTGAAAACGGCATCGTAATATATACGGCCCATTTACGTTTCAAATAAAAATGTCCAAGTTTCTATAAATATTCCTTACGGTCCATCTCATGCAAGACCTATTTAATGGGATGGGTTTTACCACGGTCCTGCGAAGGTCTGCGGTTGAGGTACTGTAAAATACTTGAAACATCAAAGCAAAGAATGCACTATATTTTTGGTCGTATTATAACCTCCCAGGTGGCGCCTCTGTCGACGACGAGCTTCGGCGGTCTGACGCCCAAATCGAGCGAGCCTCCCGCGGTTAAGGAAAAGCAACAAGCAACGGGTGAGGCCGAGGACAACAGGTCGAGCCCCACTCCGAAGGTGGCGGTCGACAAAGGTTCAACGGAAACGCAGAGGGTGAACCCGCTCTTGAAATCCGGTGAGAAGTTGCCCGAGAAGGCGGTACCGGCCGCTGCCGGATTTTCGTTTGGAACGCCAGGTAAGATTATAAAATGCCACTAAAAAAAAAGCAAAACTGCGCGTATTATTAAAAAGTCGATCGTAGGAGCTAAGTTGATTAATAGTTCATTATTTTTAGTAGATGTGTTAATTGTTTGATTCGTCACAAAACCGTATCAATCGTAAAAATGATTAAAGATGTCTCACTATACAGGGTGTTTCAAAAGAAACGAGCCATAGAATGCGAGTATATCCTTTGCATCTAAATATTTTGATTTGTCCAATCAGCCTATCTGGTAAAGTCAATTTAAATTTAATTTCTGATATGACAGATTTTTGCTTGCCGATCGGAAAGCAGCAAATGCTGGACTGGTGTGAAATGATAGGGCTAAAGACTTTCTCGTTTTATTGTTCTAAAGATTGACGCAAAACTTACTCTTCCAAATATTTTTATGTGGATCATCAGCTCCAAGGATTGTATCGTTTTTGACGAATAGACGGAACCATTGGGCATAAACGCACACTATAACTCTCATTTCTCGATTTAAAAGCCTATTATGCGTGGTTGAACGAAACAAACGAAAAATAAATACAAATAATAACTTTCAAATATTACATAACTGTCAAAAATGGACGTCTAATGTGATTTTAATTGTTTGCTTAACAAAGTAGAAGAGAGAACATCTACCATACCGCACCTAGTAGTATACTTCTTTTTTAAATAAAAATATCTAGTAATAAATCAATAATTTCCACTAATTGTATTGGTACTTAAAATACCCAAAAATAGCCCTGTTTTATTAGAAATTACCTTTTGTGTCTGTATTTTTAATAATAAATAAATATAAATATAAATAAAAAATAAATAAAAAACGAAAAAAAAAAACTAAGTTTCCTACATATATTTACATATTTTGATACAAAGAATATGCTGGTATTCTGTGGTCTATTCATTTGGTTCTCAGGACGCGGGGGCGACGTAACGCACAATGTAAATAATTATAAATAAATATAAATAAGCCTGTCTTATTAGAAATTACATTTTTGTGTCTGTATTTTTAAGTAATAAAAAACGAAGAAAAAAAACTAAGTTTTCTACATATTTACATATTTTGATACAAAGAATATGCTGGTATTCTGTGGTCTATTCATTTGGTTCTCAGGACGCGCGGGCGACGTAACGCACAATATAAATAAATATAAATAAGCCTGTCTTATTAGAAATTTCATTTTTGTGTCTCTATTTTTAAGTAATAAAAAACGAAAAAAAAACTAAGTTTTCTACATATTTATATATTTTGATACAAAGAATATGCTGGTATTCTGTGGTCTATTAATTTGGTTCTCAGGACGCGAGGGCAACGTAACGTACAATATAAATAATTATAAATAAATATAAATAAGCCTGTCTTATTAGAAATTACATTTTTGTATCTGTATTTTTAAGTAATAAAAAACGAAAAAAAAACTAAGTTTTCTACATATTCACATATTTTGATACAAAGAATATGCTGGTATTCTGTGGTCTATTCATTTGGTTCTCAGGATGCGCGGGCGACGTAACGCACAATGTAAATAATTATAAATAAATAAATATAAATTTTAAAAATTATGAACCCATCAATTAACACAAAAAAATTTGCCAGTCAATTCTGCAACCCTAGATATTATATGAAATATTTTGGGCTTACTTAAACAGACTTAGTCCAGCAATAATCTGGACCGCACAGTATATCTTACTTAACTGATCCCGCAGCACAAAATATTTACAGTATCAACTGAAATTTTCAATATCAAACAGCGTTAAAAAAAAGCAACTCTCACATTGTAGTGAATAAATCTTGTTTAATGAAAATGTCTTTTTATTTCAGCGCCATCTTCTCAGACAACGGCGTCCACAAAAAACCAAACGCCCGCGGAAAACGACAGTCTCCCAGCAAAAAATTCTAAGCCCGTGGCCATTGCGACGCCGGCATCGACGGGACTCTTCAGCAGCCCGCCAAGGTTCAGTTTCAAACCTCCGTCGGCTGATAGTAAGGAGGAAATAAAGTTGACGAGTTCGCCGAGCTTCACTTTCACTCCCACCAAGAGCAAAACGATTTCGACGTCTCTTTCGAGCCAGATTGCGTCTCCAGCCACCGTGACCGATAAACCAAAGGCCCCGTCGTTCAAATTTGGATCCGCGGAGTATGTATATAGTCTGAGAGCCAGTGGGCGGCTACCTGCGTGTATTCGACCAGACCTGGGTTTTTGTACACTGAGGCCCCCATACCTACTATACATGATGTGGGGACCCACTAAGTCCAAAGCGGTGGGGGTGAGACAGATATTGATTTTTGGCGAATTTTGAAATCTTAAAATATATTATTGTTATTGTTGAAAAATAATAGTGGCAGACCATTAGCACGCGGTTAACATTATGGCAGACAGTTTTGAAAATGCTCAAAAAAATAGAATTTTGAAAGTATTTGACCCGATCTGCCATTGAGATATATTATTCGTTATAGTCTTAAAAGCTTATATTAATAACTGCAGACGTTTTGATTGATTGAGTACACTCCTCAATAGATAAAATCTTCACTATTACCCGGTCAGATGTATACGTATTATGATCGCTGTTTTACATAAATTTAACTCATTTGAAATTAATTTTATCACTATATGTATAGTAATTAATTCTTCTCATGTACTTTATATACTAAACTTTATAAGATTGATAATAAATGAAGTAGATATATTGCGAAATGACCTGAAATCTTGGGGTATAATGCAAGTAACAAAAAACAATTCAAATCTGTATTTCATTTTTTTTTTTTTTAATTTATTTAAGACAAAATTTTGAAAGGTGTCTGAGTCATATTTGTCGCAGGTTAACTCTTCTTCATCATCCATTGAATCGGACTCTGTAAAAATAAACCGTAAATTGTAAAATATAGATAATTAGTAATATTGATCCGAATATATTTGATAAAGAATTAATTTTTATCAACTTACCAGGGACATTGGTAATTAAGTCGATAACAAAAGATTGAAGTTGATATCTCCATCGAACTATTTAAAGACAAATGTGTTGCCCTGCTCAAGCCAACCATCCGAAGCTTTGTAACTACTCACGGTATTACAGAGGGTCCTTCCGCCAACGACTGATCTAATTCAGCGCCAATATCTTTTTCTACGACTTCATGTGTCTCAGAAACGTTTACGTCTTATACAAAATTATCAAGTACTATTGTATCATCAGTTATTGAGCTATCGGCTAATGTTGATGGTTGCTCGGTTACAGACGACGACGTAGTGGGCTGTAATACAGCTTCTTTGTTGAGATCGGTTGCAATTTTTTTTTTAAGCCGTAAACGCTTCGTAACAATTACTGTGATATACAGAATCAAAAATTTCGACCGGTAGAATTATTTCATTGTATTTTAATTTATAATGTTTTCTTAACCTCAAAATTTGTCGACATTTTCCATCTCTCTCTCTCTTTTGAAAATGTCAATAATTTCTCAGTCTTTACTGTGGCACAAAAAACACACTTCACTAGTTTAATTAAAGAAAAATAACATAAAGCAACACTGTGTATTTTATTAAATTCACTAAACACGCGGCATCTGTATAGAGATTCACAAACATACTGAAAACATCTGACAAAAACCGTTAGGTTGGGATTATAATTATCAGATATAAACCCTAAATTATTTAAGTGGTAGTAGCTATAAAATAAAACGCTATAAGCTGGAATAAGTAGAATAGTAATACATAGGAGAAAGAAAAAATATAGCTACATGCAGTGTATGCATACATCTGTCCGGGTAGTAGTAAAGATTTTCCTATCTACCGAGGACTGTACTCAATAAAAACGTCCGCAGTTATTAATATAAGCTTTTAAGACTATAACGAATAATATATCTCAATGGCAGATCTGGTCAAATACTTTCAAAATTCTATTTTTTTGAGCATTTCCAAAAGTGTGTGCCATAATGTTAACCGCATGCTAATTGTCTGCCACTATTATTTTTCGACAATAATAATAATATATTTTAAGATTTCAAAACGGCAACCGTGGTCAAATATATTTAAAATTCGCCAAAAATCAATACACGTGTCACCTGCGCAGCACCTGGGTCCAAATAAATGCTCCTTCTCTTTTAAATGTATAGTATTCTTCAATAATAGTCTATTACAATATCGTTAAATTCGAAAATCGCATGAACAATAAATAAAAATTAAAAAAAATTGTGACACACTTTGACACTTAACTATTTAAATTTTAATTTATGAAAAGATTGTTATTATTGATACTGGTCTAAAATAGTTTGCCTCGTTTATTAAACTTTTTTTATAAGCTGAAAGGTTCCTAGAAATTTTCAATCACGATACATTCTATTTCGTTTATAACGATTCTAATAGTGTTTGCATTTAGACCATACTAGTGTTTACTTTTTGTTTTATAATAATCTGTAAGTATGTTCCAAAATTTACATAAAAACGCATCTCCATTAGATTTAGTACGACACCACAAATAACGCAAAAAAAAAAATTATGCCTTAAAATTGTCATTTAAGTAAACTAACAGCCAGCGTTAATCAAGAGGTTCTTAACAGTTGCTTAGGTTTTATTGGTGGATACTGGCAGAATACCTTAGATATCTGTTTACTACTCTCAACGTATAAGATGACACTTTTTTTGCAAAGTCTGGGTGAGTCTCTGTGTACCTGCCCCGAATCGTTCTTTAAACCCAAGAATTGACAGTGATTAATTATGTTTATATCAGTTTTATTTATTTTATTTTTTTTCCTCAATTTTACATTTTTTGTTGTGCTTTAAAAATGTTCAAACCAATTTTTTATAATACAGTGAACGCGCTATATAAGCAACTCATTTGAACTAATTTCGATGAAAACAGTTTCTTATTGGGAAAAGTTGCTTATAAGGAAAAAACCAATATATTCCTTCTACAGAAATACATAATTTGTCCAACAAGTGCAAGATATTGTTCACGAAATCCCTCCAAAGTCGATTAGGGCCAATGCGGGTGTCCTTAATGTCTCTGATGGTCTACTCGGTGGAGTTGTCCACGAAGATGTCTGCTATAAGGTCTACATGTTTGAGTTGCTGTTGAGTCAACAGAAACTCTAAAATAACATAAAAAATTGCACTTCTACATATCATTATTTATTAATTAAAATTTATATTCATTCACTAAATTTTAGAGTGATCACTGGATTACAGACATAAATAGTTTCTAAATATCTATAATTAATTATTTTTTAATTATAATTAAAATTTTTAATTTTTTCTACTTGATTCCAAAATAATTTTGGAAATTAGAAACTTGAATCATATAATAACTCAAATAAAGCGTTCTTTTGTTTATAATTAATTGCTAATTAATGTAAAAATAATAAATCCTAATTTAGAAATGGTTTGATGTCAATTATAATGGACATTTACTTTCACAGCTCTATAACTTAAAAGCTGTTGGTCGGGGAGAATGTACGCATAGGAACTTTTTGTAGCAAATTTTATGTTCTACAAAAGCTATACACGCGTTTTTCCCAAAAAAAAATTCCTCACGTCGAAATATCAAGTGAAAACCGGGAAAAAAAATTCTGTGTTATTCAAATAGAAAAATTAATTTTTAAATGAGCCAAGCCGTTATTGCACTTAAAGCCTTTTAAAGTCTGTTCGTAGATATAAGAAAGTGACTAACTGATACAAATTAAGGAAAGACCCGGGCAAGCTGTAAGAATGAAATATGACCGAACAGGTCCGTACTTTGCTTAGAATTTAATTATTTGGGGTTTTGTTAGGAAAGATACTAAAGAATATTTATGTATTTGTGTATGTATTTATGTTTAAATTTAAAATAAAATTACAAATTATTTTTATTACCTACTTAAATTACCTAAATTATTCACATAATATATCAGTATCACTATCGCTATCATCGCCTGTTCTAATTATCATTTGCAATATGGATATACGATTGTTTTGCTTTTTCTATATGTTTAACAGAATTTGCCCAACTTTGTGGAGGGATGTTAAAAACTTCGGTTTCTATAAGTTTGAGGACATTGGAGATAACACTGGGAAAAACATTGTTACGACGAATGGCAGATTTCAGTTGGTGCCGAACATGTTTATTGGAATTAAATATACAGTGGCAAGGTGGAAGCCTTAAAACTGTATGCCTTAGATTTTTTGCATAATTATCGCAGACGTATTCCGTTTGTAGGTTCAAACTTTGTAGAACCTCAATTAATTACTTTTTGGTATAATCTTCGTGGAGGAAGGGGTTTTAGTCAACTGTGATAATTTGCATTCTTCATTACAATGACGCTATTAGGAGGAATGTTTGGAACTAGTTTGTTTTTAAACCAACTTTCAAATAAATCAGCGGTGGTGTCTTCATGGTAATCCAGAGAAGACTTTTTAATATTTTTCGCAAACAAAGTCCATTTGGAATCCAACCATCTTTAGAGCCAGCATGCAAAATAGTTATTCTTTTACCTCTTTTTGATGGCGCGTTGGTTTTACACTTATCAGTTGAGTCGACCCAACCGTTCTCCGGGGTATCTTAAGTGTCGCACCAGGTTTCGTCCACGTAAATAATTGACCTTTGTTGTTCTCTGTAAATCCTAATTTTTTCTACATATTCCAGTCGCCATTTCCGAATTCTAAAAGATTCTATTAAAACTTGCCTTGTGCCAACTTTTTTAAATCTAAAAGCTATGGGTTGAATACATTTAAATAAGCCAGTTCTGCCACATTTAACACCGGTTTCATCTTTTTCAAGCCTCCTAATTAACATATCTAATGTAGGCACGCCTTGTTCCTCGTATAACTGGTAAATTTTGCGCCGTATTATATCTTGATCACTTTCATCTACACTCGAGAAAATATCAGCGTCGCTTCGTTTTTTCCTCGCTGAAATGGGATTATTCACAATTTTCCATACAGTTGATGTTGGAATTTTCGTCAATGTCGCCGTTTCTTCTAAAGATGCTTGCTTGCTGGCACCACGTTCAATGAGAGTCAAATAACCATTGTTTATAACTTCCTTAGTCACAATAGAATAGTGTTTTCTACATTTGGACGGGAGCATCTCTTGAGATACACTAGGTTCGCACATACAACAACACACGCTCTATTACACACGAAATAAGAATAGAATGATTACTAATAAACTTGAACTAAATAGTATACCAAACCAATGAATATTAAACACGGATAGATATAAAACTATTTTTTATTACGGACCACAATTTTACCTGAATTTAAATTCCGAAACTTTAGGTAATAATCATGTTGCGTTGTATGTTAATGACCACCCTTGGATAATCCGTTCAAAAGCAATTGGTCACTTTCTTATATCTATGAACAGACCATACCCGGCGGCATAATTTTTTATAAAGTATCGGTTTTTCAGGTAGCACAGAGAAAAAAAAATATCGCCTAAAAATGAAGCACCCTAATATATATGTGTCGGAATATGGTAATATTGATAAAGGCACGGTGTTGCCGAAACAGCAGTCATAAAGCATTAAAAACTGTGAAAATCTGAACATTTTTTGTTCTAATTTACTTAGTAACAATTGATTTGCTTTCAGCTCATCGAGTCTGAGGCCCACGGTCAATTTTAACAAACCGGCGGACCAGGGGGGAATGGCGTTGTTCGGCGGTCCGGCTGCGACCCCTCCGAAGCCGTTCGCTTTCGGGTCGTCGAGCGTCGCGGCGCCGGAACCGGCGAAAACCCCCGCGTTTTCCTTCTCCGGCACCGCGCCCGCCGAAAATAAACCCGCCCCTTCGTATTCCTTCGGGAGCGCGTCGGCGGCGCCTCCGGCTTCCGAACCGGCCAAGACCCAATCGTTTTCGTTCGGCCAGTCCAATTCCGTTCCCACGTTCGGTCAGTCGTCGGCGTTCGGTCAAAACGCAACTTCGGTATTCGGGCAACCCGCCTCCAACACCGGCCCCGCCTCCTTCGGGCAGTCGACTTCCGCCGTTCCCGCATTCGGTTCGATGAGTTCCGCCACCCAGCCAGCATTTGGTCTTACGAATTCGACCGGTCAGCAGCAGTCGAACGTTTTCGGTCAGACGAACTCGATCGGCGGGTTCGGACAGACGAATTCGGCGACCGCGGTCCAACAGCCCGCCGGTTTCGGCCAGACTGCGGCGCCGTCTTTCGGTTTCGGCGCCAAACCCGCCGAAACTTTCAACCAGACCGCGACGGCGCCCCCCAACGGCGTGTTCAACTTCGGTTCCGGCGCGATGGCGTCGAATCAGACGACCGGCTTCAGCTTCGGCGCCGCCAACGCGGCCGCCCCTCCACAAAATAGCGGCTTCAATTTCGGGAGTTCGCCGGTGAGTGCGCTTTGTCTCCGAATATAGGGAACGCTACAAATGGCCGAATATCCCGAACGACGTTCGGTCCCGTTTCGGAAAGTCTCGGTGACAGTCGATACTAGATAGGTATAATCCGAATACGAATTAGGAAAACGGTGCTTGTTACTTTCGAAAAATCACAAGTCCTATAGGGAAAAAAATGATGAGCGTCAAAAAAAATTTTTTTTTTCTGTTTTTCGTTCTCCGTTTCTGTGTAGACCTGGCATTAATTGGCTATATCTTTTGAACGGTTTGCAGCACGACCTTCAAATTTGGCTCCTTTTGGAGCCGTGCACGAGGTACACAAACCAGTAAAAAATGGGTCTGATCAAACTAAGGCATCCATCTTTTTTTTTTTTCGATTTTCATCGGTTTTTTGGACTTCGCTATGAAACCACGATGTGTCCGAAATTTGAGGCCATCCACTTGAAATTTGACACATATATTAAGTTTAGCTCCAGCGTGGGGGGTCGAGAAGTATTTTTTAGAAATTAAAAACCGCACTTGCAGGGTATCGAGAAAAAAAATCATTTCTCCAAGACGGTATATACACGATCGAAAAAATTCTTTAACCAAACGACGCGCAAGATCCGGATCAAATACCTTTATTCTTGACGATTTTTTAAAAATGTACAGGGTGCGTCGGTAATTTCCTGAAACTTGGTCTCTCGTTGTAATGAAGGCTGTGATTCTGTTGCCAGTTTTTTTTACATAGCTATATAGCCTGGACACATACTGTACAGGGTGATCGGGATATTCGGGAAGTATATTAGGCATGTTCCTCTACTTATTAGCCATTCGGGCACATTTTTCACAATTTTTGGGAAAGGTCCCCCAACAGTCAAAACGATATACTTTAAGACACGTTTTACCGTTCGCCCACGTTTTTTTAAAAAGTTTTAATGTATGTGATTTTTTCAGGCCGCCCCCGCCACGTCAGGAGGTTTTAGTTTTTCGGGAGCGCCTCCGACATTCGACGCCAACGCGAAACCTTCCTTCAATTTTACCGGCGGTTCGGGAGTGGCCTTTTCGTAAGTTTTGCAAACATGAGTTGTTTTTGTCATCATTGTGTACGCCAAACCGGAATAGACTATAGCTTAAACGGCTACACACCAAAGAAGTGGCGGCCTTTTTTTCACATAGTAGTATGCAAGTCTGGGAACTTGCTTTTTGGGGTGCCCCAAGGCTCTAGTCTCGGTCCTCTTAATTACACTACCTCAAGGCTATTATTACGTTCCTTCTACCGATTTTAATACTTGCATCGTTAGTTTTGATTTAACTCTCTTAAAGGATCTTTCTGAGCAACATTCCCTAACATGTAATGCACCGTACGTACACGACGCGCGTTTCGCCAATCAAGTTGGCATCTTCAGGAAAAGATTAAAACTAAATGTTCTATATATATATATATATATATATATATATATATATATATATATATATATATATATATATATATATATATATATACACATCGGGAAGTGGGAGGGGGAATTACGCACTGTCCACGCAACCAATCAGCGCGTATAATGGGCCAAATGGGATTGGACCTCTGTCATTGTTCAGTGCCTTATTCCCTCTCTTAACAATTTCTAAGCTTTCGTAGGCATTTAATTTTCTACTATTATTTACATGTTCAACTAATTTTAAGTTACTAACATCTACCTTATGATTATTGTTGAACATTTGTTCGCCTACACTTAATTTTTCTAATCTACCAAATTTTAAATGAGCTAAATGTTCCTTAAATCTAACATTAATCGATCTTTTGGTTTGCCTTACATATGACTTGTCACAATCGTTACGACATATTTCATAAATTCCCGACTTCTCAAGGGTATCTAGTTTATCCTTGGGATTACCCAAGAGATTTTTTAATTTTGATCCGGACGATAGACACTTTGAAGACCTGCGGCCCTGAAGATTCTATCAAGTCCACTTGTATATTGGGGAGAGAAGGGAATCGAGACTACTTTTAAATTTTCATTATCTGCTTGAAAAGTCGTTGATTTTTGAAGTTTGTTTTTAAATATAAATTTCCTAATTAACTTATCGATAAAACTATCTTCATAGCCATTGATTCTAGCCACCTTTTTTATAAGGCTTCTTTCCACCTCAAACCTCTCTTGATTTAAAGGAAATGTGACAAGTCTATGGATTAGAAAATTATAACTTGCCATTTTGTGTTGAAAAGCATGGTTAAAATCATCAATCAATCAAATCATTCAAAATTAAAAAATCTCTTGGGTAATCCCAAGGATAAACTAGAAAAGTCTGGAATTTATGAAATATGTCGTAATTATTGTGACAAGTCATATGTAGGGCAAACCAAAAGATCAATTAATGTTAGATTTAAGTAACATTTAGCTCATTTAAAATTTGGTAGATTAGAAAAATCAAGCGTAGCCGAACATATGTTCAACAATAATCATAAGGTAGATATTAGTAATTTAATATTAGTTGAACATGTAAAGAATAGTAGAAAATTAGATGCCTACGAAAGCTTAGAAATTGTTAAGAGAGGGAATAAGGCACGGAAGAAGTACAGAGGTCCCATCCCATTTAGCCCATTATACGCGCTGATTGGTTGCGTGAACAGTGCGTAATTGCCCCTCCCACTTCCCGATGTGTATATATATAGAGAACGTTTGTTCTATTAAGTTTAGTTTTAATCTTCTCCTGAAGATGCCAACTTGGTTGGCGAAACGCGCGTCGAGTACATAAAATTGAGTTTCGGCTTGTGGTAAAACGCGTTATTGTGTGTTAGTACAGTGCCGAAGTTTCCAGTGAAGAGCTGAAATGGGACTTATGCTAAATTCCGTAAGCGTTTATTCCCTGTAACGTTGTCATACTAAAAAATGCTCAAAGAAATTGTTGAACTTTTCAAAGTCTAAGTCTACTGTACTGTACTGTACTGTACTACACTACTATATTTAAAATCATCTGAACTGCTCCTGAGTTGATGACTGATGAATCGAACTTCTTCTCTTCGAAGCTTAACAGAAACTGCTCTGTACCTACGTACGTTTGTGTTTAGACGAGATTATTTGGTTGTTTGGATATTTCTATGGATTCTCATATTTTTCTTTGGTAGAATAATTGATTAAATAAGAATTTTAGTCTTATCGAATAAGACGGAATGGCAGCCAAAACGCCAGGAATGCGAATGAACTCCTACCCAAATGGTGAATATTCCTGGTGTCTCAAATAGCAGCAATGAACTTCTGGCGTGTCGAGCACCAGGAATGCTGTAAACCGAGTGTCTCGGGCACCGGCAGCTCGCAGAATTTCGGGCGCACGCTACAAGGAATACTTTTTAGATACAGGACGAAAAATGTGATGTAGGAGAAAAGAAAGCTATAACTACTAAACTTATCCGCTGTTGCCGAACTTAATCATAAAACCCATCGTAGACCAAACTAAAATTCAAACAACCAAACAATCTTAGCCGCGACTCGGATCGTTATTTTTCACCAATATGGGAATCGGTCGTTCCATGCAATATTCATGCTCCTCCTTTAGCCGCGCCCCTCTCAAACTGTAGGTACAGAGTAGAGTGCGAGCCAGTTTCAGTTTCGAGTTCAATTTCTAATTTGCTTTACAGGGCTCCTCCACCTACCGACGGGGGCCACCAGCCACGAAAGTTTAAGAAAGCTATAAGGCGAACGCAAGTGCGATAGTGAGACGGTTGTATGTAATATTGTGTCAATGACGGTACGAGTAACATTTTGGGATAGCCGAGGCCACGGGGCGATGCGGGGTAGTAACCAAACGGACGTAACATATACCTAACATTTTTCAAATAAAAAAAAAGCTAGTAACCATAAACGAGACGTCCGACTAAACTGTGTCCCGTCGATAAAGTCGTCCGTGTTTAAGGTTATCCGACATTTGAGGTTAAGAGAACAAAGAATCTTAATGATACGAGATAACGCACGAATGCGGGTGACGGATTTGTCGGATGCAGTTTCTCCGGCCCGATTTCCGTGTACTACTAGTTAGTGAAAATATTCGATGGCCATTTCTGAACATCGCCGATAGGGGGCGCGGGACCTTCGATGTTTCGAGAATTTCTACGGAAGGTCCGCCCCGGGTAAAGGTGTTCACAGATTGGTCGTGCGTCTTCTTACGTTTGTATTTTTGTACAGGAGAGCTCCAAGTTGAAGACCTATCGGAAATTTTTGTTATTTTTAAAATTTTGCCCCCCCCCCACCCTCTCAGCCTGATTTTTCACCCGCTAATTTTTTAAACGATTGTTTGATTTCGCAGAAGTAAATTATTAATGTGTTAAATTATATTTGTACAGTGTGTCCAGTTTTCGTTGTTATCGGGGGGCGTCTCGGTTACTTTTAAACAAATGAAACAAAAGATGCCGATTTCAAAACAGTCCCAGCCGGCTTTGTTTTTGAGACACTGGGAGAAAAGGAAACAATTTTCCATTTCGTGTATTCGATCTTTTTACATATATATAATTTCAATTTGATTTTGCAATTTAATACAGTTTTCAAATAAATCTATATTTCGACGTTTTACAAAAAAAAGAAATGTGTTTCCTACCTTAATTTTGTCCCAATTAACATTATTATTATTATTATTATTATTATTATTATTATTATTATTATTATTTTGTTGCAAAAAATGAAAATAATAACTGTCAGGAGCATAGAATAAAGGGTTTAGTGACATACTCAGATTTGTCATAAATGATATAATTTATAAGATGTAAGCTAAAGTTAGTTTTTTTTAATGGAGCACCCTGTATATATTATTATTATTATTATCAAATTATAAAAAAGTATGCGAAAAAACTGCTTAAACTGATTTACGCGGATAATTAAGTATCTAGCACGTAAAGTCCAGAATTCAGTGGCGTACTCGGATTTATTCAGGAAATAAAAATAAGGAAAAAAGTTCATATAAATGTATGTCCTGCAATGCTCGGTAGTGTGCTATCGCTAAAAAATAGAATAAATAGTTTTTTGTTATTTTTAAAGCAACTTTTCTGGATTTTTTCAAACTTGATAGGTATTATTCCTGCTTGTTTTTGTTTAACCTGTGGCGTTCGTGACATCGTTTTATTTATTTTAAGTAATAAAAAAAATGGCACATCGATGCTGATAAATTTATCTATTCTGTTCAGTGCTGCTCATAGTCTCTTCAGTTTTTCCGCAGAGACAAACCGTTTTTTCGACTTCTTTTTTAATTTAAATTAATATGGTCTCACAAACGCCGCTGGTTAAACAAAACCGAGTTTAACTAAGGTTCACAGTTGCTTTTCAGCGCCAACAATACCTACCAAATTTGAATGATTTTTTTTTCCAATATTTTTTCGCAATATACACCCTGTATCTTCGAAGCGAGGGACTTTGGAACACAAGTTTATATGAACTTTTTTACTTATTTTTTTTTCTGCCGAGTACGCTGTTCAGGCTTCCGCATTATGTTGTCCGTGTCCATATCATACAAGCTTTGCAATCATTTTTTTTTATACAGTAATCATAAAGTTAAAGTAATTATATCGTTAAGTGGAATAAACATCAATTATATGATATGCAAACGGCAGAATTTGCAATTTCTCCTTTTATCTCAAAAACAAAGGCGGCTACGATCGTTTTGGGGCAACACGAAAATTGATAACTGAGATGTCCCGCGATAACTACGAAAAATTGACGCGTGTTTGATAGCAAAAAATCTCACACACCGAGCGAATTCAACTCGGGAGCCTCTCTCTATCTCTCTCGCCCTAATTATGGGCGTCGTGGAAACACGGTCTGATCCATAGAATGTAGAATTTTATAAATATTGGTCTTTCGTGGACGTTTTTCATTGTGACGATGGAAATTTTTTTAGAATACGAATATGGACGCGTATGCACCCCGTAGTGGCGGCATAAGCGTTCGAACCGCCGATTGTCATGGCGTTTTTAACTGTGATATTCTTTTGGGTCAGGCCTCCCCCCCCCCCCTTACATTATATATATATATATATGAATATAATCTTAACCCGTTGTAGGTTTGATCAGTGACGGAACATTTTTAGCTAGCCAACCTTTTTTCAGTTAGGGACAAGTTGTAAATACTTATTTTAGTTTTTAGTCTAAGGCTACCGTTCTGAGAAAAGGTACTTTTCCTATATACCACGTATATTTTTATATCGCGAGTAGTAACCCTTCAACTTCATTCGAGCTAGGTGTTGTCTGTCGTACAAAGGGCGGTGAGTGTGATTGAAATTCTCCCGTCTGAATTACCATTTTGAGACCGTTTGAAAATTTCGAGATAGTCAGGGGAAACTGGTCGGTTTTGATCGGAGTATGTTATAGTAGCGCGCTAGCGAAACCCAATTACTATTTAAAGTAGCGGGGAGAGAGGAACATTGACGAACGGACCAATACGGTAATGATAGAAATACCTTTGACAATAATTAGTATTTTTTACGCCAGCGATTGGCGGAAAATGTAAAACGAAACGGAAACAAACGCATTTCCCGCAACAGAAATAACCTTGCACAAAAAATGACTTTATTATTAGGCAAAGTTTTTTTTTTTACTTCGAAATTTTTCTAAAAATGTGGTGAAAATAAGGCGGTCTGTAATGATAGCACGAAAAGGAACGCCCGTAATATTGATTTCGTTACCTTAAAAAATACTCATCGAGAATGCTGAACCGTTTTGTCCGCTAGCGTTTTGTCACTGTTCAAATGTTGAAGTAGACTCACTCCTTGTGATAAAGCAAATTGTTTCCCGACCGCGATGTATATTTTCTATATTGAAGGGTAATTATTTTTACGTGAGCAATTAAATACAAAAACGAATTGAAACCGCGCGAACGAAAGGAGTTAGACTGCTTCGAGGCGTGTAAATAGTATACCCATAACGTGGATTTGTTTGGCTGGAAATTTCATTTTCTCTTAAAGTAAATCCGAGGCAATGTATTTTTCAACACGTGGAATTTTCAGCCTTTATTTTTTTATTTATATTTTAATACCTACAATTCACGCAGACTTGGCCTAGTCTTATCAATCCTCGGGTAAGTTCAAATAGTTTTTTCGTGTCCGTATAGGCAGGCATTCCTATGTGAAAATTAAATTTTTTTTCGTTTTAAGCCAGATTTTGTTAAATACATGTTATATGTTTTTTGGTTAATAAATTAATAGTTAAGTAAAGTAATGTTTGTGATTTTGACATCTAAAGTGGCACTTTTCAGAACTCGACGGTATGAAATGAAGGGTACAGGGGGGAAAGGATGAGACTACTCTAGGACATGGTAAACAAAAATAGGATTTTGGAATGTAATTATTGCTAACTTTGACTAGAATACTCGTTTAACAGAATATACAAAAAATATATAAATTGTTAATACAAAAGTATAAAAAAGAAACTTACCAATACCAAAAAAAAATGGCAGTAAAGATGAAGGTCCACATTCTAGATACGAATGTCCGCGAACAGGAAAAACCATTTTGATTGTGTTGTCTTTGAACAAAATGAACAATATAATGTGACATTCTAAACACCTGGAAATTTTTATTTTGTCCACGGCATGAATCACAACATATTGTAAGCTTTTTGACATCAAAATCCAGACGGTTAAAAATCCCATAAGCACCTTTTTTCTTAAAACTTCAGTATAAGTATAGAAAAGAGCTTCAGAGATAGAAAGGACATGTAAACATAAATTTTAAAACTTCAAAACTCGATTTTTTAAGTTCCCATTTTTTTACCTAGATGTCGCTAGGGCTGAGATTTCAGATGCTTTGTTTATACCGTCGATGTCACCGCTTTGCGAATTTAATTGTCTTGTGTGGATCATTTAACGACTTTTTGTTGTTAAGTGCAGCTGTGTGACGCTTGAAAACTGCTATGATCAGTTTGATATTTGTTTGTGTTATTTCAGAAGCTTGGATTCATACCGAATAATGTATTAAAACTTTGTACAATTCTTAAACTGTTAGCCCTAATTCCCGAATTTATTCTCCAGTTGGTACCTTTGACCAACTCATTCTATCTGCATTAGCTGCTCTGTTGTAATCTTTTGTGGTGTGTAGTTTGTGAAAAATGATGCAACAGCAACATCTTATGAAGGAATCCTTTTTTACCGTATTTAGAGTGCAAAATTAAAGCTGGACGATATTTTTACATGCCTTCAATCTAGCGAAATTGACTATTCCTAATTTTACTTGCAAAATATAGTAATACTTTTTTCGCCAGAGGTCTCGTCGATAAAATGAATACAAGAAAGGTTAGGCCGAAGAAAAATATATCCTATCCTATATAACAGAAAATCCTCAAATATTAGTGTAGATCATGGACATATTTGATCATTTTTTTTTATATAATATAATTTGTCATTCAGAAAGACCCCATGGTTTCTAAAATTTTTCTACAAAATCTTTTTTTTTGTCATAATAAATGACAAACTAATTACCTCAAAATCTTATTTCTATGATCAAATTTAAAAAAATTGACACTTTTGGTTAATGTTTTAAGTTAACACTGAATTTGTATAACTCGAGCGCCATCTACCTTGAGATTTATGAAACGTCTAGCGAATCATGTTAAAAATACGTCATCTGAGTACTATTTACAAACATGGAGTTCATCAAATAGTGCAAAGAACTTTATATGCGTCAGTACCGTGGAACGGAGAATTTGCAATTTGTTTCTCATCCTTAACGCAGTAAAATCCTTTCGGGCGTTTATTTCTAAAGTAAAATAGATGAAAATTGCATAAAAAAAATTGAAAAGCCTAGTTTTTAGAAATTTTAAGTCATCCAATCTCAATTTCAGCCACCTGAAGACAAAAAAACTTTTTGTATGTTAGTCTTTTCACCCCATTTCTGTCATGATGCTTTGGAAAAAGAAAAAAATGTAATAGCAATTTAACATTTGAACGGTTAGTTGCCCACAACATTTTAATCCCCTAAAATTCCAGAAAAAGGCCAAATTCTATTTATGTGACATACTTTAATTATAAATATATGCATATAACAAAAGGATTCTGTTTTAGGTGGTTTCGCAGTTCATAGAAATTTCACCACGAAAAGTTAGTTGTTTCATTTTATATCCACCCTCGTCTGGCAAACTCTTTTACCGTAAACGAGAACCGCTTTTTGTGCAAGTCGGTCGGTTCCAGTTCTGCGTTGAAAACTTTATCGCCGATTTCAGACATATCCGCCAATTTACCGTCGAATAGAATGGGCGGTAACATGTAAATCACGTGGTAGAATTCGCTTTCGTTGGCTGCCAGTTTCACCTGCTGGTCAAAGTTTTTCCTGGAAAATTCGTCCGTGTTAAGTTTGAACAGTTTCAGGACGTTCGCGAATTCTTCGTAGTAGAGGTCGATGAGTTCGTCCAAGTGTTCGCGAAGGACTTCTAACGTGACGCTGAAATAGTGAAGTGGCCGTTAGCAAAATTAACATTTGTGAGGTTGGAAATGCCGAAAAAATAAGCACAAGCTCAAGGGCAAATAACGGGTTATTCAATGAGAGCCACCGGATTTTGTTTTGCACAAATATTTAATAATTTTAAGGAAGGCGCATGCACCAAAACATAAATGTACCACAGAGCTTCATATCGCGAACATTCGATACTCAGATCAAAGACAATTTATGGAGATTTTGGTACGCTTCCCTTATGCCTTGTTAATAATAGGAATTGGCCATTTTAAAAACTATTTTAGACACCTTCCGCTCGTTTGAGATGACGTTGTAATAATTATTACGCGTTACCTCGAAAACAGGAAAAATAAGAGATCCCTGAGGGGTGACTTGTATTCGCATACTTGAAAATCTACCAGTATGGCGTCGACCGGTTCGTCGTTCGTGAACTTCACCATGAGATTGTTCACCCATAGATCGTTGTGCGTCACTGTGGCCCATGGTTCGTGTGTCACTTTGAGAGCTTTTCTCCTTATGATCTCGACGGCCCGCTCTTTAGTATTCTGGAAAGTAAAATTCAATATTAGCGCTGTTGCGGTTTGCATTGCATCTCAGCGCCATCTCTATTTCGGAAGCGCCACTAAGCATTATACATTACCAAATGGATAACTTTGTTAATATTGATCCTACGATGAAGTTTAAATTACCAAAGTTGAAGCATTTTTCCTAAACCTGCAACTGCAAACTCTACAATCGAAAACATAAAATAAAAGTTTTGTCTGTCATATTTGGAATGTGTCAATCGACTGCATTTTCATTGCAAGTCAAAAACCATTGTTTCAAAAATCAAATTTGCCATGATAGCTGTTGTCATGGAAACCGGCGTAGTTTACTGTCATTATATATTAAAATGGCATTTTGACAAGTAGAAAAATTGTACGTTTTGTGGGAATTTTTAAATTGTAACTAAACTCAGGCTACTGGTCCCATTGAGTAATTCCTAGAAAAAAAATCATTTTATAACACTTATAGTGTTATAAAATAGTGGATGTCTAGATAGGAAAAAACGGTGTAAATTCGGGTCTCATAACGGTGTAGATTTTACTCACTTTGACACGTTTTTATGAGGATTCCTACAATCGAGAATATATAGAAGAAGGCCGGCAACAATTCTGGAAATATAAAACAGAATACGAAAAGAAGTTGAAGCCCTAAATGGGCAACCAGAACTTCCAAGGTGTATCGGAAATCTTACACAAACGTTTTCGTGTATGTGTGGTGGTCATATTGTTATTTTTTTGTTATAAGTAGTAGGTAAGTAACATGTTCTTAACAAATAAAAATATATTTAACTGAACGTGTCATACTAATTACCACTATTACAGCATAGCAAATCATACAACAAATAAACTCTTCTGCTATAATAAAAAAAAAGAACTAATTTCAAATACAGTTTTTACTATAATCTAAAAAAGCGCTCGTTTCCTGGTCCATGAGTTTTTCTAATAGAGTACATGGTTTTTGAGAAATTTGTTTTCTGAAGCCATGCAGAACGTCGTAATGAAACATGACATCATCGTGTATAGAAATAGCGATATTCAGATTGATTTTCTTAGATAATTATCTCGAGCGACGTACCGTAAAGACAAAAATTATAAACCAAATAGTCATATTTTTTATGTTTTGTAGTATTGTATTAAATTGAGAACCTACGTATGTAAATGCAACTTCTCCTCCTCACTATACCTCACTTTACCTTTACATACTATACTGCAGCGTCCATAGACAATTTAAATGTTCGAATGTCAATTCTTAAAAAAAAAAACAAACGGTACTTCCTGGATGATGGGTAGTGCAGTGGGTTATGTATTAATTGCTAATACACATTTTTATTTTCTCTTTTTTTCTATCTCTTCTTTGTTCATACACAATCTAATGTTAGTATAAAAGAATTTAGCTTTTATATCTAGATATATAAATTTGCAAACATCCTTGTTTTTTTTTTTGGATCGCCTTCAGTCTTTTTCTGTAATTAATTTTCTGCGAATAAACCACGAGGATGAAAACATGAAGGAAACTCAGGATTTCCCCCCTGGGCAAAATACAACAAATGACAGAAAAGCACCAGGCATCGCATAATAAAATATGGAGGAATGGAAAGAGAGTATTCTGATACCGATTTTCCAAAAGGGGGAAAAAACCGACGTTCAAAATTATCCAGGCATTAGCCTGATGAGTGCGGTTCTGAAACTATGCGGCCCCTGCGGCGTCTGCTGGCCCCCCAGCCCCCTCATTTTCAACAGGTTACTTCACGGGGCAAAGCTGCATATATGTGCCAAATATGAAGTCGTGTTTCATAGCAATGTCCAAAAAACAGTGGAAAATCGCGAAAAAAATATGGATACCGGCGTCGCATTAGGGCCATTTCTTATAAGCTTATGTGCCTCGTGTAGTGTTAAAAAGGAGAAAATTTTTTTTTCAACGGTGATCATTTCTGTACCAACGGCGATTCCATAGGAGGAAAAATTCGATTTCATCAGTTTTCGAAAGTAACAAGTGATAGAAACCTAAAGAATGAAGTAAAAGCCCAAACAACAAAGGCAGATTAATATCAGGATACCTAAGAGAAGTAAAGTTATATATAAAGAAAAAAAAATGGGCGCGACAAACCTCATCAATATCCTGCTCCGTTTTGATCATTTTCGCAAATTGCCTCACGGTGAACTCATAAAAATTATCCGTGAGGTAATAGTCCACCAGATTGGGTTTGACCTTCGTCTCGAACTCCTTGGGCTTTTTTAGTTTCAGTGCTAACGGGTAAGCGTTGAATTTGGCCAAATTCTTCAGGATGATCCTAGTCGATTTCAAGTCGAACCCTTTCCGTCTATCGCAAGTGGTGTATCCTGAAATTGATATTTTAAAAATGGCGATTAAGCGAGTCAATACTGTAACGTTTCTCACCTAAAACCTTAAGATTTTGCAACAGAATTATCGCGTTCTCGTCGACTTTCTCGCTGCTAGGATCCAGACTTATTCTCCCTCCGTAAGATTGCGCAGCGTAACTCACCTTGTCGAGTATGTTGTTTTCTTCCAAAAATAGCTGAACGGCCGGAATCAGCTCCAGGTAAAAGGCGATTTCGTTTTTGAAGGTTACTAAAAACATTTAGTCTTTGGGGAATTAAATATGGAGGAAAAAATCAAACTACGTGTGTTCGACTGTTTCTAGGAATCTGGGACTGCTGCTTGATGTTGTTTCGGATAGAAAAAAAAGACATCAATAAGATTTGGTTAGTTAGAATTAATCTTTTTAGAAAAATTATTCATTATGTATTCGGCATGTGTATGAAACTTCAAATTTGAGTCCAATACAACACCCAGATAAAAATACAAAATTTTGACTTGTCCGTGTTTATACAAAGGTTATTATTGCACAGCCATTCAGAAGCCTTCTTCGGATCAGCATTCATTTTTCTTTGCATTTCATCCACATTTTCACCCACAATAAAAATCATAGTGTCATAATACATAAGAAGCAACAATGGTCCCAAAACTGTCCCCTGAGGAACACCGTGTTCTACAGTTATGCAATCAGATAGCCTATCTGTTAAATACCTATTTTGTACAATTTTCTTAACAGTCTAGTTCTACTTATTGTTTCGGAAGCACGCTTAAAATCCAAAAATACAGCCAACACAAATTTACCATCCTCCAAGTCCTGTTTGGAGCGAAAGCCCGACTGGTTAGGCACTAAAATATTGTTTACCTCACAATAACTTTGCAGCTGCTGTTTCATCACAACCTCAAAAACCTTCTCATAAACTGGAACGGTATTAATTGGCCTAAATTCTTGACATAGATTGGTGTTGGGAACTTTCTGTGCAGGGATCACCATTGACGTCTTCCATGCCTCCGACAATCGATTTCCAACAACTGCACAGGCATCAATCAATACACTCTTTGAGATACCACACTCATCACCAGTCACATTTTTTAATTCTCTTATTATTTTTTTTAGAACCTAGATAGTTATGGTATTAAACTGATCTATTTCTCCATCAGTTGGTATATTATCAGTGATATCATTCACAGCCTGGGATGCCACTCAAAATATGTTTACACTGTCTATAAAATACCTGTTAAATTCATTACCTATGACTTGCTTGAAAGAATAATCAGTAAAATGTGCTTTGACTATCTGTTTGTAAGAGCGTATGATATAAATTCATTTAAAAATAATAAAAAACGAATTTAATTGTATTTAAAGCTTTACAAAGTGATTGGGATTTGTCTGCGCATACTCATTATTTCTAAATTTTTAAACTATGTGAATGCGAAAATTATGTTTTTTGCTGACTTTGACACACGCATTTAAGAAGTATTTAGGCAGTTAAGAAATTGTCTGGACATATATGAACTGAGACCCTGGACGTTAATAGCATTATTACAGTTTTGACCATTTATCATGGGGTTCTGAATAAAATTGCTGTTAATTTTATCATACCTTGGACGTTGAAAATATTCTGCATAACTTCTAGTCGAGGAATCATCTTGCCGACCAAATCCAAAAGGCGTTCTTGTCCTGTCTTGTTGTTTTTCAAGACCACATCGATTTTCAGCATGATCGAGCCGTAGTTTTCTCCTGGCGCTGTCAGGTTGGTCAGTTTGTAATCGACCATCTGCTCGTCAGGACCAATGTGGTCCGAGATCAAGTCTTCGAATTGTTCGATGGCTTCCACCTCGCAAGGCATTTTTTCAGTGAGTGAAATCGATGCCGAACGACTAAAATAATAACACGTACTAGTTGGAAACTGCGGATAACTAATTAAAATCTGATAAGCAAATGCGTAATACAATTTTGGAGTACGTAGGTACTTATTCTACGTCCTATTTGAAAATATTGTAGCGGATATTCCTCTAACAATGATTTTAGGCTGCAAGAGGTCAGGAGAAATTGTTAGAAACATAGCAATTTTCCTTGGGATTCGATCCATTTCCTCCCCAAAGGTCAATTTTGGGACCCTAGCTATTCATGGATATCATCAGCGGAGCAAGTGATATACAAATATGGTTGACGATACACAGTTAAGGAAGAAGAAGAGGCGTTGGACGCTCTACCGATCGTAAATTAAGATGATGCCCAGCTTTGTTTTATTTTAAGTCGATACCTTTACGCAGATGTTGGGTGGAAAAGGAAAACCGCGATGTTTGCCTTATTATATGAGTTGAAATGTTAAAATTTTTAGATATCGGAAGAAGGATACGACTCCATCCCATAGCAACCTTAGATTTACGAGCCAAATCTTTAAAATAGTTCATTAATCATTCATGTGTTCTCTCTTTAATTACAATCACAATAAAAAGCAAAAAGAAAAAGCATAAGATGTCCACTGAAAAAAAGTTAATAAAAAGCAGGGGTCTAAAACCTTGGATAAATACATGCATGTATATGTGAAGTCGATGCACAAATATATGAAAACTTTAAGGATCGCCCGGGTGCTTTCACAAGGAAAACGAAAAATAATTACTAATTAACAAATGTTTCACTTATATAAAAATGACCCCAAAAAAAACACTGAAACTGATAAAACAAGCAACAAATGGAGAAGAATTCGCTAGAAACGACATTGTGTGCAATTGATAAGCAGTGTCACGAATAAAAACTTTTAGTAAATATTTCGGCGAAGTAGGTGCCAAAATAGCAAGCAAAAAATGACTGCTAAATATTAAATTTGAGGAGGTAAATTGAATCTTTAAGACCGTAAAATATCCAGAATGTTTTAAAAAAGCACTTGTCATGCCAGTCTATAAATCTGGAGATAAAAAAAAATCAACATTTATATACCTGCGAGCGGGTACCCAATAAAAACCAGAATCATTTTTTATAAACTATATATTGTTTTGAAAATCACAGAACGACTTTCTTCTTCTTCTTCCGTAGCGTCACAACCCTTCGTGGGTCTTAGCTGCATCTACGACTCGTCTCCATCTGTCCCTGTCCAACACAACCTCCTTCCAGTTCCGTACTCCCAAGATTTTTACATCCTCTTCGATATTGTCCCTCCATCTGAGCCTTGGTCTTCCTAAGGGTCTCTTTCCTGCTGGGTTTTCTTCCCATATCCTCTTTACAAGACGTTCCTTCGGCGATCTCTGCACGTGTCCAGCCCACCTGAGCCTTTGTGCTTTTATTTCGTTTACTAAACTCGGTCTTTTGTACATGTCGTTAAGCTCCGCATTCGTTCTTATTCGATATTGACCCGTTCTCTCATCTATTGTTGGTCCAAAGATTTTCCGCAACATCCTTCGTTCAAAGCGTCTTAACACTAGTTCGTTCTGCTTTGTCATTGTCCATGTTTCCCAGCCATACATTACGATTGGCTTGATTACTGCCGAATATATCCGTAGTTTTGAGTTCCTAGATATCAGTCGAGACTTAAACAGGTTCTGCAAGGCGAAAAAACATTTATTGCCCTTTTGTATTCTTGCTTTTATTTCGCTAGTGATATCGTTATCCGAAGTTATAACTGCTCCTAGGTACTGAAATTGGGTTACGCATTCAAAATTGTGGGTGTCCATGGTTATGTTCTGTCCTATTCTGCCCCTTCCTGCTCTCCGTCCGGCCCACATATATTTGGTCTTGTCCTCGTTGATCATGAGTCCTACCTTCTTGGTCTCCTTCTCTATGTTCATGAACATTTCTTTTGTTTTAATCGTACTGCTTCCTACCGTATCAATGTCATCGGCATATGCCAAAATCATTTCTGGGCCCTTATTTGTAAATATTTCCAAGCCAATATTCGCTTCTTTGATGGCCATGTCCAGCACTATGTTGAAAAGCAATGGTGAAAGTCCATCGCCCTGTTTTAGGCCATTGTTAATGGAGAATGCCTCGGTGTTGTTCTTTTCTACCCTAACTTTGGCTTTAGAGTTTTCTATGCATATCTTGGTTAGCCTTATGATCTTTTTTGGTACCCCTATGCCTTCCAACGCTTGCCAGACACTTTCCCTGGTGATGCTATCATATGCTTGGCGGAAATCTACAAACAGTTGGTGAACCTCTCTGTTAAACTCCCAGCTTTTCTCTATGGTGAATATTTGATCTGTTGTTGATCTCTTGGGTCGAAACCCGCATTGGTAGTCCCCTAAGTTGTCTTCTGCGTATGGGGATATGCGTCCTCTTAGTACATTTGACAGAACCTTGTATGTTATATTTAGCAGGGTTATTCCTCTATAGTTTTTACAGGCCATCCGGTCTCCTTTCTTATGAATGGGGACGATGGTACCCTCATTCCACTCCTTTGGTAGGGCTTCTGTTTTCCATATGTTTTTCAACAGCTCTAGTATGGCAGTATCTAGATGTTCCCCTCCATATTTTATGCATTCCGCCGTAATGGAGTCCTCACCCGGGGCCTTGTTATTCTTTAATTGGTTTATTGCCCTTTTAATCTCCTCTAGCGTGGCAGAACGACTTTATCCCCTTCAAAATACTCTCCTTTACAACTGATACATTTGTCCCAGCGGTTCGAAACATTTTTTATATTCATCTTTGGCTATAGCGGACAGCTCATCCCTCGTTTTTTTCTTGACCTCTTCAATGTTATCAAATCGCTGTCCTTTCATGTCCCTTTTCATACGTGGAAATATGAAGAAGTCACACGGAGCGAGATCAGGCGAGTAAGGTGCATGGGGCAGAGGTACCATGCCATTTTTAGCCAAAAACTGCTTAACAGAAATGGCTGTGTGTGCAGGTGCATTATCGTGGTGAAAGAACCAGTCCCCTGTCCGCCACAAATCGGGTCTTTTTTGTCGAATATTGTTGCGCAATCTTCTTAAAACTTCCAGATAAAAAGCTTGATTAACGGTCTTTCCTGGTGGAACGAACTCTGCATGAACTACGCCGTTGAGGTCGAAAAAACAAATCAGCATCGTTTGGACGTTTGTTTTGACCTAACGACATTTTTTTGGACGGTGACAGTGACATCTGCCATTGGCTGGACTGTTGCTTCGTTTCTGGATCGTAACCATAGCACCATGACTCGTCACCAGTAATGATCTTTGAAAGAAAATCTGGATCCGTTTCAAGCTGTTGATTCAAAGCACGACATGTTTCAACTCGATGTTCTTTTTGCATGTCAGTCAGAACAGGAGGAACAAACATGGCAGCAACTCTTTTCATTCCCAAATCTTCGGTTAAAATTCGATGAACCGTGCTCCAAGACAACCCACTAATCTGTGATAATTGGTCAATTGTCTGTCGACGGTCTGTGAGCACAAACTCTCGAATCTTTTCAATATTTTCGTCGATTCGTTGACTTGTCGCCATTTTTGAAGCGAACAAACCACTGGTACACTTGAGTTTTTCCCATCGCATCGTCTTTATAAGCTGTTTTTAACATTGAAACAGTTTCAGCAGCACTTTTACCGAGCAGAAAACAAAATTTCACAGCTGCACGTTGTTCCTTTAAACTTGCCATCGAATAAAACGAAATAACAAAAAATGGCACTGCAAGTGAACAAAACAAGTTAAATTTAAAACGAAGGTGGCGTTGAACTCGCAATAAGTTGTACTATCCACAACCTAGCGGCAGAAAGGTGTACTATACAAGCTCTGCGTGCGGCAATTCAATTCCGGTTTTTTATGTAATTACTTAGCTTATATATCCCATAAACAGGGAGACGTAGTCTGTTTTCCAGGTGACACCGCCATGGTCATTAGTGAATAAAAGTGAGCTCAGATGAAAGTAAAGGCCGAAGATACTATAAAACATATCAAAAGTTGGTAGAAGCCAAACTATCTTGGCTTCTCAGCAACAAAAGCGAATGACCTTATTATTAGCGAAATAACTGTTCATAGCTTTCACACAACACAAATAACTATTGATTCAAATTTAAGATGCATGAGCCTATTGAATACATCTCTAATAAAACAAGAAAATTATTGAAACATATTGAATTGATTGTCACTCAAAAATATGTCTTGAAGGTGATGCTGCATAAAAATAGGTTTTATTTTAGCATAGATTTATTTTATAATTTTATATTATCAATTAATCAATTTTATATAAAATCCGAGATTGGATTTGCGCAAAAAAATCTAAAAACTATATTATTCACTATCTAAAAAAATATTCAACATGTTACCCGTTGAATTTATGAATAATATGCAATTTCATTTAGCTTGGTTTTTGCACAAATTGCTTCGAGAGATCTTATTTGCCATTCAAATAGAATTTAGAATGTCCTTAGCAAATAATATCTTGGCCAATTTAAATTATGGTGTATTCATTAACAATAAATGAGACATGTTTGTTTATTAAAATTACAATAATTACAATAAGAAAACGGCTGTGCTGTATTTCGAAGAGTTGAAAATAAAAGTCGTTTCTATTCTATTCTATACTATTCTGTCCCATCAACTAAAATAAATTGAACGAGAACGTACGTTATTATTTGAATGTTATATCAAGTTAAACGAGCTACTTCTATATTCTATGTTATACGTTATAAACAATAATAATATACATTTGACACCAGCGGGCGTTGTCTTAAATACGTTTTTTCCAAAATTATAAATGCAATAATAATAATAATAATATTTCTTTTTGACCGCACTGTATTTATTTATTTTTAAAATATCAACACAAACCACTAAAGTTGATTGATCCCCATCTATAACAAAATTGACCCCAAATTTTTAAAAAAATTTTAAAAATTTTTAAGTAAAGGAATATTATATCTTTAATATGGTATAGAAACTTCAACGGAATTCAAAGGACCTTAATATAAAGGATATTTTATTTAAAATAAAAAAGTTCTTAGTTGTTCGAAAATATTGAGATAATAGGCATAAGGGTATATGCTCGGTAAATCTGTAATATTCGAAAACCGTTAATGAATTCAAACAACTTTTGTCTTTCATTCTTTTTTTACATTTCTTGCAAATTCAGATATATCTTGTAATAAACGGGGCAACCCGTACATACAGAGTACAAAAATTACAACATTTGTGTTTATTTTCATTTTCCAGAAAACCCGTGAGAAACTATCTATGTTTTGGAACGGAAGGAAATCAATCCTGAATAGATATACACCTTGCCCCTAGGTGAAAGATTATCCATTTGTTCAACAAAAACTCCACGTCCTTAAGAAGGTTTGTTCTAACCTCATTATAAAGAGGACACGGAAACAGTACATGCAGTAGAGTTTCGTTTTTTTTTAGGTTACATACATTGCAAAGTTCAGCATATGCCTAAACAATTTTATTGTTAATTTTTAAACCTGTTTTAAAAGGAACGTCATAAACGGGACAACAATTACAAAATTTGCCCCATTCATTGGGAACTCTAGTTCAAATTAAATGGTTGAATATGCAAAATAGGCTTTTTTGCATTCTGTATATACTTTTTTAAGCATAATTGAAGTAAACACGCTACAGCATCTGTGCAATAAAAGCAGCTTTGGCAACTGAAATATTCTAAAGTTCTGACGTGCATTCTTATCTTGGAGGCAGTATATCAACATAAATTATCGGTCACTCATTACATCATCACTAAGTTATTTACTAACCTGCCAATCGCTTCAGTTCAATATATTTGCTTGCTACCGATAACGCTAAACTTGCATTGGGCCAAAGCAATAAACAAATATGACGCAAAATAGGGTCGCTATATATTTATGATACCAACAGTTGGAAAATGGTTTGATCGTTCATTCGAAAAAATGTAGGAACCCATTTTTATCATCTCACAAGTCGGAGTGAATTAGTTTTATCGAATTCGAATTTAACACGTTTTTAAAATAAAATTAAAATCCCAATTGTGGGTAATTTTTTCTTCGTCGATAATTGTGACAATTAAAAAAACAAAAAAAAAAACATGGACCAATGGAACGGTGTTTTTAAACACAAACATAAAAGAATCCAGTACATCCATGACAACTCTGTTGTATTAATATCTATGCCATTAAATGTTAGTGACTGGTAGCTTTGTATCATCTACATACAATACAGTATATTAACTATTTATATTTAATACAGAGTTCAATTGCTTACATGTTGTACCATAGAGCGCCCAAAATAGAACCCTGCTGAAGATCCTTATTATTATTATTTTATTATCAACGTCTTTATTCACCATAAATTTCAAAGGAAGAAAAAACTAATAATGGAAAATATAACAATTGCATTAGATGCATTACCACACATCAACATCAACATCTTTTGCGACGTTAAATAAAAGTGACGAGAGTAAACTTTTTGTTTAAGTGTGACTGAAGTATATGGACAAAAGCCTGATAAATTGCTCTAAAACCCTTTCTAAACCCCTTCTGATTATTTGAAAGCAACGAACGCGTTTCCATATAATACAACAGCCGAACATTTATCGTTTTTTTTCTAAATCAGCAATAATCAGCAAATATCATGAGTAACAGATTTTTTATGTTTTAAGCCTTTTATTACTGGGATTCAATGCAACTTATCAGTTTTCGTACAGCGAGTAAGGGCCTTAATTTTTATAAATATTCATTTATTTTAGATGTGATTTACACCAACAAACATTATAATTCTTGATAGTTTTGCAAAACTAACCAAAATTCTCACGTGCATTCTCTAAATGTGCAATTTACTGCGATATGGTATATGGTGCTTACAAAAATGACGAACTTTTCTCATAAATACTAAGTGCGGTTTTTTAATTTTTTACAAAATACATTTGCATCAAAATTTTTTATTTGCTAGAAATATTTATTAGTAGATTAATATTTTAGAAATACTGCGAAGTCACGATCAATCCTTAGCTTCAAAACTTTTTAAAATAATTTTCTATTTTTTTTTCCTTTTTTTTTTTCGTGCCTTCTTTCTTTCCATATTCGGTCATAATTGAAATTGTCATTACATCTTAGACATCTTAGACCACAACACCATACACAGCAATATCATAGAATCCATAGATAAAAGGGAGTAGGATAGTTAAGCAGTTCCCACAGGCTGACATTTAATGTATCGTGACGTCCCAACACGTTTATGGGACTCTGGGTGCACTTTAAGTACTTAATTTTAATAGAAATAATGTTTTGTTCAAGAGAAATAATTGCGAGGCTATGTCATTAAAATGGGATTAATTATCACTTAATGATAACTACAAATTGCGTCAATAGATAAAATGAAAAACCAATTGAAGTTTTTCGAAAATGACTTTAACACGGCGGGAATATTTCTTTTGAATGCGCCTTATCCAAAATGAGTACTGTCTACGGTTTCTAGCAACCTGACCTTACAATATGCAACAGGTCATTATAAAGTTTTATTGAGGCGGTATCAGGTCGTCGTGAACTTGAGTTTTGGAAACAAAAATAGAACGCACGAGATGAAACACTTACGTTTCATAAAACACTTCTCTCCCGACAATTTGAACTTGAATTTAAACTGCACCGTTGGAACTGTGCCGCCAGTTTCTATAATTTTCAAATAAAACTGCCAAGAGCTTTAATATTGCATAATGATAAACGACGCACTTCATAATTGTTTAGTTTCATTTATCGGACATTATCGACTGTGAGTGCAAAATAATTGGTGTACAGGCAGTCCGTCGGATTGAATGACACATTAGATGTCGCAACAGTGTATCGACAATGCATTACAGTATTAGACTTGTATATAGTTAGAAATATATATGGGATGACGCCCGCAATCTGAGGACGAAATAAATATCAAAAGGACTTAAATACAAAACTTGTTTAAGGAAAATAAAATTATTCCTATAACAAGGAATCTCTAAAAGCGAATTCCTGCAGTAAGCTACAGTTACTTCTAATAGGTTCATTTGGGAAACATTTTCCAGAAAACCCATTAGAAACTATCTAAGTTTTGGAATGGAAGGAAATTAACCCTGCGCAGATATACACCACGCCTCTAGGTGTTAAATTATCCATTTGTTCCACAAAAACCTCCACATCCGTAAGAAGGTTTGTTCTAACCTCATTATAAAGAGGACATGTAAACAGTACATGCAGTAGAGTTTCGTTTTTTTTGTAGGTTACATACATTGCAAAGTTCAGCATATGCCTAAATATTTTCATTGTTAATAGTTAAACCTGTTTTAAAATGGGAAGGGATTGAACTTAGGAATGAACGAAATAAAGTTAATTTTAGCAATTCAGTATCTGGTATTGCCACCTCTGACTCTAATACCATAACCTCATTCTCTGTGGAAGGCTCCTTATCAATGCTCTTATGTGCTTCAAGTAATTTTTCTATTCATCGTTGTTGTCTCGAACAATATTTCGTATGCGCCTTCCTGGGTAGTCCCAAACACGTTCGATTGGGTTGAGGTTTGGACAAACTGCTGGCCAATTTAAAATTTTAATACCAATCAACTGTTACAGATCCCCTAGTATTAACTCTTTGTGGCCTTGAAAACAAATGCCTTCCCGTAAAAAGAATATCAGCTCAGTCGTTAATGTCCCAATTAACATGTCCCCTGGAGAACCCTAAATGTACTCTGGTTAACAAGGGAGCAGTAACAGACATTCTAGCTCTTATGGCAAATTCCCCTAAGAAATCTCAACATTATGGACTCTGGAGAGAGCAGTTTGCAGGTACCTGGCTGTCACATGACGTGTACGCAAAGTCAGCAATCGTAAGTAGCGGTCATCTACAGATTTGGTGCACCTGGCACGTCCTTCTATTATAACTTCCAGTTTGTCTAACTCTTGTTAACAGTCTAGAAACAATGGACTTGGCGATTCTCATAAATTCAGCAACTTATGTCAGAGATCACTCATTTCCAATTCAGGCAACAATTTGGATGTCCATAGTGTTTTTGTATTTGGAGACAGAAACACAGAATTAGGAGCCTATTGGTGCCCATTGTAAGTAAATTTACCAGAAAGTCGTGGGAGAGCGGAAGAAGAAGATTTAGGTAACATTAGGAAACGTTTGAAGAAATTGGACTGGATTTCTTGAATAATATCTAAATATCAGACAGCAATGTTACTATAAAAACAACTGACAACCTGTATGTATGCTCTCCAGGAGATGCGTTTAAATTTATGGATCATGCTAAGAGTTGGGCCTGTGCATAGTTAGGCTTTGGTTACCGAAAACGGAGCTAGTCAAACATGTATGGCGATTAACTGCTGCAACAGGATTTTTTTAGCAAAAAGCACTTCTCGGTAGGATTTGGACCAAATGATTTTGGTTTTCAGATGCCATGTCTTACAGAAATATCAAGAGAGGATATGGAATCAAAGACTCTGCTTTAAAAACCCCAGATGTGATTTTAGAACCTGTAAAAATAGCAAAAAAACCTTATAGACGAAAGTTTTTTGAATTCACTTATACTTTTATACATCACTTTTGACTATACACACGACTAACCATCTAACGTCTTTATTTCTCGGTTTCTCTTTTCGACTAACTAGCCAGCGCGGTGCTTTTATGGATATACAGAAGTAAAATATATTTACAAGTTCGGTAAAGGTACGCACAAAAATAGAATTTCTATAATATTGGACACACGGTATTTTAACAATAAAGTTATTTTTAAGCTGTATATTTTTTTGTCATGGTCATTATTATTAAAACCTTTTTAGTATTTATAGCTGATTTATAGCCGATTTAAATATTACTACAAACAGGATTTCGCAAAATATTATATGAGATTGGATAAAAACGATGGAAAAATCTCTCGTAATACAAAGTGTAATAAGAGCCTTGGTGCCCTACTAGGCTTTTATCGTCAGTTCCTCTTATTTTGAGAATTTTCGGAGGTATTGTATCTGTTTCATCTGGCACTGATGTCACGTCGCTCTACTGCATTTTAACAATTATAACAACGATTAAAACTGTTCTCTTGAAATATAAATTTTTTGTTAAAATAGTGATGTAATTTGTGCTTTTTATGGAGATTAAAATGTCAAAGTGAAATCTGGGACAATGTGGTAGTATTTAGAATTATTGTGATTTTACAATGATGTAATAGTTGAGGAAGTAACTTGCCTCATTCTCTATTATTATAAATTTGTATATCCAGTAATTCTCTAAATACATAAAAAAAAACAAAATCGCCCAAACCGACAAACGATTATGATGATGTATGATTTAGCCGTCATTAGCACAATCAAGTTTACTTTAATAATTATAGGTGGAATTTCCAACGATTAAAACAAAAAGCATGCCCAAAAACCCCAATCAAGCGTGATTTGCGTAACAAAAACAAACGTTATTCCACGTCAATTTTCTAATTATACCTAATATACTGCTTAATTATATAAAAAGCACGTGCAAAAAAGATTATAGAAAGCTATTAAAAATAATTATTTGGTGGATATATCGGTGCCGAATATTTTTAAATTTAATATTTTTTGGCCTTGTGTTTAATTAGCAATAACAAATATATATCAACAATATCATCAATGCATATATATTTGTTTATAATTGTTGTATACGGTGTATTAGTAATTATTGTTACAGGTTTGTATTTGGTGGTAAAATCGAGTCTTGCAGAAAGTGCAAATTTGGTCTTTTAACGCTGCGACGTTGTCGCTTCTTCGAGAAAGTAGCATTAACTTTGATATTTTAAATGAGACGGCCGTTAATTATTAGAGAGCTGATATATCGGCTATAGACTATAGACGTTCTACTAGAAAAGTTCACTCTCTATTAAAATAGCTATAACTGTCAACATTACTATGGCACAAAACTAACGTTTGACATTCGTTTCCAAACTTACAGCAAGAAAAAATAGTGAGATTTCTATAATGCTCATTCCCATATGAAAAAAATTGGTTTCTAATATAAATAATGCAATTCGTTCCCATTAAAAAACAAAGGAATACAATGAAAATTACGATATTGAGCCAAATATGCCTTACTTCTCTATGGTGTAAGAATATTTTTGTTATTTCAATATTAACATGCTTAGGGATATTATCCACTTGAAGTTATTTTCATTTCGTTTTGAAAACAAGTTAAAACTCAACGCTAGTGTCAATCAACTCATTTTTAATTAAGCGATTTAATTGAAATTAATAAAATCCAAATATCTCGATAAGGGTTTATTCGAAATAATAGTAACCTTTTTTCCTTAGAAACTCCGGAATTTGAACACCCTGACATTTTAGTAACTTACCTTTGCCTCAATATCATTATTTTCAGACCTTCCTGTTGACACAAAATTCAAAATTACAATGTATCAAAATATAATAACTCTTGCCTTGCTTGTGTTTTATATTTCTAAAAGTTTTGAAATCATCCACCTGGTACAGATATCCTGTCGTCTGCAAACTTCATTTTTGAACAAATCTCCCACAAAAATATTGTTTTTGATAATTTAATAAAATTTATTGGCATTTGGCATAATTAGGTAATGCACTAAACCCTAGCATACTTACAACGACTTAATGTTAGCAACACGGCAGGTACTGCAACGAGCATCGCAATGTATTAAAAAACCATTTAAACTGAATCGACTACCGGTAGCGGACGTTACCGGCGGCTTGGTTTAACCTTCTGGTCAGCCAATGCAACATTTCAAAATAACTACAGGGACCATATCGGGGTCTATGTTACTGGTTAAGTATGCATCTGGCTTATACCCGCTTAAAATGTAAAATTTATTTATTTGGAGTTACCATAAATAGAGCTACTTTGTTGGATATTGTATAGGCGTGATTCAGGTACTAGGGATGTAGGAAAATCTTATCATTTTCTGACCTATTTGTTGCTCTATATCCCAGAAGTGTGACTGGCACAATTAAGTTTCGAAATTTAAACAATGTCGATAAGGAACTCAGTAAATGATGGGTTTAAACAATTTTTTACTTAATCTATTTGACACTTTTGCTTCCATCAAAGAGGTAAGTTAAAATATTTTAGGTATACACTCGAAAATAAGTTTAATTCTTTACCAGATAATTTGAACAATCCCAATGAAATAAGTAAACATTTATTTAAACGTGAATAATAGTATACTATGCGATAAACGGCATTTGACTCCCTAGTTTATTTGACACGAGCGGAGCGGGAGTTTAATGAACGAGTGACTTAAAAAGCTTACCGAATGTGTTGCATACTATACTTTTTCCGATTGTTCCCAAACCCGTGCGGTAAAATCCCGGAAATGTCCGAAGTGGTTCGGATCCGTGGGAAACGAAACTGACGTGGTAAGGTGACGCTTCCCGCACGCTAGATCAAAGGTATTTTACAGACCAGAGTAGAAAAAATATTTTCACTGAGAAAGAGCTTAATAACTTTTATAACAATAATCTAAAAAACGGCGTTACTGGTATCTTCTTTCTTTATACCGCTTCAGAGGGTGTGGTTAAAGAACACTTGATGAATATAAAATCCTTTGCTACGGGATCCGATCAGATATGATATTGCTCTCTATTAATTGAATTCTACAAAGCATATTTACTAATTTATGGAAAATTTCAAAAATTTTAAAAATTAAATAAGAATTAAATATATTTTGAATGACAATTGTTTTGACAACACCGTGTCTTTATGCATTAGTAAAAGTCACCTCAGTCCAATTTTCAAAAATTTTACCAAATACCAAAATAGTATATTATGCAACAAGTGCGGTAAATGGCATTTGACTCACTGGTTTATTTGACACGAGCGGAGCGAGTGTTTAATGAACGAGTGACTTAAAAAGCTTACCGAATGTGTTGCATACTATACTTTTTCCGATTGTTCCCAAACCCGTGCGGTAAAATCCCAGAAATGTCCGAAGTGGTTCGGATCCGTGGGAAACGAAACTGACGTGGTAAGGTGACGCTTCCCGCACGCTAGATCAATGGTATTTTACAGACCAGAGTAGAAAAAATATTTTCACCGAGAAAGAACTTAATAACTTTTATAACAATAATCTAAAAAACGGCGTTACTGGTATCTTCTTTCTTTATACCGCTTCAGAGGGTGTGGTTAAAGAACACTTGATGAATATAAAATCCTTTGCTACGGGATCCGATCAGATATGATATTGCTCTCTATTAATTGAATCCTACAAAGTATATTTACTAATTTATGGAAAATTTCAAAAATTTTAAAAATTAAATAAGAATTAAATATATTTTGACATGACAATTGTTTTGACAACACCGTGTCTTTATGCATTAGTAAAAGTCACCTCAGTCCAATTTTCAAAAATTTTACCAAATACCAAAATAGTATATTATGCAACAAGTGCGGTAAACGGCATTTGACTCACGGGTTTATTTGACACGAGCGGAGCGAGTGTTTAATGAACGAGTGACTTAAAAAGCTTACCGAATGTGTTGCATACTATACTTTTTCCGATTGTTCCCAAACCCGTGCGGTAAAATCCCGGAAATGTCCGAAGTGGTTCGGATCCGTGGGAAACAAAACTGACGTGGTAAGGTGACGCTTCCCGCACGCTAGATCAATGGTATTTTACAAAAAAATATTTTCACTGAGAAAGAACTTAATAACTTTTATAACAATAATCTAAAAACGGCGTTGCTGGTATCTTCTTTCTTTATACCGCTTCAGAGGGTGTGGTTAAAGAACACTTGATGAATATAAAATCCTTTGCTACGGGATCCGATCAGATATGATATTGCTCTCTATTAATTGAATCCTACAAGGTATATTTACTAATTTATGGAAAACTTCAAAAATTTTAAAAATTAAATAGGAATTAAATATATTTTGACATGACAATTGTTTTGACAACACCGTGTCTTTATGCATCAGTAAAAGTCACCTCAGTCCCATTTTCAAAAATTTTACCAAATACCAAAATAATATATTATGCAACAAGTGCGGTAAACGGCATTTGACTCACGGGTTTATTTGACACGAGCGAAGCGAGTGTTTAATAAACGAGTGACTCACTCCGCCGCGCTCCGCTCGTGTCAAATAAACTCATGAGTCAAATGCCGTTTACCACACTTGTTGCATAATATACTATTAAACACGAATAATATAATAATAATAACAACTCGACTTATTGAATTTAAGGGAAATCCAGCCTAAATATATAATAAATAATAAAATTCAGAGTAGCCTTAAGAGAAGAAATATCTTTGATTTGAATAAAAAGATCATCTTTTATTCTTCTTTATTATAAGTTAAAATTAAATAAAAATAAGATGTATGCAAGATTGCGAAAATACAGGATTCAGTCTTAAGAAGAAGAAAAGGAAGACGAAAATACTCCATGACGTTCTGCAACGTTATATTTCACATTGCACCGAATTTCAGAAGTAGGCAATATCTCATATAACTAACTAATTTTTTTGGCTTGTTGACGCGCATAGTAGTCTTTCAGGCATGGCGACTTGGTCTCTAAACATGTATAGTAGGCGGCTTTCCGTTCGCGCATTGTCGGTGATTCCAGTTTACCCGAGTTGCAAGTGGAAGACAAGGACGTTCGACACTTAACCCATACGTAACCGCGGCACATTGCTTTGCAAATGAAACTATTTACTCTATTGCTATGCCTTGGAGTATAATTTTTTTTCTAAGCGAGAGATATAAAGAAAACCAAACATTTATTTCGAGAAAAAAAAAAAAAACCAAACATTTATTTCATTCTAAATTTAATCCTAATTTCACTAAACTATGATTGGCGCTACCAATTCGCTAGTATTTTATCTCTGCTTTTTATTTTCGACGCACTAATCTTTAACCTCGCTTGCTGCTGGCCGTCATCAAAATACGAACAATACACACAAAAAAGTTCCTCTACGGATTCTCCAGCATATAAAACTCTCATTGCAGGTAGCAAAGTAAACCTGTAGGATATGACTCCAATATTCGTGCTTTTGTTCATGGAATTAATTTTCAGATACTTTTGAGGAATACGATACTGGCTGCGAAATTTGTTCACGATGGACGGTATTAAATCTCGTAAGTTTGCCAAGCTCTAATTGGTGTAATTATTTTTTTTGGGCTTTGCTTTGGGATGGTTAGCTAACACATACCTTTCTTCTCTATAGTCTGGGTTTTCGCTTATCTAAGATCACACCAGTTTTGTTTAAAGAATGTTTCCAATCGATTTTAAAAAAATATACTGTCCGTTTTCCGTTCCCGTCTTTTGGTCTTTCCTGAATAACTTTCGAACTGCTGAAGCTACAAAATTGAAATTTTCCTCCTTTTTAACAATCCACGAGATACCGAAGCTTGTAAGAAATGACCTCGATCTGACTCCGCGATTTTCGACTGTTTTTTGAACATTGTTATGAACCACGATAAGTGTCTGAAATTTACAGTAATCGACTTCATATTTGGCACATGTGTGCAGCTTTGCCCCTTGACGGAACGTGTTGAAAATGGGGGGGTTGGAAGTATTTAAAAAAATAAAAATAAAAATCCCGTGTGCAAGGGTGTACAAAAAAGACAATTTTTCAAAAACCGTTTATAAGAATAAACATTTATTCTTGACCGTTTTTCAAAAACATACAGAGTGCGCTGCAAATTCAAAAAAACTGAAAAATAATATAAATAATTTAAAATCTGTATTTTTGATGTATGATGACGATATACCAAATAGACAGCTAAAACTTTTGTATTTAAGGTTTTTAAGTATTGTACAGGGTATTCGCATATTAAAAAACATAATAAGTGCCCCAAATTTGCAGCTACCGACTGCAGACTTGGGAGAGAAGTAGAAGTCTGGACTCTTTAAACTGGGAGCCATAAAATAAAGCGAAGTTTTTTGTTTTTATTTTCATTTTTTTTTGTTATTTTGGTATCCAGAAAAACATCTTTTTCTCCAAAATCATTCATCCGATCGGGAAAATTTTACAACCGTAATACGTCGGAGACCCGGCGCTAAAAATTGTTTTGGTTATGGACAAAAATGTAAAAGACCCTGAAAATTTGTTCTTTTAGAGAAATTATTTACCCTAGAGCAAAATTCGTACAAAAAATAGCTAATCCGTTCAAACCGTATTAAGGGTTTTCGTCTATCCCATACGCTGTTCGAGATATTTGAAAAAATTCATATAAAAATCACCATTTCTCGCCCTCAGTCTAGACGCGATGACGTTATTTATTTATTTATTTATTTACCACATACTGCATGGTTTCATAAAACAAGTAGTCTCTTGAAAACTATTTACTTCACTTGAAAAATTCGTATACCAGGAAACTAGGGAGATATAGGGCTATATTCACTGTTGCGAACATTATTGCAATTATATACAGGGTACGTCGTTTGTGGGCAAAAAATTCTAATAGATCCCAGAAATTTCCGCTTTTGTGGGTGAATTATTGGCGATAAATGAAAAACTTTTAAAAGTTCGATAATCTGATATGAACAGAATCGTAAACTCTGTCTAGAGAGAGAGAGTTTATAATACAGGGGGCACGAGATAAAAATTTTTAATATTTACCGAAGTTTGCCGTAATTTTGAAGTTCGACGAGATGCGAAGGACACTTTATACAGGGTGCATTCACAACAAAATGACATTGATTTTTCGAAAGTTGCATAGTGGTCCGCAGGAGCACGATAGAAAAACAATGCGTCCTAGGACGAGAATAAGCGAAGTTTCTTCTTTTTAAAATTAAAAGCGCTACTTGTTCCGAACTTGCCACGCCCACCGACGATTTTTCGAAAGCGATCTTGTTTCGTTTGTGTTTGTTTGGGGAAAATGAACCAAAACTTCAAAACAAAGGTGGGGTTATTGTATTGTTCAATAAAATGCCTAAAGGTCTCGTATTTTTCGAAATATTTTTTGCTATTTTAGCTTGTGTGTGCAGTACGTATTATATGGGTACTTTAACTTATCATAGGTATTTGTGTGTAGCTTCCAAGAGTAAGGAAAAAATCCAGCTTAACTGCATTATTATTATTACAATAAACAACTTATGTTTTGTATATTTTTTTAAATAAAACGATATTCATTAGGAAGCAATCTTATTACTTTTCTGTACAACTCTTCCCGTTCCAAACTTCCCGCCTCCTAATGTCAGAAAATTGGTTCATTCCGGAGCTCACTAGTTGGGTATCAATATTTATCTTTCTCTCTGTCTTGGTCTCTGGTAGCCGAATTATATTCTTTGTTCAACAAGATCCTCCCAAAATTGGACTGGTCCATTTCATCCCCTGCGTCTTTTTAATCAATCAATGTTGCGTTGGAAACCTAGATTAATTCGCGGACTTCTCATCGCAAAACTTCAATATATATGTAGTATTGAGAAAGTCAGGAATTGATATAACAATAACAACCGGATGTGTGGATATTATCATTGCATCTCTCGAGCTTCGTCCGAAAAGAGATTTTTTTGACAAAAAATAAAGAAAAAATCATCGTCGGATCGAAATCTCTTGGGCAATGAGCTTGGTGTGGATGTTGTTCTTTTAATATCCTCCGTACATTGGATGCATCAGTATTTATATCCCAGGCATTGGGTTAGTATTAAGAAAAAAGTGAAGGAGACAAAAGCTTCTGAATAAATTTCCTTAAATTTAGTTTTAAATAAAGAAAAAAGTGTGTTTTCGTTTTTGAGAAAGAGCAACAGATCGAACATTCTAAACGTAGATAATATTGTTTAATAAAATTTGATAATTTCGCAGAAATCAGATAGGCAAGTATTATTGTTACACATATTTATAAATTGACACTTATCTCAGTCATAACCGATAACACCACCGCGGTCCGTATCAATTCGTCAATTCTAATATTGTTAGGAATACTTGTTTTTAGGCCAGTGAGAGTCAAGTTTTGACTTTATGGATAGCTCCATGGGAACATTCAATAGCGCAGGTCAGTAAGTATTTGAATTCTAAATGATGAGAAATGTTTTAAAAATACAAGCACGTAGGGATTAAAACTTCTAAGAGCAACAATTAAATGTGTAATATGACATCAAATAACTGATATTCATTTAGAAACGTCTCTATTGATAATATTTTGATGAAATTTACAAGGGAATGCCAGAATAATATACACAAATATTATTTTTACATTCAAAGTGGACTTATCAACTTTACTTTAGACTGATAATAAGAATCTGACACAAATTTGTGGATAATTTGTGATTAATTTGTTAAAAAAAATTCAAATACGTAGGAATTAAAGCTTCTAAGAGTAGTAATTAAATATGTAATATGACATCAAATAAGTGATTTTCATTTAGAAACGTCTCTATTGATAATACTGATTGAATTGAAAATTCCACAAATATTGCTTAAAGTTATTTTTAATTGTTTACAATTCAGAAATAGATGAAAAAAATGTAATTAAATTTAATTGTGCTCTCTGCTCTAAAATAGAAAATCAGTGGTGCGTGGATAAGTGAGTTAAAAAGACAGTGACAACAAGGTAGAAGAATAAAAATAGTGACTGTTAATACCTGCATTCTGCCATCCATATATATACACCAAATACAAAGGTGAGACAACTGGCAACATTGTTAATTAGAAATGAACTTCCTTATCTACTGAGATCTTGACTAATCAAATCAAAGTCGCTTCAGCATTTGTGTCATTTTTCATTAATTGTTGATTTATATATTGCAGCTTGATGATGATCCCATTGCCATTTTTCATTGCGTCATTCATATATATAAATTTTGATTATTTTCTATTTGTTTATATTTATATGAAATAATTTCTGAGATTCCTAAGCAAAAGCATATTTGGTATTCCGATTTGAGAAAAACTGTCAATATAAAAATTTATAACTCCAAGAGCAATTTTTGTTTTTGTCCCTTTCACTTTAATCCAGTTTCAGTAACTATATTTAATCGGGAGGTACTTTTTTTTATTAAATTAGAAAAAAACAAAATAAGAATATTTTCAAGGTCTCAGGTTTTTCGTTTAGTTGACAACATTTTGAAATGTAAACGTGTGTTTGTTTTTTTCTATTCCAAAATGGGGTTTACGTGTTAAACTTCGCAATTCTTGTCTTGGGGAACAATAATTTCATTACGTAAAGCTGTTTTATTATCTTTTCAATTGGCTAAGTAATTAGCTTTAATGATAAAATTATCTAGAGTTAGAGGCGTGCATTACAAAAAGCAAAATAATGTAATTTTGAAAAAGAATACCATATCCAAAAATATTTTTTCTTTTTTTTGCCCCTTAGAAGCAAAATATTAGATTAGAAAAGAATTAGAAAGATTAGTTATTTTGTATATGTTATATTATTATTTTCGAAACATGTTTAAGAACTCAACTCAAATATGTTGAGATTTCCACTCATATATTTCTTACTCTAAATAATAATAACAATCATCTAATTATGTATATTATTAGAATCTTTAATTATTGGTTTTCGGAACACATTTTATGTACCATATTGAAACTGAATTAGGTATCTCTCTATATCCTTAATCCTTACGAGAGATCAAAAATAATATACGCGATGCTTTATTTAAAAAAAACTAAGGATAGTCCTATAATTTTTGATCAATAAGTTATCAAGTAGGAGAGATACAGGGGTACAATCCAATATTTGCTGAAACGTCCTGTTTAATTTCGAAGATTCCCCAATACCTCCGCAACTATCGTTCGGCGAGAAGTTCAGACCTGCTGCTGACACATGGGAATGTCCTACCTGCATGATTAGAAACAATAACCGCCAGTCCAAGTGCCTCGCTTGTGAGTCACCCAAACCGGAAAGCATCGCCAAAGCTGGGTCGTCGGTGTCACATGACACGTGGGAATGTCACATTTGTTTGATTAGGAACAAAGATCAGGTAACTCCTTGAATTTTCAGATTAGTTCTATTGCCACCGATCAAATCACAGATCCTCAGCAAGTAGTTTCGTAATTAATATAAAAGTGATGAACTGAAATAGTATAACTAAAAAAAGTTAGGTTATTTGACATTAATTTTCTAACCACAAATAAGAAAAATTATTTTCTTTTGCGTTTTTTTGTCAACGATATTGAAGTAGGTCTTTAATATAATATATACTATACCATAGGATATATACTGCTTTGATCACATATATTTGGTTAACTCTCTATGATAGTACCATACCATTTTTAAAGGATACTCAACGTGACTTTGTAATCATTTATTTGTTCATAAATGTTTTTTTTATCAAAATGTCAATATTAAACTCGATATTTTTACACTCATTCCTCTCCTCTCTTACTCCCTAATTTTATTCGGAACAGTTCAGGGATAAAAAAAGACGTTTTTCTCTTATTTCGTCTTTTCTGTATAGGTTGATAAATGTGCGTCTTGCGCAGCGATCAGACCGGATGCGGATGCGGTGAAATCATTGCCATTTAATGATGGTTTAAAGAAGTCGGACGACGAATGGGTCTGCGAGGTAAGCAAGCAAGCAAGACAAAAACATTGTCTTTAGAAGACAAGAATAGATACTGCTCTCTTAATCTACTAGCTTTAAAAACGGAGGTTTCTTCTCTCGTCTCCCAATTTTTTCGAAATCGGGATGAGATAAAAATGGTCTTCCGATCATAAAATTAAACACAAATCAAATCAAACATAATGAGATCAAAAGAGGTAACTACCAACGAAAAGAATTGTCAATAGGTAATTCCAATTTTTTGTTGATTTTCAGCAATACGTTTTATTCTTCTTTTTATATGAGGTATTAGTTCGAAAGTTCCTGAAACAGATTTTTAAAAAATTGTATCAAATTATCGAATGCTAATGCTACTGCGCCAGACATTGAAGCTCATCACTCGTAGCACAGTTCAACCAATTCCTTGCTTTAATCAAAAGTGATGTTTTTGGCTATGGCTTACACTTTGGGGGCTTGTACATATTAACCAAAATTGACAAGTAATTTCGATACAAGCCTTCCGGCGAAACCTACCTTCCTACTCTTGCTGCAGATCAGTTAGCAGGCCCACCTTTCTAGGGTCTCCTCAGAATCTTCGACTTCAAATAGAAGATTTCTGGAGTCGTCGAGAAAGTCCTTATGATCACGTTACCAATCTTAACAATCATAACATGTTTTCGTCAGCCCTGCTACTGTACTTTGCATATGGAAAACTGCAACTTCTTGGTTTCACTGATTTACGAGCACCAGTTCTGAGCAACTGATCGATGTTACTACAGTTGACAGCTGGTTCTCCAAATGCCTAATTTGCTGTGGTTGGTATTCTTCTGATTCCACAGTTTTGGTTTTTTTTGTAGCTATTAGTTGTAGCATTTGCTGTACATAGCAAAGTTATTACTCGAGGTAGAACTAGATAAAGTATAACTGGACAAAGCTTACTTTTGGATAAAAAACAACCCCATTGTGCACCATTGTGCTAATATGCTAATATTTTAGAAATAGATATGTGAAAATTAAGTGATTACGATCATGAATTGGCATTAAAAACATCAAATTAAAAAGGATCCAAATTAACCTTTTTTGAAAAATAGGTCAGCAACAGACCTAGGTTTAGTCCAGAAGATGTGTAAATAGTATTACAATAGCATGTCGAAGTTTAAAAAAAAATGGGGAAAAATTCAAACTCACAAATTTGTTTCCTTTGTCTTTTGTAAAAACAAACAGACTTCATAGAGAAGCAGAAGACGGTACAATAATTTTTTTTAAATAACTAAGATAAAAATCCGAGAAAAAGTAAAATTTTTTCATTTCCCAAGAATAGTTACAATTAAAACGAATTGTTTGAATTTGTAGAATACATTGAACTCCAAAAGCAAATTGTTGCGTTACTATTATTATGCATCTAGTTTCTCTCTTATTTTTTAGATATGTTTGGTGCCTGGTAGTGCGATCTTCTGATCTTTTTTTTTAGTTTCTCTTACTAGTACATTTCAATAATCAGAAATGACATCAAGTAGGAAGCAGGACTGGTCTGTTGACAAAGATGGTACTTACAGTTGTCAGTGTGAGTACTGTTTTGACACCCGAATCCCAATGTCTTGATATACGCAAATTATGCCTGAACACCCAGCAATTGTGTGGCTTATATGTTCCTCCGATGCGTTACACATTCTGCATCTGCTGTCGACATTTTGCTTAAGGATCGTCTGCTAGCAGTATCTATCAGGGCTGGATCTTGCCCTGCAGCTTTTAGTTTCTTCCTTAAGGCTAGCGCTTTGGTATTTTCACACTCTTTGTATCGAGTAATTTGCTTTGGATTTTGTTTTCAATTTACAGTCTCCATATATATACATATATACATATATATATATATATATATATATATATATATATATATATATATATATATATATATATATATATATATATATATATATATATATATATATATATATATATATATATATATATATATATATATATATATATATAATGATTTTAATGTCATCATTATTATTAAACTATGTTATTCTTCAAAGCCAAAATATTTGTATTCCCCAGTCATGTCTAAATTTCTTGTTGTTGTCCTTTCGTCCAGTGTTATATTTTGACTTTTATTTTCTTCTTCCGATGCGTATCCACTAATGGAGGTTGCGATCGTGTACCGCTGTCCACTGCCTGATATTTCATAGCCAGCAGCCAGATGCCAGATATACTCTTTCTATGGGCTTTGCGTTAAATGTTAAATGTCTTTAATGTCTTTTAACTCCCATCTCCACGTGTTCCAAAAATATCTTCACACTGTATACTGTTGGACATATCGTTGCCTAGTTTGGTTTCTATATGGGTTGATGTCTTTCTGGTCATTAATCAGTAATCATTAAGGTGTGCACTCTACGCAACGAGTCGACTGCAGAAAGGTGTGACTGTTGCGAGTCACTGAAGTCTGGCACTCGAACGTCGAGCTTCAGCTTTGGTGTTGACCAACCGCCACCTTTGAATTTCACATTCGGTTTGCTGCCGTCTCAGCAGTCGTCTGATACTGCAATTACTTCGCCGGCTGTTTTCGGAGTGAAGCCGGTCGTGACAGACACTCCTCCGACGTTCACGTTCGGCCTGCAACCACCTGCTGGAAACCCACCTGGTTCGCTGGTTTTTGGAGGAAACCGTGACGTGACAAAACTTTCCACTGACTCAGCTGAGGGAAAAAATAGCGAAATTTTTCCTCCAACTGGTGTGAGGGCACCACCACCACCTGCTTCGGGGGGAGTTTTATTCGGGAGGCCAGGTGAGATATTGAAGTTAGTTTCTCCTTTTTGCACGGTTTATGAATGAACAAAAGATAATAAGGTACGTAATTATGAGTATCTAAGCTTATGGATGCCGACAACTTCTGAAAAATTAGTAATAATAATAGAAAATGGAAAAAAGTGCGAGTATTATATTTTGCTCAGTTAACGACAATTAACATAAAAAACACTAGATGAAAGACAAAAAAAAACAGATGAAAAAAGAAAGAAAGGCTATTGCATTTTTTTTGTTTACATGTGATTATCGAAAATTACTCCTATGTTTTTTTTCTCGTCAGCGATAGGAATATTCTCATTTTCAACTTTTATGTTCATTCGATTTTGTATTATTCCTTCGTTTTGTTTATTGTTGCAAAATAATGAAGCTGAGAATTATCCGAGAACTGTTTATATATAAAAAAGCCTCTTTTAACTCAACTTCGTCGTTAAACCGCCGTCCACGTAAGTCCTTTTTCAAATATCCAAACAAATAATAGTCGCTGGAGGCGATATCTGGACTATATGGAGGATGATCTATCTGTTGGAACCCATACTCTAAAATGGCAGCTTGTGGAACACCAGCAGTATGGACAGGCGCATTATCGTGCAAAAGACGCATGCCTCTGGTCACTTTCCTCGACGTTTTACACGTATGCAGTCTCGCAATTTATGTAATAATGTTGCTTAACATTTGGCAGTGTATTAGTTTCTTTAAAATCTATCAAAAGAATTCCTTCACAATCCCAAAAGATCGTGGCCATCATCTTTTTTGTTGACTGGCAGACTCCAAATTTTGTTGGAGGTGCTTCACCTTTACGACGCCACTGCATTGATTCTTTCTTCGATAGAGGGTCATAATAGAGAACCATAGTTTCATCTCCCGTCACAATAGTTTCTATCGCAGGCTTCGGTTCCGACCCACAGAGTTCCAAAAAAGACCGCGCACACTCGACACGGCGTTGTCCTAACGTTTTTAGGAACCCAGCTTGCACTAACCTTATGCATCCCCAAATGATTATGCAGGATTCGACGAACACTTGTATCAGAAAGTTTAGTAATTTCTGAGATTTCCTTGATCTTTAAACGTTGATCACTCAATACCACCTCTTACACAATCGCAACAATATCTTCCGTTATAACCTCCACTGGTTGAGCACACTGTTGTAAAACCCGCATCTTTCTATCTATCTATCTAAGATAAACGAGATATCCCCTGTTTTTTATTTTTTCAATAAAGTTTACCTTGTTTACTTCAAAGTTTCTCCAATTCCTGCACAACTATCGTTCGGCGAGAAGTTCAGACCTGCGCCTGACACATGGGAATGTCCTACCTGCATGATTAGGAACAATAACCACCTTTCCAAATGCCTAGCGTGTGAGTCACCCAAACCGGAAAGCATCCCCAAAGCTACGTCAAGTGGGTCTGGAAGCCAATTCACACCGCCTCCAGGCACATGGGAATGTCAGATTTGTTTGATTAAGAACGAAGATCAGGTAACTCATGGAATTTTCGCATTAGTTCTGTTGCTACCGATCAAATCACAGCTCCCCAAAAAGTGGTTTCTTAATTAATTTAAAATCATTAAAGCAGATTCTATTTTGAAAGTGAGGAACTGAAATAGTGTGATTTAAAGTGTCACGATGGCTTTATTCACAAAAAGTTAGGTTAATTGACAGATCGACAAATTATTTTCCTTTGGAATTTTTCGTCGGGATTGAAGGAGGGCTTTAATTATAGTTAGCACCATAGACATTTTAATAGGACACTCAACGTCAACCACTCTATAATCATTTACTTTTTTATAAATATTTTTTTTCCCAAAATAGTTCTAGATATTAAACAAAAGTTCAACTTCCAATTTTATCGATTGATATTTTTATTGGATAATTTTCAAGGCCACCAGCCAAGGTTATTTGGGTAAAGAATCGTTTCACTTATTTACTTTACTTACTTATAAAACAGTTGATTAGTTTTGGTTAGGTTTACTTGGTTTAGTCCCTTCTCAGGATTTAGTTACTCTTTATTTATTTGCCGTTCCCTTTATTTTTGACTTTGTTTTGGTTGGTTGAGCAAACAGCTATAGACTACGAAAAATTTTCCCATACACATTTTCTCAAAAAAGTAAGGTTTTTATTTAATTGCTCAAACTTGAACATCGATATCTCGAAAATTGGACGTACTTGTTCAGAACGTCAAGGACTACAACATATCTATATTTAAACAAAAATAATCCGAAAGACATAAGCCCTTTGACTAGTTTTTGCTATGCTAGCACCATAGATATTTGAATTAAAAAGTGAACCTGATCTACCTTATAATAATTTATTTGTCTGAGAAAGAAGAAGAAGAATTTTTCATTAACTGAATTGCAGCGCCACCGGCATATATTTTCAAATGTTTTTTTTCTTATAAAGTAGTTTTATTTTATACATTTATATATTTATGTATAGAGGAAAACGGTGTTGTTCTGTAATTTCTGTATAGGTTGATAAATGTGTGGCTTGCGCCGTGGTCAGACCGGATGCGGACGGCGCGAAATCATCGTCATTTGGAGATGGTGTCGAGAAGTCTGACGAAGAATGGGAATGTGAGGTAAGCAAGTCACTACTTCTATGAGGAATGATTTAGTCAAGGAATGACATTGACTAGGTAGCAAGGCGAGTTGTGACATTGCAAAAGAACCAAAGCTGTGCTTATCGTCGCAATTTAGATAAAATTTAAAATGGCGCACAGTGGCCCAGAAAACGTAAAAGTGCCGCACTTAATTATTAAGTGCTTGTTATTTGACATTTCCCATAAATTATAACTTAAATAAGATCTTAGAACGCAGAATGTATTTTTTAACGTAGAAGTTTATTATTTCATGTAAAATTCTCAATATTTAAATTACCATTTATTCAAATTTATAAAAAATGTTTAACACTATTTAAATTAACAAAGTTGTTAAAAAGGGATAAAATAAACACTTAAAACAATTTTAATATATCAAAAAGTCTAAACAGTATTTCATGATAATTAATATTAATATTTACTATAAACACCATAAAAAAATAAAATCTCAACAAAATGGTTCAAAATGGATAAAACTATTTACTTTTTAAATAAAGGGGACTCTCCCTAAAGGTACTTTTCTGTATATTAATTATTTCGTTATATTTCTATTATATTTTTATATTTTTAAAATCAAAAGTTATTTCTCGAAAGATTCTTAATGTTGTTATTGAATACAGGGCGTCCCATTTTGGATACTTTTGCTGCGGGAATCTCCGTTACTTTTATAGATATAAAGTTGCGGTTTTTATTTCCCCTTTACTTACTTTAATAAAAGGTGATGAATAACAATAATAAACACTTGAATTAAATTCGTTTTGAAGTTTTGTAATAACAAGAAGTTGTAGCATAAAGTAATGATATAACAAAACACAATAAAGCTACATTATCTAAAAAAAAAAGAATGAAACACATTTTTGAAGGTAGTTTTCAAATTGGCGATCATTTTCTTTAATGCGAAATCGGCACATTTTTATAGTGCTTTGAATGGTCTCATTCGCAATGGTGTTTTATATACTTCATTTTGTATCCCCATAAATAAACTAAAAATGAAAAATGTTTGCCGAAGCCATCTAACAAGTCTACTAAGTTACTATTAAGAAATGCCCTTAATGGTCTAGAGTTATGACTTAAATGCATAATTTTGGTGTGGGTAAACAACATTACATTGTCCCAATGGAATATTTGCAGCAGTACTGGAATAACTTCCTCAAGGATTTCTAGGTATCTACGTGCTGTCAAAAATCTTATAAAATTGCTTCCAAATAAAACATGACTCCTCAATCCCTTTAAAACATTCTGAGTCTCACTATTGTGACGATTAACCAGATAACAAGTAGCATCGACTGGCCAAAAATCGCTGCGAATATTTTACATTTTTTTGACATTTGACAATTTTGTCATCTATTTACTTGTTTCTGAAAAAAAGTACATACTATTATACATTTTCGAAAAGGTAAAAAAAAGGAAAGTTTATAGTCTATAGATAAATAGCCTGATAACCTTGTATCTTGTATCTAATTCAAAAATAATGGCACTATCGCATTTTTTTTGCAAGTCTGAAAACTAGTTTTTTTTTTATAAATTAAAGAAAGAAAAGGAATTCAAAACAGAATTAAAAAATTAAAAAAGTGTATATTTATTCGTCACGCTTTTTGAACCACCGTGTATACCCTAAAATAATTTTTAAGTTGTGCATCTTAACAATTTTTACAGTTAACTTTTGAAACCAATGGGATGGTGAACTTTATCGTTAACTCACTCTGTGCAGGAATTGTTTGAGTTTGTCGAATACCATGGAATGATACAAATTCAAATTTGTGAATTAAGGCGTGCACTCTACGCAACGAGTCGACGGCAAAGAGGTGCGTCTGTTGCGAGTCACTCAAGCCTGGTGCTAAAACGCCACCTTCGGGTTTTTCATTTGGGCGGCTTCCGTCGCAAGAGATGTCCGAGACAGCGACTGACTCCTCGCCTATTTCTGGCGTAAACCCGGAAGTGACAGAACCCCCAACTACTGCAAGGGCACCACCACCACCCGCTGCTGGGGGAATTCTATTCGCGAGACCAGGTGAGATGTTGGAATTGGTTTCTAGGACTTTCTAATCTAAGAATTGGTAAAAAAACTAATAATTACAGAAAACTGAAACAGGTCTGTAAGGTCACGTTACCACTCTTGAATTTTTCGAGGTACGACTTGATTTCAATTTCTCTAAAAACGACTCCACCACATACCGACGTTGATGTTTATCCCTCATATTGATCAGTTGGTTATCAGCGACTTGGGTTTTGTTTTGCGAACCTGTTCGGTCCCCTATGGCAGTGGTGCGCAACATATCTTCATTTGCGACCCCCATTTTGTTGAAACAGTTTGTCGCAACCCCTGAGTAGACAGTAGAGGGTTTTTTTAAATCATCAACGTGGTTAAAATGAAACTATTTCTTTTTGGCGGTTTTTACACAACACATAATTTTGTCAAACAATGGTTTTATTTATGCATATGAGTAGAAATATTGATTTAGTAAAGAAATAATATATTATGCAACAAGTGCGGTAAACGGCATTTGACTCACGAGTTTATTTGACACTAGCGGAGCGAGTTTTTAATAAACGAGTGACTTAAAATGTTTACCGAACGTGTTGCATACTATACTTTTTCTACGTTTTTGGTTACATTTTCGCAAAACAACACGAATAGATTCACTGACATGGCCGTCAGAACTGGCAAACGTCAAAATTCAAAGCGTGGGAAATATCTCCGGAAACATCCGATTGCTCCCAAATCCGTGCGGTAAAATCCCGGAAATGTCCGAAGTGGCTCGGATCCGTGGCAAACGAAACTGACGTGGTAAAGTGACGCTTCTCGCTCGCTAGATCGGTGGGTAATTAGCTATTTTACAGACGGGAGTAGAAAAATACATTTAAACATTTACTCATAAGAATTCAGAGTGAGGTTTGCGCTCATGATCGCTTCCATGTTCGGAACTGTGTGGGAAACTGCAATCGGTAAATCATCCTCTGGATTGAATCGAGATCGATATTTTGTTTTAATGGCAACTAATTTTGAAAATCCGGATTCACATGAGTAGGTGGATGCGAATTGAATTAAAATATTGATTGTCTTTTTTTTTCAAATCGGCATATTTGTTTTCAGATGTTAACCAAAATTTTTGGCAAGTCAGAGACCTAAATTGAATACGCAGAGTGTCGTCACTTGAAATATCAATTAACTGTCCTTTTTCATTTAAAGGGATATTGGAATTAATAATATCAAGCGAAAATGGATCACGGATCCGACCTAATTCTTTATCTCGAAATTTTTCGAATCTTTTCGTAAAATTTTCTCCCAATTTTATCAAATGATGGGAAATGATGATGAATGATGAATCTATATTATTTTCATTAGCAAATTCTGAAAAGCACGTCTTTGTTGTTTTTGTTTAATTCTTATTGCCAAAGTATCAGCTTATTCTTAAAGGCTTCGATTTTACTGGTCAGCGTTAAAATGTTTGTACTCTCACCCAGCAATGTGCCAATATATGTTTCTTTTCTACCAAAACATTATAAACTTCGTTTCTCAAATCAAAAATACTTATACAGGAGAGTTTTGTGTTCGATTTAACAGAAATGTATATTACGCGATATGGCTGAAATTCGCCAAGAAACAGTGTCTCTTGATATTGATATGGTTTTTAAATCGTTACCATATTTTTCTCCATGCATAATTGATGTCACTTTAATTGCTGAAGGAAGAATGAGGGATTCTCTAATGGAATGTGGTTTCTATTCTTTTCCTATTAAATATGAAACTTCTAAGGATGCCCGTACAGCCTTTTCAGAAATTGTTTTATATGTTTTCAAAAATACAGTTTGATTTTTCATACTTTCAGGTCGTCTTTTTAAAAAAAATTCAGATTTATTTGCAAATTCTTTATGTTCCGTTTCCAAATGTCTTTTTAATTTAGCAGGTTTCAAACTTTCATTTGCTAATTTTTCGAGTAATTAACACACAACGGACATTTTTCCCCATTAACAACGCAAAATGTGATGCCGTATTTAATGAACTCTTCTTGATATTTTCTCAATTTTTGATTAGATAACATAGTTTGTTCAATGTTTTTTGAAGTAGAAATAGTGCCACTAGATTGATTTTTATTTGGGTTTCTTCTTGTCATTTTCTGGGCGTTAACTACACTGGTAGCGCTTCCAACAAAATATTAGTTTAGTTTTCCTTTATTATAATTTTAATATCTACAGTGGCTCACAGTGAAAATGATGCAGCATAGAATAAAATATTTTGTTGGGATTAATTACTGTTTCAATACAATTTTTTGATTGATTACTTAGACATAAATTATTAAGCTAGTTATAATCTTTATTATCCTATTATTTACCTAAATAATAGAATATGTTCCTAATAGGTTGATTAAAAATTACTAATTAAAAATCTTTTTCAGTTTTATTCAATAATAATTACAATAATATGTGCACTTTGCACAGAATGCGTCCATTATAATTCAGAATTGTAGTTTCAGAAAATGTAAATTGCAATTCAGAATCGTGAGTTTAACTTCAGAAAGCGTCGATTGTAGTTCAGAACGGTCAGTTAAATTTCAGAAAACAAATTGTAATTCTGAACAGTCAGTTTAAGTTAATTTTTTAGTTACTGAATAGTTGAATATTCCAGTAAACTCACTGAAAGTCGGGTTAGAGTCATTAAAATTATTGCCATATAATTTTTTTTTAAATTTGATGACCCTGAAAATTTTTCTCGGGACCCCTCTGGGGGGCCGCGACCCATGGGTTTCTCGACAAACTCGTCAACTTTCGGCCATTCCTTCTAGAGCAACTATCGTTTCAACCTACGTTCTCTTTTCGCAATTCCGAGGTCTCTTGACTCGATTGAACAGAAAGAAGTCGAGATGCGCCAAATCAGGTGAATTCAGTGACTGTTGGTTGGTATTTGTTGCATTTTTTTTGTCAAAAACTTAGGAATGGTATTGTACGACGCGTTTTCTGCCCACACGTTAACGTCAAAATAGTGTCTTTCAATTTCAGCGCCAACATTTCATCCACCAATGCCAGTTATAATACCGTCAAGGCCAAGGCATTTCGGTATTCCGCCACCTTTAAATCGTCCATCGATCCAAGTCAAGGAACCAATTAGAGTACCGAGTCTACCGACCTTCAATTTCGCCCCAACCAAAACCAGACCAATGTCAACAGCACACGAGAACGAAACCTACACTGATAAACCGAAATGTCCAGCATTCAACTTTAGACTCGCGAGGTGAGTGTACCAGTTGGTTTTAGGCAGTTTTTTTTTTCAGAATTTAATCGAATAAACTTATACTGTTCCATCGTCGAATGACTAAGTCCTGCAAAAATTTGCACTGGATAAAGTTGTATGGCTTTTATAAGTTCATTCAAAAATTGGTCAATAGGGTTGAGATCCGGCCCATATGCTGGCCATTGGCAATTCAACTTCATTCTCAAGTTCAATAGTTAATACCATGATTACAATTGAAGATATTATTACAATATGGTCACTGTCGAACTTTCTTCGACAACAATTACATTACATTTAATTAATCGGTTGTTAATTACCTTTTTATTGGTCCGAAGTAACTTTGCCCTATATTTATATATATTTAGGAAGAGACAAGACGACGGCTTCGAAAAAAGAACATAAATCGTGATGGTGATGATGGTGAAAATAGTGATCTATGGAGCGAATGCAAGGAGCAGACATTCACAAAACAAAATGCTGATAAATTTGTTTTGAAATATTGTAATCCTACTGTTACTACTATTACAATGCAAGTGAATAAATTGGTCTGTTAATGACAAACATGCATGCAAAAATAGCGATGACTATGACTAATTAGTAGGTAAATGAGTGCTTAGGCACAGGGAAAAATTGTGAAATGTCAAATACTATTTCCAAAATGAGCAATTTTCAGCTTCCCCTCAAATAAAACAATTTGTAACAAATGCAGGTCGCGGTTGGAATTACAATTTCTTGATAAATTAATAACGCAGTTTTTAAGCGAATGTCGAATAAATAATAATACAGATTCAAATCATTTTAATTAATTTTAATTACAAACAGCAAGGGGCCAAGAATCGAGCCCTGAGGAACGCCGGACCTGTGTGGTGTTCAATTTGCTTATTGTTCCTAGCTGGTTGTATTTTTGGTATATAGGTAGAAGATCAGTATTTTTTAAAAATAGTCCTGTTTTTTTAAATTATAGCAATTTGGCAACGCCGTAGGCAAGTGTTGAACGAGCAACCAAAAGGGCAAATTTTTTTCCAATGAAATCGTCCTTGTAGCTTTTATTATTTTGTTATTTTTTTTCTATACTATTATTTTGTACATACCAAAATTTTTAGTGACTATTTTAAGTCGTAGCCTTAATTTAAGGTGTTTGTGTAGAGGTCATAGATAACGATAAAAGTTGAAGTCTTTATTATTCGGCTCAGGTGAATACCAGAAACACCTTGTTCTTCGAACAATGCTTTCTAAACCTTCTTAATATCGAAAGAGGGCTTGTAAAAACACTTCACCACGGTGGTGGTGGTGCTCCTTAATCTTCACCTGCGATATATTCCAAAATATTTCACGTCCTCTGCTCGAGTTTGGTCTTTGTGAGGGGCCTCTATAGAGAATGTTTAAACTAAAGGCGGTGTTGTAATGTTCACCTTTCAGTGTTGAAGGTAGTTTTTGCTGCAGTTTGTTCCGTTTCTGTGTCTATCCAGAATTCTATCTACAGCATTTATACATTCATCTCAATGTAGTCTGAACTACATACGTAGCGGTTGATACGTAGCGTATCAACCAGGGTTCAACCTATGCTATGTTTTGTGATCATGAATTTATCTTCCACGTAGCCAGGAATTCGGCTTGACGTTTTTTAGGTTTTAAGAATTGATCTCTTTGTCGTATGCAGAATCTTTTGGAAACAGTCTTCCATTTAAGTAGGGTCAGATCTCCCTCCCGCTTGATGATATCCTCCCAAGCGGTTATTAAGTTCTTCACTCACGTTTTAGAATATGCAGAATAAATCCAGCTAGGTATTTTGGTATTCCATTAGATAAGGAGTCAGTATTCTCTTAATCTTCTCGGGTACGTTATTCTTAATGTTTCTTTAGGGTCCCATACATTATACTTTTTATGGTAGCTCTTGGATCTGGTATCGCAGTTAATCTTCTTTAGAATCTCCTCGATCTTCTGATTATAGTTTTAGGTAGTTTCAGGAAAAAGATTGGGATGCGAAAATCATAATGTTTGATCGAGGTGGTCAAAGAGAGACTTCTCAAAGCGCCGATATTCTCCATGAACATGGGAGAATTATGTACCATGATTGTAAGCGTAAAGTCGTAAAGTATTTACCTGAAGACGAGTTGAAAAGTTGAAACGTCGTGAAAGATAATAACGAAAACACCAGAATGTCTCGTATAAGTGATACCTTATTTTTAGTGCCTCAACCATGCGAACAATAGAACCGCCCCGTTGTTCGTCACAATATTTTGGGTTTGGAAGGAACACTTTCGGGTTCTCACAGCCCGACGTGCACAACCGAAACCAACCAATTCAACTATTCGGCAATCCCCAGCCAAGTATCCCCGCATTTGGTCAAATGAATTACACTGCGGTACCTTTTGGTTCGACGAGGTCTACCATTCAGCAACAACCAAGTGTTTTTCGCCAAACCAACCGGTTAGGTCTGACTACTGAGGCCAACAACGCTAATACTTCGTTCAACGTCATCGGCGGCTCAGGAGTGGCTTCATTTTCGTAAGTTTTCGGAAACTTCGTACAAAAGGTACCAGGTTTTTTTACCAAATAATATTCAGTTTAAGTCCAATCATTGAAACAAAATTTTGGGTGGCACTTTTTTTGTCACTATTATCATCATACCTTTGCTCTCTGGGGGGCCTTAATTGGGCAAGGTAATTTTCTGCAAGAGCTGACAACAGAATCTGATGATACTAGCAGAATATTAGTAATATCTCGGTTTGTGTTTTCTTTCTGTTTTCTGAGATTTTTCCAATATTTTTACCGAGATCCCTGACCATCTTCGGGCAGTCGTCGGATGGGGAGCACAATATTTTCTGCTATGCTGGGGCATGATCACTTTATGAAGGTGGTATGTCTGATATGTGTATAAATTATTCATTGTAATACTCTTCGTTGCACTGTGTTGTTAAAACAATTGCAAATTATTCATGCCTTTACCTAAAATGTCACAACGGTGCTGGTCAGGTGTAGTTTCAGCTAAAATATTTAAAATTATCTGGCGGATTTCATTAATCGTAACTTCTGGTGGTAAAAGATCATCTATTTGCCCATACATTTCTTCGTAATGTTGGGAAACACTAACTTCTTTTTACAAGAAAAACTTAATAGGTCTAAAATAACCAGTAGAATCTACATGTGGAATGTATATTAAATTAATTTCATTAATTTCTGAAAAAATCTGTTTGAAAATCTCTTTTTGAGCTTCTACTAATCTTCTTGCAGTGTAGTTTTCGAGATTTTGGCCTTTTTTGGCATCACTGGGGTAGCATAACATAATATTTCACACCTCTTCGCATAGTAATGTTATGTTGTTTCCTTAATTTAAGATTAATCATCAAAGCCAAAAATTCTTTTGACCAAATTGCCACTATCTTTACTACGTCTGCAACTTTCCTTCCACAGATAAATCTTCACTTTTAATTTTTTTAGAATTCTCGGTAAAACATTTTTTCGGTCTGCCATTTTTATTGTCAACTTGAAAGTTATATTTGTACGTAAGCCAATATCTGTATGCCGTTTTACATTTTTTAAACGATAACGGTGGGCAATCTTGCAAACAATTGAAAGTCAATGTTAAAACCGTTCATGAAAGCAAGTATTACGAAAAAATAATTATATTTTTTCTTAATAATGAAAATAAATGGAAGAATAAGATATTATGCAAGTGTTACTGCATATTTTTTTAACAAAATTTGAGGGCATTGAATTAGACCATATCTTTTACTAAATTTAAGGAAAAACTTATCCTACTAAAAAAATTACATTTACAGGAGATAAAAGCGTTTTTTCTTTTTATTCCTTTATATGACACTGCTCAGATAGTTTAATTTTTTAGATTAATTAAAAATTAAACGAATAATTAAACTAGGCGAAGGACATTAAAAGAATTGGCCTACAATTGCGTCTTGTAATGTCCTAAGAAACAATCCAGGCATATGACACTTAAGGATTTAAACATTTTTCTAGTCCGTGCTATCCATGGTCTTTTCTTTATAATTTAGTTTGTTCTAGCTGATTCTTTGTAACTGCGAAAAGTCAACAGGTGTCTTGCTTATTTTTTTGTGTTTTTATTTGAGTTAAATTGTCTAAATAAAATATTTTTAAACAAGGTATGCACGAATAGGTAAATTAGTTGCAGAAATATTACCATTGCCTGTGGTAGTTTTTGTGAAAAAATTATTAATAAATTATTTTTATAATGTTGGTAGAAAATGCAGCTGTTTGACAATATCTATTTTTATTATTTTTCTAAATTATATGTCTTTCACATGCAATGCTTTACTTTTTATTTTTTGGAAACTCTTTTACAAAAAAATATATAGGAAACAAAAGAATATTATTGTTAAATTTAGTTAAGAACGATAGGCGTAGTCTGATTCAAACCCGTCCACTCGTCTTAACAAAATATAAAAATATTCAGAAAGTGTGTTTTATAATAATGATCTTATCTATCTGTTTTCGCTTTTAGTGTAGTGACGAATAACAATTAAAAAATAATAACCGTTTCAGTAAGTAAGTTGATAGAAGGTCCACGAAGTGCGCAAGTGTGGGACCCAGACTACGAGATCGCTTCACAGGTGCTATACAAGGTGTCTCAAATATGAAAATTAAAAATTATATAGAATGTTGTTACAGCAAATAAAGATAAATAAATGATAATTTTTCACTAACCAACTACTGATATTTTTTAATACATTGCCAAATTTGCTACAGGGTGGTCCACCACATTTGTTCCCAGAACAAAGTGAATTGGGAAAAAGCTTTTTTCACAGTGTTATGTGGGGGATCCAAAAAACTACATCTTAAAGTTATATTTTTTCACACGGAGCACGCTATGTTTTTATATATTTAAGTACCACTGACTAAATAAAGGTGATTAATTTAAGATCGTAATTCAAAAATCATCTACACCCTATAATATGTGAATAATTAAATTTACTGCTTAGATGACAACTTAAAGTTAACTAGCAGAAAAAAGTTTTACTTCAATATTATACCGAGTGGTGAAAAAAGTTGCCTCAAACTTGATGAAATCCAATTTTTCGAAAGCATACGCGCTTGGCAACGAAACTCATATCTTGGAAACGTTTGGTGCTGGTAGAAAAGTCAGCGTCGAAAAAAAAACTTTTTTCCTATTCTCCTTTCTCGGTTTCTGTGTAGATCAGACATCAAACGGCCATAACTTTCGAAAAAAGTCACGAATCACCAAACCTAAATTTTTTGTCTCGATGATTTTAAAAAAATGTACAGGGTGTGTCGGCAATTTGCAAAAAAACTAAAAAGTCAGGTTAATCATTTGATGAAAATTGATCATAACTAGAAGACGATGTATCAGTGGTCAGTTTCTTTTAAATATCTACATAAACTACTATAATTTCTCCATTTAACATTTCCACATATTGTACAGGGAGCTTTGGATATTCTGTATATAATAAATGCAATAGGTGTCTCAAATTTGCAGCTTTAAGCTTCAACTGAGTGCAATCAAATATGATCAAGTATTTTTTCAAAAATTTTGGATTTTTTTTTTATTTTGGCTTTCAGAAAAAAAAATTCTATTAACTCGATCGGCTAAATTCGTTAATCAGGAGATGCGGAAGATCAGTGACTACTACTAAGTAAGTAAGTAAAAAACCGTAAAAGATAATTTACATAATTTGGTTTTAACATCATACAGGGTGCGCGGATCCCCCAGCTCCACCTCCACCTCACACCTCCACATTTTGCGTTGATTTTCGTCTAAATTATAATATCCCGATTTAAAAAAATCGAAAGGAGTGAGATCCGGCGAACGAGGGAGCCATATTGTGTCGTACATCGTTGTATTCACAATAAAAAATGCTATTTAATACAAATATCCCCATAATAAACATGCTTGTCTTGGACGCAGTGTATATTGTTTAGGTTGTCAATTGAATTAATGTATCTTCGTGACTCAAAAAGTCCGAAGTATCGAACGTCGGGATCCATTATACTTATATACATATATTTCAAAACAAAAGCGAAATAGCCAAGCTTTAAAAAGATAAAAATGTATACAGGAAGTGCGCTGTTATGATAGCAATACTTCATTCTTGTTTTCTTTTTGAGATAAATCATAAGAACGTAATTTGTAGCGCGATATCCAACAAACTACTCTTCATTTTAAATCTTCAATTTTGTTTTGAAACTCCTTTTTTTATCTCATGTTTTACTCGCCGTTTTACGTTCCGTTTCCTCCCGTTTCAAACTATTGTCTGTCCAAATATACAAAAATAGGGACAAAAATAGTTCATCCAACTGAAGTGGAAGAAGAAACGCCTGCACAAGTTTTATTGATAAAACTTGTAAAATATTCCTTATGAACTAACTTTTTAATTTCCGTGAGTATCGGGAGTTTTCTATTGCTTGGCAAGTATTCTTTGATACGGAAGACGTTTAAACATAGGAAGTTTTAATCTGACAATCGGCGCAGAATCCAAGCTCGGTTAAAGAGTCTGGAAATGCGGATGGAATTCTTTTCAAACCTAGCGCGCGATTGCCAGAGATCACCGTCAACGCTTTGTGGTCGAGCGGGATTCGTTATTCTAATATGGGTAAGTGATGTTACATATGTTTGTCTAATAAACGTATTTTGTTATTGGCCAATTTTAAAAGAAAAGTCGATTTGATGGATTTGCTCTTTTTTATTGAAAAATTTTAAGTTCTCTCGTTGTTAGCTTCTCTCCTAAATCAGTTCTGTAAACTTAAAAGCATTAAATATTATATATTTTTTTTACAGACAATGATGATGATTGCTCTGTTTTGTGCTCTGCGAAATTCTGTTACTCTCTAGTTAGATACCGAACAATAAAGTTGAATGATACCGCTATGTAACAATTTTGTATAGTCACAGTGAGCATCAAAGTTTAATTGCGGAACTAGTACAATTTTCATATGAATTTTTTATACTGCCACTTACATTATTGTCACAATCAATTAATATTTTTGCCATATAAACAGAATTTCAACTAAGTTATATTAATGCTAAAATTGTTATTGCACTCTGTTCGAGTCGTCATCAATATTTTATAACTTTAAATAAGTCATTTATACCGGGTGTTTCAAATTCGAATCTCACTATTAGGATCTCGATAAAAATATAAAATATATTTTAAATAAAATCGAAAACCAATAGTTAACCATCTCAACAGCGTTAAAAAATAAAACCTCAGTTGGCCTGGATGCTAAGCTGACGTTTCAATAGACACGTCATCTTTCAAAACCGCAAAATATTAGTTTTGACACGTTTACGTGTACCCCTAGGTAGCATCAAAGTGGCAGCAACTGGAACGGGAACTTTGAGAAAGTATTTGTTAAGTAATTATTACTTTAACGGCGACTTTAAAGCTTTTATTTTTCCATATTATAAAGTAATTATATAGCAATTACCATTACAAATGGAAACATTATACTTTCGGTACTTCTAGGTTGTTTCTAAAGGTATTTGGAACGGAATTATTACTATGGGAAATTACTTTGAAGTCTCACTTACTTTAAAGTAGTATTAACAGCGGCAAGTACTTGGCTTTTTATTACTTTATAGTAATAATGATAGCAACTTTCAAGTATTCCCGAAAATTCTATATAGCGATATCTGAATTGAAATTTGCTGTTACTTGAGAAATTTATTACAAGGTAAGTCTCTTTTGGAACCTTCAAGTTGTTTCATAGTAACTGCGACTTGAAAGTCGGAATTTCTTCAGTAATAACTGAAAGTTACGCCATCTTTTCTTAGAGAATAATAAACGCTATTAAGTCAAAAATTCCGTTTTTCAGATACTTTAACAATTATTTCTCGAAAATTTCCAAAATAACTTGGAAGAAACCCAACTTATTTCAATTTGTTTTTTAATTTTTAGTACTTTTTGGCGATTTTGCACTTTTTTGACATAGGTTATAGATCAGCAAATATTTATAGATATAATTTATTTATAGATATAAAAAGAAAATATTGCTTCCATTTTTGACGGCATGTTGGGACAGCTGGTGAAAAACGAGCCGCAAAGAACGCACGTAGGTTAAATGATAGACTCTATGCCTAGCAGCATTTTGCCTGTAATTCAACATTACGTTGTATTAAATTATTAAATTGTTTTAAATAATTTAAACAGTAATTTAGGTCGAACATTTAGCTTTAGTTTAGTAAATTATTTATATATATATTTTTTTTTGCACTCCGCCATAATAAAATACTCTGTTTTTATAATAATTCAAAGCTAGAACATCAATTTTATGGAAACCCAAATTTAATTTTAAACTACACAATACAATACATACACTTGTGAATTCATATACCTACCCTCTAACATAAAAATTAATTGGATTGAAATTTGGACTCCAAGGCGGCCCAGGTGTTTGACTTCCACGACCAATCCAACGCTAAGCAAATTGATTATTTAGGTAGTCTTTAACTTTTCTCGAAAACAGCCCCAGAGCGCCATCTTGCATAACTCTAAGAAGTTCGATGGATCCTAAACGTTGGCGTCCAGTTATCAAATAGGAATTTTCTAGATCACACTCGCATATAAAATGTACCTCGTACATAGTTTTAACATATAGCAGTTATTTTAATCTGGTGTAGGAATTGAAATCCTAATTTGTTTACCAATTATAAATAGTGTGTATGGTTAAGGAAAGAGAGTACTCGAGACGGAAAAATTATTCGCAAATACTGAAGTGTAACGTCAACATTACAACTAATGATATGTTGATATTATGAAAGTGCGCGCTTTTGATACGTCAATTTTGTTTTATTTGCCTTTTAGGAGAATTGAGTATCGACAACGACAGTACTATAGAAATCGACTACACTCCTTACGAAGAGAGACTGGAAACTTACATCGTGCCAATTTTATTTTTAATTATTTTCGTTGTTGGTGTTTTGGGAAATGGCACCCTGGTAGTAATATTCCTGCGGCATAGATCTATGCGAAACGTGCCCAATACGTAAGTGTTTGTCCACAACCAAATATTTTCGACGATGCAGTGTTGCCGCTTCTAACAGTAACACAGGGCAACATAGCTGCCGCAAATAGGATGCTTTTGTTAAATGTATCCTTACTAAATGATCTGACTCTGATCTGTCTCACACATTTTTCATATTCAACTGACAAATTAATGAGGAAAAATCATCTCATACATTTTTAAGCAACCATCTCGATTATGGCCATCTATGTCAACAAGCTTCGATATATTATTCATGATATGTGTTTAAATACATCTAAAACAAATAAGCCCCAGGAAGGAAAAGAACTTTCTCTATATATAAGAGAAGCTGAAGATGCACGCCTAAGGGCGGATAGCACGAAGTCCCTTGGAATTACAGTAGACCAAAATCTAAATCGAAATTCTGAGGTACAGGGTTTGCTTCTGCTTGTTGTCTTCAAAAGACAGAAGAGGGCCCTGAGGATATTGCCTGACTTGATCTTGCTTTAAGAACGCACATTCGTTGACTTTGATAGGTCGGGAACTCAGTATTCATAATTTTTGAAACAAACACCGATTTATATTAAAACCTTTGATCGTCTAGACTGTGGATAAAATTCTCCTGACTCAATGGGAATCAAAATTATGTAGCTGCCTTTATACAATATCAGCTGTGTATGATATGTGCAGTATTGACTGTCGAATTCGATTTCAAATTCAATATGTTAAAATATAGAGGACTTCTTAAGCATAAAACAATTAAGCTAACAATATGCAGCAGATACCTTAAATCACATCAAAGTAGTTCAAATGTTGACTAACATAATTGTTTCTTTCTTTTAAAATTTCAAATATGGACGTTACTTTTCGAAGAATTTTTTGAAAAAATTACGAAATCACTATATATGATTACTTCCAAATTTCTTGCTGAATCAATATCTCATAGTCGGCAGATAAAACTGATTTTATATTTTGTATTTTTTCTTAATGAAAAGTATTTATTTTTAAGTTTTTTGCTTATTTTGACCAACGTATATATTAGCTTTTTATAAGTAATACGAGTGTCTTATTGTTCTGATAAGAAGGTTCCCATTATTGTCCTCAATGTGTTCAAAGCTTTCCGCCACGAAAACTCAACATTCGGAGGTAGAAAGAAATGTGTTCGAATATCGCTCGAGTTGGACAGTCACTTGCGCCCCATCAGGTCAACAAAAGAAGTACAGGATGAAAAGAAACTGTAATAAATGAAGAGGAGATGGTTCTCATCCTCATTTATTCCAGAATTAAATAGTTTGTATTTCTTCTTATGGCTGCATATTAAAAGTCTGGTTTACCGCCTTCCAGTTAGCACTGTCGAAGATATGAAGGATTTAATAAGAAATGCTGCAGATAAACTTCAAAAAATTGCAGTGGCCGACCTAATTAACCAAAATGTTATTTTATTAAAAAAAAAAACTAACATTAGCATTCACTTATGAATAGAATTTGATCACTTAATTGTTTTTCTCTGCATGCTTTCATATTATCCATATTCTTATAATCATGCAGAGAAGAGGTTTTTATTTTTTTGAAATGAAAATCATACATAGGATTGAAATAAATGGAGAAACTAAATTGTGTTTTGTGATTGGAGATTGAAGGAATCATTTTTATTTCAAGAGAAATCAGTGGCGTATATTTGTGGAAAATAAATTCAATACGCCCGCCACTGCTCTATTTTTGAAAAAAAATGTGGCACACTAAATAATTTCCCTTGATATATAGGACATGTGCGCCAAATTTCATTAAAATATCTCAATAGATATTAGGGATATTAAAATTAACTTTTGAAAATTTTACCGACAGGAGAAATCCAGAAGATTTGTAAATATTCTACACTAAGATATGATGATTGAAGTTGTATTTTTCAGGTTTATTTTTTCCTTGGCACTCGCTGATCTGCTCGTTATAATCACATGCGTCCCATTCACGTCCATCTTGTATACATTGGAGTCGTATCCGTGGGGTGTGGCGGTTTGCAAAATATCCGAATCAGCGAAAGATATCAGCATTGGAGTGTCCGTCTACACGTTGACGGCTTTATCGGTGGAAAGATACTATGCTATAGCGAATCCTCTTAGACGACTGCAGGTTTGTACATGCTAAAGGGGAGAAAAAATTCCTACTGCTCTACCATGTTGAGTTTTGGGGCTTTGATATTACGAGGGCTAGCTTTTATAATTCGGGATTGGTGATAAAAAACTATAAGCTACTAACAAATATGACTTTATTGCTTCTCAAAATATTCACCCTGATGATCGATACTCAAATCAATCATCAAAGCACACACACATATCGAGTCATGCGCCTCCAAAAAATGCTTTTTAAAAAAATCGGTGCCCCCGTAATTTATTCTTAATGTATATGAATCAAAAGAAGTCATTAGGTGCTGAATCAGGAGTATATGGTGGATATCTCATCAAATCAACATTTTTAATGTTCAAAAAGTTCTTTGTTTGCATTGATTGGTGAGAGTCGTCGTGGAGAGTGATTCGTTTTCGGCGATTGGTTTTTCTAATTTCCTTGAAGACTTTCGGCAAACAAATTGTTGTGTACCATTTAGAATTGATTGTTTTACCTTTCACCAAAGAAACAGTCGAAACGTGGCCAGTTTTCCTGAAAAAACAAACTACCATTTGGTTCGTAGTGCTTTGCGCACGAACAATTTTTATGCGCTTTGTCTCATTCCGTCGACTGCTCCTTCCTTGCAAGTTCATATGCGTAGATCCATGATTCATCACCTGTCACGATATCGTAGACGTGTTTGGAAGCACCGCGATCGTATTTTTTTAGCATTTCCTTCGACCAATCAACACGAGCCTCTTTTTGAGCCCATGTCAAATCGTGTGGAATCCAACGCCAACAAAGTTTTTTAGCCCCAATCTAAGGCACAGGGCGATCCTGCAAAATCAGTTTCCTCACTGCATTAACGTTTTCATCGATTTTGGACGACCTTCACCAAATTCATCCTTAAGAAAACTACAACCACTACTGAAGTCCGAAAACAAGCGATAAACAGTGATTTTATGACTACCAACAATTCCTCCAAAATTCTTAAATTTATTACAAGATTTGATATCGAAGCTTTTGGAGTTAACTAGAAATTTGTTAATTTGTTAATATATTTTATAAAATTCACCAAGTAAAATAAAAATTTGCGTCCCCTAAAAAGGTCATTAATGTCATAAAAATAGTTGAATGACCTGTTCTTACCGTTACCGGTTTTTTATTATTTTTATTATATTTATGTATATCTTGTTTTTTTAAGCAAAGGTCATTTTTTTCCTTCGCGCATTTTTTTTTTTTGATAAAAGAATTGATTAGATGCAACAATTTTAGTTTTGATGTCACATACGCACAAGTATTTTTTTGGAAATTCGGAAAATTTTCCAAATGTCCTAAATCTGTACTATTTTTTAAATTATGTTTATTATATATTTATATTGGACCAATGCAAGTTATTTAGATATATTGAGCTGTGTTATGATGCATTTACCACTTTTTGTTTTACTTATTATTATTATTATTGCATCGCATTAATAAACTGGTCTCACAGTTACTGTTTTTTTATCACGTATTTTCAATCAAGACAAGTTAGATAGGTGTATTGATATATTCCAAAACGGGTAATTATTTTTGCATTGCATTAAAATTGGTCAAGTATGTTTCTCAATTTTATTTTTCTACTCTTTTCTGTAAAATACCTGCTTATATACCGATCTAACGTGCGGGAAGCGTCACTTTACTACCTTACTTTCTTATCCCATCGGTTTTAGCCACTTCGAACATTTCCGGAATGTTGCCACATCGGATATTTTCGGAGATTTTACCGTACGGTTTGAATTTTGACATTTGTCAATTCTGACGCTTTAGCATACTTGTTGGATAATGGACTATTCTGAATTTTGAAGACAAACTCCCTTTGCAATGAAAAAATAAGTTTTGTAAATGTCTGACTAATCAACTAACGAACTAATTGTTTCAGAAAAAATCAGTTGCCATTCTTGCCGCCCTGTTAATCTGGTTACTGGCGATCGCTTTTGCCCTACCAGACGCCGTCTTTTCACGCCTGGATGAAGTGGAAATCGATAGGTAAGATTCGTTAGCAAAACATAAGATACGGTTTGGGATATATCATTGAAAACAGAATTATTATCTCTATTTAATGACTATCAGCCAAAATGGATGCAACCATGAATTCTACCAAAGAACATCTATAACAATCCGTTTATCCTCCTTGGAATCCAAGCAGACTACCGAGATACAACGTATCCTCAAACGATTAAAGGGTCCAAAATAAAAATACTGAATATTTTTAAAGGTTTCTAACTGGCCACCAGGGGAGGCAATCGCATTCTTGAATTTTATAGTAATTTCGGGTAGAACAAGCAAACAGTGCAAAAGAGAAAATATTTTTAAATTGTACGTCAGAGCCAATTATAACCATATACCATATTTTGTTTCTCATAAAACTTCTAAGAACTGTCACCATGGAAACTCTGTATATAAATTTACTGTTGAATAATAATCAATACTGATTCTCAATACTATAACAACTACAAACCAGTCTGTAAACCAGATGTAAATGCAGTGTTGTTTTTACCAAATTTAAGTATCTTACCCATCATTATCAAAGTTCATCCCAATTAATGTTAATCTTGTTCATTCGCTCTTTGTAACAATATTATGCCACTTACTGAGCAGTCTTGTCAACCTTGTAGCCCAACCTCATGAAGATGGTAGCGGGGGTTTTACTGATATCACTCAGAATTCTTGATAAATACTTTTTAGCATTTTCTGCCCTTTTTAGTGTTACTTTTATCATTACCTGATTTATCTGATCTCACAGAGAGATGCATCAAGTATTTTGTGCTTGGGCATGGCATGAGTAACATGTTTCCTTGCCATGAACGTAGGCAAGACTACTGCTTTAGGGGCAGTCGTAATATTGTTGCAAATGACGAAAGGCATAAGGTTGCCGACGTAGTGGAAGAGCAAATAACTGGTCAGAGTGGATAAGGTAATAAAATGTGCTAGAAACATCACTCCATTTCATGGGGTTTTATCAGAGATTTTTTGATTGGTATGGCTTCACATTACTAAGAAAAGTCATATTTAATTTAAATATTGGGAACAGCTGTATTTTCGCTGCGCTGGAAAATACGAAAATAGAAATTGCCAACATCATATAATCGATAGCGACGCGGTTTCTGCAATTCCAATTTCCGCCATTTCGGGAAGTTTATAATATAATTTTTGCCTCGTTTCGACAAATTTGCCGTTTTGTGGTGTTCGATGATAATGCGATTTGGATTTTAAAGACCGCGTTTTGCGCGGACGTTTAATCTCGTTATTTATTTTGAGATAAATATTTTTCCTAATATTCGATATTTATTTTCTTATTTTGTGTCTTCCTGTGGGGTGTTCACAACAACAAAAAAAAACAATTTTTGCTCAACAAAAACGGAAATAAATTTGCTTATCAAGGTGTCACAAAAAATTGTTTTGCTTTCTTAAAAGTATGTTTTGAACTATTATCCTCTTGATACCTCCATTTGGTAACATGGTGTCTTGAAGAATATGAATAGAATCATTTTGGTCCATAACATCCTTTATCCAATAAATTGGTCATACACCATATCAAGAAAATACTCCCCACAATTTCAGATTACATCCTGTACGTTTAAGAGTTTTGATGGTGTAGTTTTTACAAAACTTCTGGATTCCTCCTGCGACGTTTTTTGTTGAATCGAACTTTAAATGAACTTTTCTTGCTATTTATTCTACTATGCAGGCTACTTACTTGAAGCTTTTCCCGGACCTTCCTTGAACTTATTTCTAATCCCAGCTCAGTTTTAAAATAGAGATCTGTCTTCATCTCAAATGCGATACACAATATATTTTTTAAATCGCCTTTCTTTTAATGAAATAATTTAAAAATATATAACTGACATACTCGCTTGTTTAGTACACCGTATTTATAAATAAGTGTTTAATATTAAATCTGCGCAATAAACTCTACAACTTTTTGATTTCCAAAATATAATATAAATATTATAAAAGTTAGTACTGTTTAACTCTGCGCCTGCAATCTGGTAAATTAATATAGTCCAGTAAGGTGGAAAGAAGGAGGATGCAAAGTGTGCCAACACCTATATTATTAATACTATTATTGCTCATTTTTAAATTTGATTTTTTTGTGAACATTTTCATTCAACAACGTATTGAACTAATCAAAATAACAACACGCTTGTTTTAAAGACTGATCCATATACACTATCTGACAAAAGAAGTGCGACAAAGTCCATTTTGATATATGTTTCAATAGCTTTTTATCTGAACAGCTACTATAAAACCTTGCATCCACTAACCTTCTTGTACTGTTCGTAATAAAACCGTATTTTTTGGAATTTAGACATGTCAAACACTCAACTTTAAACTTATACAAGGGAATTTATTTCGATTCACTTTCACTCTCTTTTTCTGGACCTGGACCCTGGAAGTAACTTTTAAGGATAGTGAACTTTATACAAATTAAATAGAATTTCGTTTTTCCTGTCATCTGACGATGAGCGGCCAACCCAAGGTGTTTGATTCGTTAGGAATCAGTGATTTGATATGTGCTGCCATCTGTCGAGGAATAGCTAAACGACACCGGAAGTTTTTCTTTAGGAATCTGTAATTCTGATATTTCAAGGCCTCTCTCGCGGAATGGAGGGCGTAGAAGTAACCAAAGCTACTACTTCTTCCTAAGCTGTGCTAAGCTCGTAAGTTATCACCAAAGAGTATAAAATTGAGGGGAAGGCTACTATTAACGCCTCTAGTGAGTGTGTCCAGTCATGAAAACGGAAAACACGCGGGACGTACGGTTCAATTCAATTTAAAGTATGAAATGTAAAATGTGGAAAAAAAAGTCGAAATTGTCTTAATTTTCTTTATTAAAATATAAGTAAAGTGCTGTTATCCGTTACAAGCTACTGTAGTATTTTCAGTGTGACGCATTACTCTAAACCGCCATGACAGTACTTTAGTACTTGGACACAAATAATAGATGGCATTCGTAAAAGTATACGAGACCTTTGGTTATTACTATCAAACAATATATGAATTATTTTTTGTGAGGAATAGTTATAGTCCATCAACAAAGAATAAACCCCAAATTCAATGCTTAAGGAAAAGAAGAAAAAAGTACAGAAGCATACTATTTATGTTTGATATTTACTTCCGTATTTCTACCTGTTGTGCTCAGGAACAGATAATTTTAATATGCCAATTCCAATCAGCTAACAAACAGATGGGATTTATTATTAACCAAAACTTATTACAAATGTTTTATGTGTCATTATACTGTCTCAAAATATGGAATTCTATTGCATTCACAACTCTCTGCTTCTAACATTTTGAAATTGGAATTTCTCTTGGCATGACTAATCCAGCAGAGAATTGGTCAAGAAAACATAAAATAAACCTCACTTTAGCCTACTTTGTAGTTTTACTTATTGTATTTGTACGTATCATCATGAATGTATGATTATAACATCGGGATTTGCAAATATTTCTCGAAGTTGTGCTCTACTTTTGTCCGATAGTGTATGTACTATCTCAGCTTTTTTACTACTTCAAAGAGAAAATGCTTTACCATTGATGAAGAAGGTCGCTTGGCCTCAATATTGTTTTTGTTCCTGCTCATCTCAAATTTAAATCATGTTTCACGTATGTGTTGAGTCTAAATTAAATTATTTTTAGCAACAAAACTATTACGTTCTGTTCACCTTTTCCCAACATCAGCGACGTCGATGTTTACGCCAAATACAATGTTTTCTCCAAGTCCCTGGTCTACTACGTCATACCGTTGAGTGTTATAGCCTGCTTCTACATCTTGATGGCCATAAGGTTACACGCTAGCGCGAATGAGATGCCCGGCGACGTGAAAGGTACCCAGTCCGTCGTTCAAGCAAAAGCAAGAAAACACGTCGCCAGAATGGTCCTGATATTCGTATTTCGTAAGCCAACCTGATTTATGGTAAAAGTATAATTTTTCCAAATATCTACGAGACCACGCAAAATATAACGTTCTATTTCTATTTATCTACTTTGTGATAAAAAAAATCTAGTTCTTTGATATCGGAGCAGAATAAAATTACTGCAAGTCCAGCATGCCTGAACTCATTTTTAACAAATTGAATAACAAGATTATTTGTTTTAGTTTGTTGCACATCCTAAGTGTTTCTTGTCAAGTAAACCAATTTAATGAAACATTCTGCTGGAGACTTAACGATGCAAGCATCTCCTCTGAAAGTCAAACAGATTTTTCTCAAAAATTCATTAAATTAGAAGTTTTGAACTAAAGTTTAGCAATTAAATGCTGCTCATAAAAATATTAAATAATAGAAAAAAATTCAGAAAAAAAAGTTATTTTGATATTTTGGAGTAGAGGGCGCAGAAGTAACCATAGCTACTACTTCTTCCTAAACTGTGCTAACCTTTCAAGTTATGAAGTTATTTTTTTACTACTTTTAAATTGGTTTTAAATGCTCATCCCAAATTTAGACGAACCGCGAAAAGATGAATTATTTTTTCTAAGGAATAGTTATAGTCTATCAACAAATAATAAACCCTAAATTCAATGCATAAAAAGGAAGAAAAAAGTACAGAAGCATACTATTTATGTATGATATTTTTTTCCATTTCTAGCTTGGATGCTTAAAAACAGTTAATTTAATATACCAATTCTAATCAGCTAACAAACAGTTCAAAAGTAGACAGTTAGGGGAAAATTCAGATGATATTTCTTATCCTCCGAAACTTATTAAAAACGTTTTGGAAGTTTTGAGGTATCTACTTTTATTTGCAGTCTGTAATGATTATTTTGAGGGAAAGATAAGGAGCATAAAATTGTAATAAAATCTTCCAATTACTAAGAAATTGCTCAACTCCAATAAAAATATCGCACTCATCCTATGGTATACTAGTGGGGTTAATGTTCATTGTGGTAGAGCAGACACTCTTGAAAAGAACATGAAAACTACGTAAACTCTACAGCCGTCAATCAAAAACCACAATTTCAACATTGAAAGCTAGTTTGAAACGCTATTCTTAAAATGTTCATCTGTTGCCACCTTAAATCACTTGTCTTCCATAAATGTAAATTCATTTAAGTTATTTGTAAAGGTGAAATGATACTAGTGATTATTCAGCTTCAATTGATATGTACTTTGGTGTCAACTAAGATCCTTCCTCACTCAGTCCTTCTTCCACATTTTACTTTTAATCAAGGGACATTTTTGATTTTTGAGGACGATTTGGTTTAATATAAATTAACCTAACCTAACATATTGAAGGGATAACTGGTCGTGTGACCATATAACAGAAACAACAGTAAAATATCTTTTCCACAGAACTGTTTTCTCAGAATACGGCTCTTTCTGATATTTGGTAATAATTTTGGCTGTTAAATGAAGTATGTTTCAGATTGAGATTTTTCTATTCATTCGACCAGGAGATGCGCCAGAGGGTACTTGCAAGTTCCACAGCCTGCTTGATTTTCTTTAAAAAATTAAAAGATAATTGTTGCTTAAATTCGTTTCAATTAAGTACCGCAAAGAAGTGGCGAAACTCCATTTTTTGTAATCGGTAGCAAACAATCAAGAACAAGATTCATTAAAAATCATATTATAAATTACGGCAAAATATTTCCCAAACTCAAATTTCGCTGTAAGTTTCTCGGATGTCATTTCTTTTATTTTCGAAATTCTCTGCTGTTATCTCTTTTATTGTTTATAATAAGAGCGAATAAATGCTATTGAATATTTTTTAATTGTGCTTCCAGTGTTCTTTATATGCTTCCTCCCACACCACGTGTTTATGCTGTGGTTTCACTTTTATCCTAACGCCAAGAATTCCTATAACTACTGGTGGCATGCTTTAAAAATGATCGGATTTTGTTTAAGGTATGTTATTAAGTATACTTTTGTATCGTATAGTTTTCTAATAAAATTCAAATGTTCAGCCTCTTTTATAGTATACTTGTTTTGCAGTTTTGTAAATTCGTGCGTCAATCCTATAGCGCTGTATTGGGGCAGTGGCGTTTTTAGATCTTACTTTAATAAGTACTTATGCTGCAAGAACTTAGAATGGTCGAGGAATGCACAATCAAATAGAGATTATGACTCGAATTTGAATTCTACGCTTCGACGAAGAGATCAGGTAGGACTTTGTGTTATGTCGCTGCTAGAGTCACTCTTCAAGCATCAAATTCAAAATACAGTGGATTTCGGATATAGTAAATCCGTTTATTGTGAACATTCGGTTATAATGAACACTTTTTGAAATACTCAAAAAGTCTCATAGGACAAATATCAATTTTTACTGTTTATAGTGAACCCGGATATAGTGAACTTTCGGATACAGTGAACTAAATTTCGTCAAGATTACATTTTCCGTTTTTAATGAACTTTTTCCGGGGTTCTCCCGGTAATTCCCGGTAAGAAAGGTTAAAATACGTAGCACATTTATTTTGTTATTGTTTTGATCTCAGTTGTGATTTCGATTTCGTGGAGAATATTCATGATAAACCTTCAAATGGAGAAGCAAAATCGAAAAGCTTTAACTTTGAAAGACAAATGCGATGTTATACAAAAAATTAAAAGGGGTATGAAATAAAGTGACATTTGTCGTGAAATGAATTAGCCTAAAGCAACTGTCTGGATCCCCTGGAAAAAAAGGTAGAATTCTCTCGTCCTATGGTAAAGCGAATGCAAGTTGTAAAAAGCTCAGAAAATCAGCTTTTACAATGATTTACCCAAAAAAGAATAGAAAAAGTTCCCATAAGTGGTCCAGTTCTTCAGCAAAAAGCAGGTGAAATGGGAAGTAGAATAGAAGAAAAAGATTTTGTTTCAGGAGTTGGAAAAATTGTTGATGAGTCTGCATCAGTTGATATGAATGTTGTTAGTAACTGACTCAAAACGGTTTGACCTGATTTTTGCAAAAATTATGACAGTGACAATATTTTTAATGCCGATGAGATCGGCTTTTTCTACAAACCAACCCGCCCCTGGTAAGACAATGAAATTCCAAAGAGAAAGGTGTGGAGGTGGGAAATTGTTCAAGTTTCGAATAACAGTTGTGGTTACTGCAAACATGGTTGGGATAGAAAAGAGAAAGCTGTTTGTTATCGGCAAATCAGTGAACCCAAGATGTTTTAAAAACAAGACCATACCAGTCAAGCACAAATCAAGCAGCAGAACGTGGATGTCATCTCACTTATTTACCGAAGAGCTGCTCCAATTTGAGACAGAATAGAAGAAGAAGAAAAGAAAAATTATTTTTTTAGTAGATAATTCTCCAGTACCTCCCAATGTTCCGTTGAACCAAATCAAACTGGTTTTTATGCCACCCAATACCAGTTCAAAACTGCAGCCCATGGCTCAAAGCATAATCCATTCGCTGAAGTCTCAATATAGGAAGATTTTGCCGATAAAGGTGATAGAAGCAATTGATGATGGACAAGAGTTTTCAGGGAGCTTATTGGATGCTGTAAATTTTATTCACCGTGCTTGACAGGAAGTTACCAAAAACACTATGCAGGATCCTTTGAAGCAGAAGATGGTTTTGACTCTGATGATGAATTGTGTCTGTCTAACCTGATGGCTAAAAAAACATTCATCAGATCCCGAAATTACCGACACCCAGAAAGAACTTGAAGCAGACATTAGGAATAGGATTGAACATTTCGACTTCGGAAGTTACGTTTCAGACGATCAAGTTGTTTCAACCGAATCTTTGACAGAAGACGAAATTATGCAGTTAGGGTCAACAGGTATAGATACATGAAATGTGATATTAAAACAATGACTGATTTACGTTATCCTTTTCAGAAACAAATGCAGAATTGAGTGAAAATGAGCTGAACGAGGAGGCTATTGAGGAAGTGGCCATGAGCATGTTCCTTTAGTAAAAGATATGACTGAAAAAGTAATAGAGATTCGCTCGTTTTTGGAGTTACGGAATTATTTTTGTAACCTTGAAAGTTATATAAGTAACATTAGCTTAATCAGACTCGGACAAACCAAAATATCCGACTTGTTTATCCAAGAGTAGGTGGATACATGTATTTTTTTCATTTTTTTTTAAAATATTGTTCACTTGTTACTTGTTTTGTACAGAATGATATTTCATTTTCAGCATTGCGTAATACATATACACATCTAAAAAAATGCTAATACATCGTGGGATTTTTTTTTACAAAACCAAACTACATAATATTATATAATATGTAATAACCTCCACCGAACCAATTTTGATGTAACTTTCAAGTTCACTATATCCGGACGTCAATGTATTTAATTTTCAAAAGGAATAGCCTCATTGAGACTGAAAATAAGAAATATCGTAATTAAGAAATAATTGCACCTGGATTGCTCCTTTGAGGATATTAAATTTTTTGAAAAAATAATTTTAATAATAAATCTTGAACAATGTTGAGAGAAAAAGGTGGACAGTCAAAGATATGTGTACGATGCCTGTTTACTACGTTACTGAATTCGAGATATTGATACTGACAATGTGATAACATTTTCCTCCAACTCTCCCTATTTTCATAAATTTGACTCTCTTATTCTTTGTTTTTTAGGCACTTAAAAAAAGGATTCAATAAGGAATAATACTGGTCCCTCCTATTTTGAATTGATTTTATCGGTGAAATTTGCATCACAATTAATAATGAGTAAATCTTTATTGATCTGTCAAACGGAAAATTTAACATAAGGCAACTTAAAAGAAGAGTTATGCCAAAGTTTTCAGAAAAATTTGCTTTTATTTCAAAGACCCAACGATTTAGGTGTCACTCGAAAGAGAATTTAATTAGCTCTTAGAATATGCGATAATCTACAGGAAATTTCGTTTAAAAAAAATGTATCTCGTTGTCTTGACCAACCCTGTATAATGTAGAGCTAATTTTGATATTAAAAAAAAATTACAGTACCTCCCTAAATTTCTACTGGCTCCAGTGTCGTAGTAATAAAAATTTAATTGAAGCTTTGTTTTGGCCGAGGTGCCATCACCCTGTATAATAAAATCCGACGCTTGATCTACTTGGGTAATATTTGCTAAATTCTTCAAGAGTAGGAATTTAACTATAGCGTTTAAAACAAATAATAAATTAAAACAATGATTAATATCAGTTAAAGATCAAATAAATAATTTTTCTAGATGAGTGGTATATTCTTTGAACTGTGAGGATTGTAATGCAGCAACAGCGCATAACCTTTCTCGGAATTAAAATGTCAATGTTTCACTTGAGTGCTCAAAGAGCAAAAACTTGATCTTCGGGAGCAATTAGAAATCAATAATACCAAAAAGAGTCCTAACTTTGATTGGGTCCGTTGACGCCGTCACACGTGACTCAATATGTATAAATTTCGGTTATCGAATCGAATTGGTACACTAAGACGGGTATGTTTGTTCTCAGGTCACATTGACCAGCATCGTGTGTGAATCGCAGTCGCTTCAAGATGCCTACAACCCTCAGCATCGACAAGAAGTGACGATCCACAGCTAAAAAAAGTCACTACCCATTCTAAATGGATTTTTACTTTTGGGCATTTAAATTATTTGGTTCAACAAATTACTTTATATATGCGAAAGCAATCTGTTGGCTTGCATTATGGAGATATGCGGAGTTATAATACTGTGAATTTCGAAAGATATGTAATGTGTGTATCAATAAATGTTCTGGGCATCTTTTTCTTGGACCTAGTTAATACCTGGTTCCTTCATTCCATTTTCCAGTTTCCGAACCGACCAAGAGGTGGCGCCACCAGGCCTACTCTTGGATCGGCGTCGTCCTACAGTACCAGTCAGTGGATTAGTACATTATGCAACAAGTGTGGTGAACGGCAGTGACTTAAAAAGTTTACCAAACCTGTTGCATAGTATACTTTTTCTAGGAGTTAGGTTTTGGGTACATTTTTTCCAAACAATATTAATGTCGTTGGATTAACAAATGTCAAATTTCAATCCGTGCGGTAATATCCTGGAAATGTCCGAAGTGGTTCGGATCCATGCCCAAATGCACAAGGACATCCGTAAAACGTCCTCGTGATATCTGACGGAACATGGCGTATGTCCTGTTTCAGCTAAGAGACATCCTTAAGACGTCCCAAGGATATTCGATGTTACTAATTGGGACGTCCACAGTATATCAGATGCGCAGTTATACCAGTTGGGACGTCCTTAGTATATCCGACTGTGAGGATATAGGATCTTATATAGATATTCCAGTGGAGCTTACTAATTAGGTTATTTCCAACAGCCTATGAGAAATACTGGAAAGGTTGGTTGGTTTTACGTAAACGCTTGATCTGACGCTGATAGTACTCTCATGAAAGATGGTAATTTCCACGATGATGTAGGTGTACATTTATGTATTTTATTTGATTTAATACAAACCTCACTAAATTTTTATTGGTAAGATCTCTTTCATGAGAGTAGGTACTATCGCCCGCAGTTTGACAGAAAAGGACTATTTCGGAATATTTTTTGTCAACCTAAAAATTTTTTTTTTTTTTGCTCGTGATGGTACCTACTATCATTATAAAAACGAGCCTTAAAGAATAGGAAAAACGTTTTCATGAATTAACCCAACAACCATTTTAATGTGAAAATTGTACTTTAGGCAGAGTGGTTCCTAAAATTAATACTTTGTTTTTGAGGGTTGATCCTTGCATTCATTTTAAGAAAAAAATATACTAACTATATTATATAACCAAAAATGTAATTTTGTTCTGGGGATTTTCTCTAAAATTATTTGCTCAAATAAAAAATTAGTTTAGCTTTGTATGTCTAAATTTAACTGCTCAAAGAACATGAAGAAAAAGTGAATTTTATTTTTGTTTTCAGAAACTAAGCATTAAGATTCGAAAAGAAGTCCAGAATCAAAAAAGAAATGTTATCTAATACGTATATTATAAGTAATGTAGGTTACAAAAAAGTCAGCGGTCCAGCAATGGACTAAGCAATTACAACATACAACATACAACAATGGTTCGTTCAGCTTAGAATTTATCAAATCTTATGTTATATATTGCCATAAAGCTTCACTAAAATGAATTATTAGTCCTTCAGTAATAATAATACCACAAAAAAATAACTGAAAAAAATATATTATTTTTAGGTTTTCGTAATGTTTTAGCTTAGGAAAATCCGTATTTTCTCTGGCATTTTTATTAAAAAGGCGTTTCTTGTCTAGTTCGTGTCCAAATATAATTGATTTCGGTTTTTTTAGGACTTGCCAACACTGACGTCGATGTAGATGTGCACAAAAACGTTGCCACAAAATGTCTCCCAGAACACCAGAAATAAAAAAAAAACTAATGATTTTCCTTCTCAGTTGTTCAAAATTTAAATCTTTAGGTTTAATTTTGTTTTGCGGTTTTTAATTTTTTCCCTTATTTCTATTTTAATGTTCCTATCTGTGGTATAGTAAATTCGCCAATTCAGAGGATATCCTTGCGATGTATTTTACAGTATGCTAACGTATATCCTAAGACATTAACTGGATATACTGGGGATATTGTGTGCTATCTGGGTGGGCAACGAAACTCAGATTGTAAAATGACATTTTCCGCACGCAAAATCAGTGTATAATAGGGTATTTTACAGAAGGGAGTAGAAAAATTAATTAAGGTGCTAGAAGGTCCGTTTAAATTCTTAACAGTTAAACATAATCTTATAACCAAATCAGTTGTGCCTTTGACATATTGACAATAGAATGGCTCATTACATAGTAACGTAGACCTGCACGTAAACACAGTTCGGATTGTGAAATGTATGTTGTTGTAATTTACACTGAATAGAGACGATGGCGACAGATCCTGATCGTAATCTTAACGTGACTGTCTAGATTTTCTATCGGTATTGAAGTGTTTGCTGCAAGCCTCACGTAAGTCCTATGGCGAATAATATGTGATTTTTACAAAATATAAAAAATATTATGAATATTGGTTTCATAATCTCCAGTAAATTTCAGATTTCAGGTATAAAAAATGATTTTATTTTGGCTTTGAAATTTCTAAAAGAAAAATTTGTGAACTGATTTGGAATTAGGTTATAATAAGTGATTTTTGTGGCTGTGTGTTAAATATCAAAATTGTGATCAAAAATGTGTTTTTCTGTGTTTAACTGTGTAGCATAATTAGAATCTAGACTATTGGTTTTAAACGCTTTTTTATGTTCGTGAATGCTTTTCTTGAAGGATCTACCTGTTTGTCCAATATAAATTTTAGGACGAGATCCACATTTCAACCTGTGGACACCTGATTTTTGGGATTTTGGACATTTTGTGTTGTTGGTTCTGAAAGCTATTTTTAAACCACATTTTGACAACTATTTTGAAACTTTTTCACTGGGTTCTCCTACGTATGTAATTGTTCGTGTTCTGTATTAGGTTTCGAATAAATAGAGTTTACTGTTGTCTGGGTTTGTTTTTTATTTATAATTTTATCTGTAATGGACGAATTGTAGCCTTTATTTAGTGCAATTTGTTTAATGATATTAAGTTATTTGTTGTAATTTTCTGTTGAGAGTGGCGTATTAAGAAGTGTGTGTATAAAAGAGTTAAATGCAGCCATTTCGTTTGTATAAGGGTGATTTGAGCTGTTATGTATGACTGTGTCCGTGTGTGAAGGTTTATTTTAAATTGAAAAATCTAATGAGTTGTCCTATTCAATCTCGATAGTGAATTTTGTACGATTATGTATCGAGTTAATGTAAATTAAAAAAGAATTAAATTGTCTGTCCGTTCCAATTTATCCGAAATCTAATACAGAACACGAACAATTTAAAACAATTACATACATAAGAGAACCCAGTGGAAAAGTTTCAAAGCATTTGTCAAAATGTGGTTTAAAAATAGCTTTCAGAACTAACAACACAATAGGAAAATATTTAAAGAACAATCAAACGAAATATCCAAAATCCCAAAAATCAGGTGTCTACAGGTTGAAATGTAGATAAAAGATAAAGATAAAGGTAGCTTTATTTCCATAAGACTTGATTTACAAGTGTTGGATATTGTCAGCATAATGTAAAAGTATAAAATTATCTTAGTATAATTAGTAAATTAATAATAATAATAAGTAATACTGATGGATAAATAACAAATATACAATAACAAACAACGAATACGTATTAAAAGGTACCACAATAAAGAAAATCTTTAATATTGTAATAGGCGAGGAGTAGCAATTTGTCTTTAAGAGTGCATTTGAATTTTGTTTGACTAGTTTCGATAGGCAATTTATTATAAATTTTTACAGCCAAAACAAAGGGACTATTTGCTGTAAGAGACAGTAGATGTGTAGGTATTTTTAAGTTAAGATTCGGTCTTAAACTGTACTGAATATCTGAGTTTCTTGAGGGCATATAAAGATTAGAGTTACTTTATTTACAATAAAGAGTGTTGTGGAAATAGATTCCGACATGAAAAATTCCAGGGCTTAAACAGTACAGTCCGTAAAATGCGTTTCTGCATCATAAAGACTTGCTCCGCACCGGGGGGAACCTCCCCAACAAACCAAGGCGTAGTTGAGACACGAATAGACATACGAAAAACAGTACATTTTTAACAAGGGGAAAGCAACCTGATGGCGGAACCTCCATATGACAGAGCAGTAAACAGAAAGTTTTCTGAGAATGTGGTCCACCTGTTCGAACCAGGATTGGATCTTGTCCTAAAATTTATATCGGACAAACGGGTAGATCCTTCAAGAAACGCATTAACGAACATAAAAGAGCGAAATAGCGCAAATCTTCTCAGCCACACCCGGTAAACCCGGAACGGCCCCGTCGAAAATAAAAACCGTCGACAAAAATTCCCCTCATGATCCGAACAGGAAAGGCGCGAGAAGTACAAATCCTAGTTATTTCGTCCGGTATCATTTTCCCTAAATGGTGGCCGCAACTCGTTCTCAGGCATTCCTCGTCTAATATCTATTATGCCGCGAAATTGCTGTGCTTCTCCCAGATTCGTTCGGAACACGGTTCGAGCAGTGCTGGCTGCTTCGTATGCCCTCGGGCAGCCAAACAGAATACTTCCCACGACACTAGTTACTAGTTAACAATCGCTTTTAGCGAAATGTAAGCCGTGTGAGTTACCGTAATTGGTTAAGGGCAACCGTTTCGAGTTCGCAAAAATCATAACGGATCTGTAACACACCGGGTATGCCCATCTAACACAACAAATTGGTCCCTCCGTTTCATGTACCCGGAGAAGAAATGTAATTGTAACAATTTAAGAACATTACTCGTACTACCTACATTTCAAAATGAAATATTTGCTTTTTTTTCTTTTGCTCATGAAAAGATATAAATAAAATTTCACACAGAATTCGAAAATGTATGTTTTCCGTTTACCTCAAAAAATTCGCAATGAAAAATTATGAACACATTTTTCTTCAAATCCATCAACTTATTTTTAAATAAATTTGTTCCAGATATTATAAGTTCTGTGTAGATGCATACGTGATTCGCTTCCCTATGCAGGGATATCCGTTCCTATTATACCTACGGCAAAGGTGAAATTGGGTTAATTGGTTCGGGAAATATCGGCGAAAAGCTGATGCTGGATTTTGTTTTTCCAATGCTGTTAAATTGACAGTTGTCAAAAAGTGACATTATTCAGACAAGATGGCGCCTTTTGTTCTCTCTATGTAACTATGTAACATTTTTTGAG